TAACATTTAATGCATCATTATTCTACAATAACGATTGGAAAATTAAAAGAACTAAATCTTGTTTGACTTACGGTGTTTCTGACAACAAGATGAGGAGAAGCGTTATGTCGAACAAGATCCAAGCTAATTTCCATGCCGGAATTTCCACATCCGACCACTAAAACTTTCTGTTGCCTGAACTCTTCGCCGCTTTTGTACTCGCTCGCGTGAACGATTTTCCCGCCGGAAAACTTCACTATCCCCTGAATCTCCGGGATGTAAGGATCTGCGTTCTCACCGGTCGCCACGATAAGCCATTTGGAGAGATACTCTGTCTTGTTTAGCGTCTTTACTCTCCAGAAACCGGAGATGGAATCGAAAGCCGCGCTTTTGACGTTCTCGTTGAACTTCGGAACGATGCGGAAGTGTGAAGCGTAGGACTCAAGGTAAGCCAAGAACTCGTTTTTGGAAGGGTATTTTGGGAATTTTTTGGGGAAGTCCAAGAGGGGTAATCTGCAATAGTGTTTTGGGAGATGGAGTTTGAGTCGGTTGTACGTTTTAGATTTCCAAAGAGATGCTATTGAATCAGAACGTTCTAGGATCAAAGAAGGGACTCCACAGCTTGAGAGACATGCTGACGTGGCTAGACCGGAAGGGCCGGCTCCTATGATGATTGGACCGTGTACAAGGACTATCTGTTTGGTCTGGTCGGTTTGGTTGTGAGGATGAGACTCCATTTTTGATGGAGAGAAGAAGATGATGGAAGAAGTTTTTTTTTTTAGTGTGGAGAGACTGAAAGAATGATACTATATGTTTTACTTTTGGGAAAATGTTCTTTTGTGTGAGGGAAAGAATTGGAATTTATAGAGGGAGTTTGCTTGGGTTTTTGGTGGGACCTTTTAAGATTCTCTATGACGTTTTCATTACATGTTTTCAAACATAGTACATTTGTTTTTTTTGTTATATTTAAACCGTAAAACTAAAAGTAACATTCTTACCTTCTTAGGCATTTAGAAAAGTGACGGCAGATTAAGCGGAATTAAGTAATTAAAGAGTTAGAACTGAACAATAAAACAGAGCCAGACGTATTTACATAATAGCATAATGTGGTTAACCAAACCACGTAATTATGTGGATTCACGAATTATATATGCTGCAATTATTTTATGTGGCCACGAGCAACCATCATCATTCGCCCAATGGATTGGAAACCTGTGGAATTTGGCTAAAAACAAAAAAAAAACAGAACTGTGGAAGCTGAAGTTCAAATTTTGTGAGGAGAATTTTGTTTTCATAACACCATTATATATATATATATATATATTTTTTTTTTTAAAGTTTAGTTATCTCAAGTTCATATGATTGATCTATGCAGCCTAGATATAGTGGTTTTTATATTATACTGTATAAAAAAACATGGAAAATGTAAAAGGCAGAGATTAAATGGATAAGAGAAAGAGTGGTGAAAGAGGCATTGGAATAGTAGTAAAATGGCAGTCCAAAATGACAGTGTAATAAATGGAAAGCGTGAAGGTTAAGTAAATTATTTGCTCTTCTTCCCATTTTATTTTGGGGAACGAATCGCAAAACATAAAAAGGGTAAAACACGAGAATGCCGATAAATTGGCTGGGGATTTTTTAAGCCATTATCGATTCTGGGATAGCTTTTCTGCGTTGTGTTACCCAACATTCATTTATTTTAGTTATAATAAAACAGAAAATTCGTACACAACAAAACAAAACCATACATGAGAAATTTTATACCCTTTAATTTCTGCTTCAAAATAATTGTGACTAAATGTAAAATGTATTTGACATAAGTAGATAAATGGTTCATGGCACACACAAAAAAAGTGGATAAATGGGACATGAAATAGAAGGAGACAGAGATTTAGTCAATATACATTGATTTGTGAAATGTCAAATGTGTTTCATTGTGCGATGCACTTTGTTATCCAAAAGTGCTATGACACTTTGTTATCCACAAAATATATTAGAGGGCTTGCTTGTACCCAATCTCTTCTGATAATCCTCTAATTTAGTAAACTTCGTTTACAGTTTAAGTAAACAAAACATTTATTACAAATCTACAAATTCTAACTTTGCTTCTCAGATTTAAAATATTAGTCCTCTGAAACATTAACATACAAAGTATATATACAAGGACTTAAACAGATTATAAATTTAAATATTTTTTATGTAAACATATATATATATATATTTTTTTTTGAAAGTATGGAAACATATTTTTAAAATACAAATTAATATATCAAACTACAATTTGATTACGAAGTGTATGAATTGAACGTGCGCCGAAATTAGCTAAGGTTTGTACAAGAAAGCAAGCATAATTCATTCACATGCTTCCTCGAGATCTTTATAGCTTTAAGATGATTACTTAGATAAAATACTAAATATTTAAGCGGGGTGATCATTGTTTGTAGGATGATAAACTGGATAAGACTTTAAAGTATGGATTACTCCGTATAAACTCAAGACATTTTATGTGGTGTTATATTATACTCCTATGAAACACCTCGACATTTCGATCTTGTTGAACTGAATTAAAACATAATGACCATATCGTGACTCGTGTGGTGCATTTGGACACTAGGGAATCCTTGAACTACATAATTTATTGAATCGTTTATATAGCAATATTTTGCGGACTACAAAATCAAATTGGAAAATTATGTGGTCATCTAAGATTATCTAAGAAAAATTTGGAGAAGCAAGCGTCGTTATAGAATCAACAAATTTAAACCATATAACATGTTTGATAATCTGAATTTAACACTTCGCATTCAAACTTTCTAGGGGAATCTAGGGGCCGAGACTAAATGAAATGATTAAAGGATGACTACTATTGACTAAGTAATTGACTTTTAAAATTGGTTACGGGAAAAGAAATCTTGTTGGTAGGTTGAAATGATAAAAGATTTTCAAGGTATAAGAAACTAATTGGAAGTACAATTATAATCATTGACATAAATTTCCCTTTATTTTTTTCCAACTTTCGTCGTAAAGCTGCATTAAGGAGTGCCGTGCATGTGGTTCTACTCTAAATGTATAGATTCATCTTATGAAACAAGATTCATCTTATGAAACATGATGCACATGTTGTAAACCTATATCTTCCAGATTCAATTCATGGGAAGATGTTTCATAAAAGAGTGGAGCAGGAACACTCAAACTTAGAGTGAAACTTCTTACTGATTGATTTTTTCGGACTACAGAATTTGCTTAATCTTGTGTAACTAATGGCATGTACTTCTTCTCTTGTATCAATGGGTTTTTAACGAAGTTTCTTGATTCAGTTTCGGGATTTACAACCCTCAAAAATACATGTCTAGTCATATAATTACATCCAACAAAAGATATGGTAATAACATATTTGTGATTACAACAAAGATGTTAAGCCAATTAGACAAAAAAGTCAAAAACGAAACGAAATTGATTTCATAAAGCTGATAAATTATAATACTCCTACATATTGAAATCGTTGCGTATAATGGTTGATTTGGCCTAGATGATCTATTTAATTCGAAGAATGAGATTCTAATGGGTTTAGTTAATTAAGATGATATGGACATGGTGGCTAGGTCTAATTAGATGCAGCTGTTCATCGTCTTTCTTTTTTAGTTGTTTTAATCGGATGCACCTAAAAGTTGCGCATGCATGCTTTAAGATTAAAATATTTTACACTGGAGAAACACGGTTTAACTATTTCATACACCTATATAGGATATAGCTATCGCCTAAAGGGTCGGTCGTCATAAGAAAATAGTTAAAAAAATAGTTAAAGCTAGTAAACTAATTTAAACTTTTTGTTTTCGTTTTTTTGGTAACCCATCAGATGGAAAATCTAACCACGATTTAACACTAAAATGTGAGATTTAAACCAAAACTGAGTAGAAAAACATCAAAAAATAACCACGATCTGTATGCTACGGACTGAGAAGGACACCGTATACCCGCAAATCATCGTCGGAACTCGGAAGTGGAAATAATTAGAAGAAGCTAATCGATTCTACGATCAAAAACAGAGCTTCTAGCCTTTATGTTACAAGAACCAATATAACAAGACCGTAATTCGCATTGGACTTGTTCTTGTTGCAACAATGGTTCGCAGATCAAAACTTGTTTTTGGTTGTATAAAACTCTACAAATATACAATTGTTTTGTATAAATCCGTAAGTAAAACCGGAGAAAAAGTCTATAACCTTAACCGCCTCACTTCGAGAAATATGTGGGTTAATTTTAAACTTGAGATAACCACGAAACGAAATCAAACAATCACAACCGTCGGATCAAATATTTATTATCCTACAAAATCTACCTCTTGTTACTACTTCTTCTTCCCATCTTGATCGCTTGGAAGTTGGAATTACTCTCTCTCTCTCTCTTTCAAAAAAAAAAAAAAAAAAAAAACTTGAGATCTCTGATCCCATATCGGGAAAATGGAAATTAGTTTTCGCTTCAATGAAACCGACGGACCTGTCACAATTAACGTTCCTGCCGCTGCTGGTTTTACAGTTAACGTTACACCTGTCGGGAAACGGGTTAAATATTCTGATCCATCTTTGAAAATGGGTAACCCTAGAGTTTTCTTTGATATGACCGTGGACGACGAACCGGCTGGTCGGGTCACGATGGAGCTATTCGCCGACACGACACCGAGGACGGCGGAGAATTTCCGCGCCCTCTGTACAGGCGAGAAAGGCATGGGGAGGAGGTCTGGTGAGCCACTACACTACAAGGGAACACCTATCCATGATTTTAGCCGCAATCATATTTTTCATGGAGGAGATATCACTGACTGGGACGGAACCGGAGGCGAGTCGATCTACGGCAATAGATACTTCAGCGACGAGAACTTCATCAAGAAGCACAACCGTCCAGGTGTCCTCTCCATGTCCAACATTGGTGAAGACACCAACGCATCTCAGTTCATGATCTGCATGAAGGAGGACCCGACACTCGACAACAAGCACGTCGTGTTCGGCCAAGTTGTTCAAGGCATGGACGTGCTCACGAGCATTATGGAAGGTTTGAGCATCAGCTCATCTTCCAATTACATTCCCGAGGTGATGATCGCCGACTGCGGACTCGTACCACCGGCTGGTAGAGATGGTGGCCGGTTAGACGTTAATGTTCACCCCAAGCTCTCTTTGAAAATGGCTAACCCTAGGGTTTTCTTTGATATGACTGTGGGCGGAAGACCGGCTGGTCGGATCGTGATGGAGCTCTTCGCCGACACGACCCCTAAGACGGCCGAGAACTTCCGCGCGCTCTGTACTGGCGAGAAAGGCTTGGGGAGGAGGTTTGGTAAGCCACTCCATTACAAGGGATCAATTATCCATGAGTTGCGCCGCGGTTACATTTTCCATGGAGGAGATATCACTGCCGGGGACGGATCCGGAGGCGAGTCTATTTACGAAGATAGATATTTCGACGATGAGAACTTCATCAAGAATCCCACCGGTCCAGGTGTCCTCTCCATGGTCAGCCATGAACGAGACACCAACGAATCTCAGTTCATGATCAACATGACGATAAGTGTAATACACGAGCACGTCGAGTTCGGACAAGTTGTTCAAGGATTGGATGTGATCAGGAGCATTATGGAAGTGGTCCCGGTTGTTACCAAGACGTCGCCCGTGGTGATGATTGCCAACTGCGGTCAGATTTCATAGATTTGTCCTATAACTACAAATGGTAGCTCCAAGTTTGGTCAGGTGGTGTTTTTGTTCCTCGTTTCGTGTTTAGATTGGCTATCATTGTAAAATGATAACCAAAATGAAAACTTTTAGCTATTGTTGCTACTGATAAAACATGTTTCTTTCTTTCTTTGGTCATTCATGGCATCACTGGTTATGAACTTATGATTGTAACACGAACTGAAAAGAAAAGCTTTTTCTTCTAATTTTATTGATTTGATTTTGTGGTTGTATTAAAACTCTATACATTTTTTTGTTTTGTATAATCCATAAGTAAAACCGGAGAAAAGCTTAGAAGAAGCTCATCCTCTACAACTTTAACCATCTCTCTTCGAGGAAGACTGATCATAACCACTCGGCTCGTCGGTTCCTCACAAGACGGTGACGGAAGCACAATGACCTGTCCACCTCCAGCCACAGGTCCTTCCACGTAGCAAGACACATGGCTCAAAATCAAATCTTTCTCGAACATCATCGGACGTGAATTCCCCATGTCCTCTAGATTAGTACACACGAGATCCGAACCGTTGGATATCGGATTGCTATTGCTGCTGAGCCACTCGATCAAATCCATAACCGTGTCGTAGTCTAGTCTCTTAGTTGCGTTATGAATATCTTGAGCAGCGTGAGATAATAACAAGCTGTCTTTGGTTTTAAACGGTTTGGAATATTGAACCTTGTGATAAACCATGCAGTTACCAAAATAACTTTGGTCTAAACGCAATAGTTTCCTAACGTCTACGCACAATGACATGTCCACGAACTCGTTTGTCTTCCCTTTGGCTCGACTCACACAGACCCAAAAGAGTCCAGCCAAAATCTCAAATGTGGAAAGCCCTGGCTCGCTCTCTCCCGCTCGGACCATCGGATCCGGGAAGAGAAGAGTAACAGTAACGATACTGTCCTCCGTCAGGTTTGACGGTGGAGCGTTTAAGGCGCAAGATTTGATGTAGTGGCTAAGCAGTTGGTTGTTAGAGATCATACCATGGTTAGCGAACCGGCGAGGCGGCAACGAGTGGAACAGTGGTGGAGCCATCATGTTTCGAGTCAGAGTTAAATCAGCCCAAGCTCGAAAGAACATCATTGCACAAACTGAATCGGCTAACAGATGGCTACAGCTTAATCCAATAGCTAAACCACCACTATCAAACTCAGTCACCTGTAGATAAATTTTAATAATAAAAAAATTATACAAAACCAACCCATAGTAAACCGGAGTTTGTTTATATAAAACTATACCTGAACATAAAAGGTAGACCAATAATACGGAAGATGATACATGTCCTCCCAATGAACAAGCTTAAGCTCTTCCTCTCTATTTACACTCCTAAGCCATTCCTCCACCGTCCCGGTCGCTCTCGCCTCCACCATCCTCATCCCTCCGTCATTACTCTTCACCTTCCATTGCCGGTTCAGATCATCCTTCTCATCCATACCATCAATGTCCTTAACCAATCTCCCGGTTATTATTGGATAGCAATTGAGGGTGTATGCTAATGATTCCCTAAGCTTTTTGGTGATTTCTCCCGGTTCTCTAGTCTTGGAAGACCGGAAATAGTATACTAGACGGATGTGGTTCGGTTCCATGACGTGGTCGAATACTGAGAACCGGTATAATTGCCCTTGTTCAACCGATTTGGTGCTCACCACAGTTCTTTTGCATATGAATCTCACGCGGTCCTCCTCCATAATTTGACTATAATGATCTGTTTCTTAATGTGGTTGCACGTTTGTGTACGCGTACATATATATGAGTGTTTTTGGTGTGTATTTACATATATTTTCATGTTTAAACACATACTTCTCCCGTGAACAAAACAACCCTCACTTAAGGGGACGTAAAATTTTCATGGTCCCGTAAAACATGTTTATGTTTCCGCTCGGTATATGTGTGTACGTAAAATAACATTTTGAAACGACTGGTTGTCAAATATTCTCTTAGACACATAACAAAATGTGAGCGTGTCAAAGATATATTTTGAGGTTTAATGATGTACTCAAGAAAATTTTGAACGTTAACTGAAAAATGGATAGCAACCCCAATATATAGTGTTTATAACGTTTTAAATAATAGAATACCCAAAGTGTTTTAGGTAGTCTTAACGTACGGTTATGTAGATAGAAAAAAAATATTCTTAGCTATACTCATCAAATGTTCCAACTACCAACTGGTACCAAATGACTTCAGTTCATAACTTCACATCTCTAAACTGGAAAAAAATAAAAGAGAATTGTTTGAACATTTTGTTTGCTTATCTAAATTGGAAAATGATTGTGAATATATCAAGAATTTGGATTGTTAGGAAAACAAGGCCCAGAAATGTATTCTTACTATTATACGAGGCCCAGACTAACGAATACGGTGAAACGTCGTCGTTACTAAGTTTCAAATACAGAAATACCCACGCGCATTCAGGAGCGCGTGATTGTCGATTTCTCAATATCTTCAGATCACAGGCCCTGATAATTTCTCCTCCGAAAGAGAGAGAGAGAGAGAGAGAAGCAGATCGTATCATCATCATCACGACCATTTTCAAACAGAGAGAGAGAGAATGTCTGGAATTGCTTATGCAAGCTCGTGGGGCGCAGCGTTGGTAAGGATCTCGCCGTACACTTTCTCCGCAATCGGAATCGCCATCTCGATCGGCGTCTCAGTCCTCGGTGCCGCCTGGTAAATCTCAAATCTTCTTCTCCTTCCTGTAGATACGATTACAAACATTGACATTTTAATTGGTGTTGTAATCCTTTATTTTCGTGAGCTTGACCTGTTTGATTTGCAATCACCAATTTTTTTTTTGCTTTTCTGATTCAAGGGGAATTTATATCACGGGAAGTAGTTTGATCGGTGCGGCCATTGAAGCTCCTCGTATCACTTCGAAGAATCTCATCAGGTATGTTAAAAGTTCAAGTTTTTAATTCTAGTTTTGTTCGTCCTTGGTGTTTAATTTAAGCCCTTTGGCGGATCAACTGAGTTTGAATTGAAGGTCCAATAATCTTTCTGAGAACCAATTACTGTCCGTCTTCATGAAACTATGTAAAATCGATGTCTTGTTCTGAATACCAATGAGAATCCATCGCTGAGCAGCTAATTCATATTCGTTCCTGGAAATGTCATTGCCACATCTCTGCAAGAATATTAGAAACACAAGGACTCATTTGGTTGGTAGGGATAGTTATATGTGATGAAACGCAAAATGGATAGTGAATGTGAAGGCTCTGTGGCGTTTGGGGGTTCAAGCAATAGATGCGATGATAAAGCACACGCATTTTAATTTAATGCTTGCTCTGTTTTTTTGTTGTTGTTCCAGTGTAATCTTTTGCGAAGCTGTGGCTATATATGGCGTTATTGTTGCAATCATACTGCAAACGAAGTTGGAGAGTGTCCCATCTTCAAAGATGTATGACCCTGAGTCTCTGAGAGCTGGATATGCAATCTTCGCTTCTGGAATCATAGTTGGATTCGCCAATCTCGTATGCGGGTCTGTATCTTCATCTTCATCCTCTTCCACTTTCTCCTTCCTTGCAGTTTTGGTTTTTGATATTCAACCGAGCTCACACTTTTATCTTGCAGGTTATGTGTAGGAATCATTGGAAGCAGTTGCGCATTGTCTGATGCTCAGAACTCCACACTCTTTGTGAAGATTCTTGTGATTGAGATCTTCGGGAGCGCTTTGGGGCTGTTTGGAGTTATTGTTGGGATCATCATGTCCGCACAAGCGACATGGCCGACCAAATAGATATGAGATCTTAATTTGGAAAATGTGGGAAGAACATGGCTTCTTGATTATCTTCATTGTTATATGGGATACGCATGTTTAGAAGAAAAAACCTGTGTGAGAACTGAGAACCTCTTTTGGATCCCTGCCTGATTTTTTTGTATTGTTTAAAAACTTTGGAATAAGTCACTTTGGAGAACATCGTCATGTTTGTATTCTCTTATATTCAAAGACAAGAGTTTGTAAATGATTTGTTGTTGGTTCATTATTGAAAATTGAAATTTTCATTGAACATATGCTTCTCTTTATCGTTGTATTTTGTGGTGATAAATTTAAAATTCAGTGTACAAATTGGTTCATCATTGAAATTTGAAAATTTCATTCAACTACATTGAGCTAGTTAAGAGTAGTGACAAATTCAAAATTCAATGTACAAATTGGTCTCTTCCACGCTCTCGGTACAGAAATCTACCTAAATCGAATGAATTTATGATCCAATCGATAGAAATTGATTCGAGTCGTAAGCAGAACCGGTTTATCGTGAACCAAACATCTAAGGAGACGACGTCGTTCCGGTATTGTTTTTTCAGTGGCTATCCCGTTCCGGGTACCTGGAGCTTTGTTGTGTTTGTATAAACCCTAAACATTTGCACGTCGTTTCTTCCTCACTCCTGCTTCACCGTATCATTCCATCTCTTTTTTTCCGACTCCATCCTTCTAGCGACCTTTTCTCGCAAAGCTCACAACTTTTTTTCTACCGTATCGGTGAGTATTGGCTGTTTTCGTTTTCCCTCGCTTTTCTTCTCTGGGTTTTTAGCTCCCGGAAGATTTTTCATTAAAAATCCCTATTTTAATTCAGATTCCCTCTGCTTTATCTAATATTTGGTGATTTGGGATATGGTTTTGGGATTTGGAGCTGATAATATGCGTCACTGCTTCTCTGTGTCGGGTTTTACACGATTGCTGTGTCTGATTTCGTTCAAGCTGCTGATAAAAATATTTAGTCTTTTGATGATTAAAATTTGAGAGCCTAGTTGAGCTCTTATATTGTTCACTTCTGAGCTCACAATTTTACATTTTTGGATTTACATATTTGCGTCGAGGATTTTGGTCAGATAGTTGCTTAATACCTTGCTGGATACAATTACGTGGCCTGTCTGTATATTGTGCTCCTGTGACATTTGATTTTTTGTTTTAGTGTAGGTGTAGAGAGAAAATGCAAGCTTACTGTGGAGGTACTTCGATGGGGTCTCTTCAGCAATCTGGACGGGTTCAAGGACCTGTCTTTGCCCCAATAATTTCTCCAGCGACCAAATTTTCTCAGCAATTGAAGTTCAATTTTCCGAGACCTTCCCGTTCTTTGTTTCTCGAAAGAAACTTGGTCTCTGCAAGGAGAGCTTCTTCAGTCTCTGTACCTAACGTCGAGATGAGCAGTAAGAGAGTTCTATTTTCAGTTATGTTCATACGAAGGAAACGGCTTATTTATTCCATTTGATTGTCATTATTATTGATTTTGTTTAATTGTGACTGATATTTAGGCAGTGAAATCCCTTTTGAGGACTTAAGTCTTGGTGAAGTTGATCCTGAGGTCAAAAAGATTGTCACAAAGGAGAAAGATAGACAATTCAGGAGCTTGGAGCTTATTGCGTCCGAGAATTTCACTTCCCGAGCTGTTATGGAGGCTGTTGGATCATGCCTTACGAACAAGTACTCTGAGGGACTGCCTGGTAAAAGGTAATGCCTTACGAACAAGTACTCTTTTGTTCTTTTTGTTACTCAACTGCTTGATTTTTTAGCTTCTCTGTGGTCCATGTCTCACAGGTATTATGGTGGCAATGAGTACATTGACCAGTTGGAGACACTTTGCCAGAATCGGGCTTTAGCAGCCTTCCGTTTAGATTCTGCGAAATGGGGTGTTAATGTTCAGCCATTATCTGGCTCACCTGCAAACTTTGCTGTCTACACCGCCATTCTTAGCCCTCATGATCGCATCATGGTGAAGATCTTTTGCACTCTTCATATCAATCTTTACTTGTGTGTGTTTGAGATATTGAATGTTAGTGGCTTGTTTGATGCATGCAGGGTTTGGATTTACCTCATGGTGGTCATCTGTCACATGGCTTCATGACTGCCAAAAGGCGTGTCTCTGGAACCTCGATTTACTTTGAGTCCATGCCTTATCGACTTGACGAGTCCACAGGCATTGTGGATTACGACATGCTCGAGAAAACTGCTACATTGTTCCGACCGAAGCTTATTATCGCAGGAGCTAGTGCTTACAGCAGAGATTTTGACTATCCTCGCATGAGGAAGGTAAAACCAACCTGATCCTTGAATATATTTGCTTTAGAGTTTCTGTCTAGTTTTGGCTTTCTATAGCATCTGATACTTCGTTGCCCTCACAACTTGTATGAATATTTGTAGATCGCAGACTCGGTCGGTGCTTTTCTGATGATGGATATGGCTCATATCAGTGGGCTTGTGGCTGCTTCTGTGGTTGCCGATCCTTTTGAGTATTGTGACATTGTAACAACTACCACTCACAAGGTATGTATGTTCTGGAATCTGAAACATAGTTTCCATTTGAATTTAGGACAAAATCTGATAAGTTTATTATCCTTTTCCTTATCAGTCTTTGAGAGGTCCGAGAGGTGGCATGATCTTCTTCAAGAAGGATCCAGTTAATGGGGTTGAACTTGAATCTGCCATTAACAATGCTGTCTTCCCTGGTCTGCAGGTTGAGATATTCACCATTCTTTCTAGCTCTCTTAGTTAATATTGCTTTCGACTTGATTAAAATTTGTCTGTGTTGTGTACTTTACAGGGTGGTCCTCATAACCACACAATTGGAGGATTAGCAGTCTGCTTGAAACATGCACAATCACCTGAATTCAAGGCTTACCAGAAAAGAGTAAACACCATTACTACTTGATCATTAAGTTCTTACTGATTGTAAATTGAAGCTATAACAATCTTTTGTTGCTTGTTTAGGTTGTGGCGAACTGTAGGGCCCTAGCTAACCGATTGGTTGAGCTCGGGTTTGAGCTTGTTTCCGGTGGCAGCGACAATCACCTGGTTCTCGTCGATCTCAGACCAATGGTAAGTTCTTACAAACTGTAATGATTTCTCCAAAGCAATGGATTCTTCTCTCAAGCCAGATAATCACTTAGTATCAAATTTATATTTCTTGGTATGGTTAGGACATGGATGGTGCTCGTGTTGAGAAGATCTTAGACATGGCTTCTATTACTCTCAACAAGAACTCTGTCCCTGGTAAGTCTCTGCAACATTTTTTCTACGAAAAGAGTTGCGAAATTGCGTTTGCGCTTGGGGCGTGGTCTTGAGACGGTGTTGTGTCTGTGAAAATGTGAAAACAGGGGATAAAAGTGCGTTGGTTCCAGGGGGGATCAGGATAGGATCGCCGGCGATGACGACAAGAGGACTCTCGGAGAAAGACTTTGCGGCGGTTGCTGATTTCATCAAGGAAGGTGTGGAGATAGCGATTGAAGCTAAGAAGTTGGTTTCAGGACCAAAGCTACTAGAATTCACCAAGTTAGTGACTTCTCCTGATTTCGCATTGAGGGAGAGAGTGAAGAGTCTTAAGGATAGAGTCGAATCCTTCACCTCTCGTTTTCCGATTCCTGGCGTTTGAAGTTTATATATAAACAGATGATGGGTCGTCTTGTTGTTGTACTCTTTTATAAAACCTTCTTCTATTATTGACCCTTTTTAATCAGCTTCATTGCTTGCCTGTGCCCCACGTTTCCAAATCTATAATAGTGTTTTTTTCTTTCATAATAAAGTTTATTAAAGATTTTCCGTTTGATTATTTTTGAAATGTAACGTCGCTAAAAACAGTTATATAATATTTAATGATTTGAAATTTTGTTTTAAGAGCAGCTATTTCGCGGGATGTGTGCCGGAAATGATCTTCAATATATCTCTCTCTCTCTCTAACTCTTTGTTTGTCCAATGCGTTTTTGATCCTTTTCAAATTACTCTCTCTCCTCTCTCTCTCTCTCTCAAAAATAGAAAGAGAGAGATCCGATAACCGATTTTATCTTCAAATCCTTCTCCCTCCCACCGTGGTCTCACCGGAATCGGATCTCTGGTGGACATTTCCTCCGGCGTGCCTGTAACGGCGGCCAGGACCGTCTTTCGCTTTCTTCTTCTCCTCCAGGTGCCACATTGTTAATTATTTCGTTTATATATAAGCATGTCTGTGTGTGGATTCCTGCAATTCCGTATCAGATTTCTGGGGAATTATTTTGATTTCAATTAGTTTTTCCGTTTGTTTGATTCATTGTCGTTGTTGTTTGATCGATTCGTTTAGTAGATATTGAAGGCGGAATCATAATTTCTATGTTTGGGGTGTGGCTTCGTCATCGTAGCTACGACATGAATAATTGTTTGGTTGAAGGGAAATTGAAGGTAGCGAAAGCTTTGATAGAAAGATGAGTTGATTTTTAGTTTTTTGTTTCATGGATCCATATAGGCATTGCTGATTCCTGAATGTCAGCCATGGAAGGAGTAAAAACTCCCTTTGGAGGAATCATTAACGATTTCAAAGGAAGAAGAAAGTGCTATAAACAAGACTGGCTTGCTGCTTTCAATTCTGGTGTTAGGTATGTTCATGCCTTATCTGATGATGTAACGTCTCGTCTCCTTCAATTTTTTGGTTTTTAACTATGAGTTTACAGGATACTGGCTCCAACTCTGTATATATTCATTGCCTCTGCACTGCCTGTGATTGCATTCGGCGAGCAGTTAGGCAGAGAGACAGGTGATCTTCTTCTATCCATAATATGCTAAGATTTGTTGCTTATATGATAATCTGTCTGATGGTTTTTTATCATCACTCTCTTACTTTTTTAGATCGAAGCCTTGGCATTTCGGAATCATTAGCTTCCACAGCTATTTGTGGAATCATTCATTCAATTTTTGGTGGACAACCTTTGTTGATAGTAGGCGTTGCAGAACCCACAATTATCATGTATACATATCTTCACAGCTTCAGTAAAAGCAGGCCTGAATTGGGCCAGAAACTCTATTTAGCTTGGGCAGGATGGTAAGTGGTGAACAAGTACATTTCTGGCTTTTCTTGCTAATTCCTCTGTTTTGCATTTACAGTGGAACTCTTTGTTTTTTTTTTGCTTTTCTTTTTAACAGGGTCTGTGTTTGGACAGCAGTTTTGCTTATGATTCTTGCAATGTTAAACGCATGCAACATCATTTCTAGGTTTACCAGAATTGCAGGAGAACTCTTTGGAATGCTCATAACCGTTCTTTTTATCCAAGAGGCTGTTAAGGTTCTGATGGGTAATTAAATCTATGGTAAAAGTCATTCAAAAGTCACTTGAACATATTAAAACTCAAAGAGGAAGCTTTTTTTTTTTCTTTTCCTAATTGTGCAGGGACTTGTCGGTGAGTTTTTTGTCCCAAAATATGAAGATTCAAGATTGGAGGTGTATCAATTTCAGTGGCTGTATATCAATGGGCTTCTTGCAGTAATCTTCTCATTTGGTCTTCTTTACACTGCCATAAAAAGCAGGAGGGCAAGATCATGGAAATATGGCTTTAGTATGTGTAAACAGATAATTTTCTTGGCTATATAGATGAAAACTTGACAGAATCAAGAGAGATTTTTGGACAATAACTAGCTTCATTATTGCAGGATGGATGCGAGGTTTTATCAGTGATTATGGAACTCTCCTCATGCTTGTATTGTGGAGCGCAGTCTCATTCTTAGTCCCTAGAAACCTTCCTGAAGGAGTTCCAAGGAGGCTGAAATGTCCGCTGATTTGGGAGAGCGAGTCCTTGTATCACTGGACAGTCGTCAAGGTACTACTAGTCTACTACCACTACCTTGTGAATGTGACACTCTAAAGTCTAACTGTATTGGTAAAAATTACTGCAGGATATGGGAAAGGTCCCACTTCCTTACATCTTTGCTGCATTTATACCAGCGATCATGATAGCAGGTCTATACTTCTTTGATCACTGTGTATCTGCACAAATGGCTCAGCAGAAGGAGTTTAATCTGAAAAATCCGCCGGCTTATCACTATGACATCTTCATTTTAGGAATCATGGTACTGGATTGTGAAGTTGGTTCATATGATTTAGTTTTAAATGTTAGAATGAATACTAATTAATTTGCTTCTAAGTTGCTGTAGACATTAATCTGTGGCCTGCTTGGACTTCCTCCGTCGAATGGAGTCATTCCACAATCCCCTATGCACACAAAGAGTCTTGCAGTACTTAAGAAACAGGTTAGAAAATGAATATCCTGATTGCTTTTTTTAAAAAAAATTCCTACTTTTCACTTGGTTTTGAAATCTGAAATGTTTGAGAATCAATTGCAGCAAATGCGAAAGAAGATGGTGCAAAAAGCAAAAGAATGCATGAAGGCAAAAGCAAGCAAGTCAGAGATTTACGGGAGGATGCAAGATGTGTTTATAGAAATGGAACTATCCCCTAAGGCATATAAACATATCCCTCTCATTTTCTTTCTTTCTCTCCAAGAAGTTAACTTCTCACCCTACCATATCAATTTGAAACTTTGATCAGGCTAGTGTGGTAGAGAAAGAGTTAGAAAACTTGAAAGAAGCAGTGATGAAAGCAGAAGATGGAAAAGGAGACATAAAGGGGAAGAAATTTGATCCAGAGGTACACATAGAAGACAATTTGCCGGTTAGAGTAAACGAGCAGAGAGTGAGCAATCTCCTGCAATCAATCCTTGTTGGATTGTTGGTATTAGCAGTACCAGTTCTGAGAATGATACCAACTTCAGTTCTATGGGGTTACTTCACTTACATGGCTGTTGATAGTCTCCCTGGGAATCAATTCTGGGAAAGACTCCTCTTGCTATTCATCACTCCTGGTCGTCGATTCAAGTACTCTCACACGCACCTTCTTTATACATGAAAAACCATTTTGAAATTCAATTCACAACAATTTTCTGATATCTCTTGCATTTTCTTGTGTGAACAGAGTCCTTGAAGGCTCACATTCATCATTTATGGAGATAGTACCATACAAGTCGATTGTTATGTTTACGCTCTTCCAGCTTCTGTATTTTCTGATATGTTATGGAGTGACATGGATACCTGTTGGAGGAATATTGTTCCCACTGCCATTCTTCATCCTCATTGCTCTAAGACAATACATCCTCCCAAAGATATTCGATCCATCTCATCTCCAAGTTTTAGATTCTTCAGAGTACGAGGAGATGGTTGGTGCACCACAACGGAACCCCAGCTTCGGTTTCACTGTACGTATTCATTATTTTCGTTTCGGTTTTTTCTCCAGTAAAAATTAAGATTACTGAAAAACAAAAATGTGTTTTCGAGACCAGGGAGAGCTAAGAGAGGCGCATGATCATCCTATGAGTTCTGTTGAGATAAGTGAAGACGAGTTTTACGATGCAGAGATTCTAGATGAGATTACTACTAGCAGAGGTGAACTCAAGCATAGAACCCTGACTGTCAAAGAAGACAGATCCCAAGTGGTAATTATATAAAATCCTTGAAAAACATTTTCTTAGAAACCTTTTTTTTTTGTAAACCTTATTTTGTTTACTTTCAATATTCTCCTCAGGTATATCCGGAAAACAATGGACATTCATAAGTCTTGTTTATGTTAAAAAAAATCTTTTGAGGATCTTGCTTCAAAGTAGTAAAGCAAGAATATGCATGTTTGAAGGCAACAGAAGAAGCAAGCAGAAAAAGAATGGGGAAAGAGAGGATACCACTACACGAAACGTCCTGATTGTTTCTTCTATGAAACGTTTTTGGTTTCCTCACTTGTGTGTTATGTTTTGATGAATCTGTTTGCTCTCTGCGTTTATTTACTCAACAAAAAGTACATATCACACGACAATGTTCTCATTTCTGCCTTTAGGGCTAAAAGAGGAAGTTTTGTTTACTTCATTTTGTTTTGTTCAAGTCCAAAGGAACATGAATACCTTTGCCTTATAGAAGAGAAATATGTTCCACTATCAAGGATTATGTTTGCTAATTTGAAAGCTCATCTAGAAGCAGCGTTAGAATTTTCTTGGTCATGCCTTCTTTCATTGTACTAAATATTAAATTTAATGAATAGAACCGGTGGTGACAAACATGTCTCACACACAATTGGTCCGGAGAGTCAGTATAGATTTTAAAGCCCCATTCAATGATTTCTTACATGTCAGTCCAAAAAGATTATGTTACGTAGAAGTTTAACGCAAGCTTTAACTACACCCACAGCGCATGCTTGTACTACACGCACATCATCTCTCCTTTATCTGTTGCATATGTCCAACTCTACCTTGTAGCTAAGCAATTGTGCAAGCAGTGTGCATGTACTTGTATCTCCTTCAAACCTTCTTTTCCGAGGAATGTCAAGCTAAGCCCCATATGAATTCCAATGGATAATCTGCCAACACCAAAATCACAAACGGCTACATTGATTTTATTCCACAAAAGTTATGTCATTCAATCCTAAATAAACTACCATCTTTGTTAAGTAGACTCTTTGAGGTGGGGACATTTAATTTCTCAGAACATCACTTCTCGTCGGTGGATTAATAGATTCGTACTAACCACTTGTCCTCCGTGGAAACACATGTTCTCCGTGGATTAATAGATTCGTACTAATCACTTGTCCTCCGTGGAAACACATGTCCTCCGTGGATTAATAGAGTCTACTAATAGATTATGATCATCGCGTTTTATTTTTAAATTTAGTGCTTTGATTCTTGGTTGTTTCTCCTTTTTCATGTTCAAATTTTAAAATGAAATAAAATGCAATATAACAAAAAAAAACTTTAAAATGCAACAACTTTAAGGCCGATTAAAAATAAAAATAAAACCCTAAACTACTATTATCTAGATTAATTAATAAAAGGCATAAACTAAAACGATGCTAATAACTCTTTCTTTTAACTTTTAAAAAGATGTGAAAAAAAGGAATTCTGATTTATTTAAATATACAATCTCTTGAAATGTATTACAATTTTCATTTTACTTGCGTGCTCACAAAGAAACCTGTAGAAGAAGGAGAAAATCGCCGTCTCTTATAAGCCTGATGTCGTCAAGTTGGGCTCCTTCTTTCGTCAGAATCTTTGTGGCTACGAACCCCAGCTTCTTCTCACCAATCTCAATTAGCTCTTCGAGTGAATTCGGTAGCTTTATCACTTTACCAGAGGAGGAAGCCTCACCACTGATCGTCACTCTCGCCGGATAAACCACACCAACTCCTTCACTTCTAGCATTTACTGTCGATGCTCCTCCTCCTTCATCACCTGACAAATTCACAAAAAAAAAATGCAGAAGTGTTAGATTGCAGCTTATGGTAAAGATGGATGGACCAAGAGGCGTTTTAGTTACCAGTGTTTGCTGCTGACATGATACCAAACAGCGAGTTCTTGAAATTACTGAGCTTGCGTCTCTGAGAGACGGCTCGAGCAAGAGGCGGCATTGCTTCAGTTGAAAGCTGGTGAGTCATTGCAGGCTCGCTAAAATGCTTCATCAATGGTTTAATCTCTGGTGTCCCAGAACCAGATTTTGGTTTCTTCTCAACTGGTCTCTGATTATGAAACAGAGCTTTAATGTCTTCATGTCCTTGATAATCAGCAAGACCACGAGCCGTCCAACCGTAAACATCTGGCATGTCCATATCTGCTCCGTGCTCTAACAAGAACTCCACAATCTCCATGTTTCCTTCTGACACTGCTCTGTGCAGAGCTGTGGCTCCGTTGCTATCTGGGAGTGAGATATCTCCGCCGTATTTAACAATGTCTTTGAGTGCGTCTAAGCTGTTTTGTTCAACGGCTACGCAAGAGAGACGGCCTACTGTGTCAACGCTTAGCGTTGCGCCATTTTCTGATAGGAGTTTAGATATTTCTTCATGTCTCCCAATGATTGCTTCCCATAATGGCACATTTCCTTCTGAATCTGCAAAATACAAAAGTTGATTTTAAGGAATTACTAAACGATGATATATGCGTAATGGACTTGCAAAACCTTTGTTATGTTATACCTCTAATGTTAGGATCTGCTCCATGCTCGAGAAGTAACACAACACAATATTGGCTTCCTTTTGATGCTGCTATATGCTGAGATAGATAATACACACACGAACAAAACACACAGATTGATGAGTGTAAGCATTCAGCAAGTTTTTGGAATGAAGAAGGATATGATAAATTGTATATACAGAGGAATACGGAGGCTGACCAGTGCGGTTCGACCATTCTTATCCGTTTCATTAGGGTTTGAGCCTCGTTTCAATAACTGATGCAGCAGTAAATCGTCTCCTCTTGCTGCTGCAAAACATAAGCTGAGAGGTAAATCCATTTTCCCTTGAGCCAACATCTGTTCTGTATCAGCCAAAATGCTTTTCATCACTGGATCTTCTGAGTCTTTCAGATGCTGCATTAGACCATAACATAACTCACATGAGCATACAGAAACAGGCTAAAACTTTTGTAGCAAATATTATGGGTTTATAAGGAAATAGCTTTGGACCAACCTGAAGAAGATTATTCATGATGATTGCCCCATCACCAACATTTGCTTGAACAAGATTTAAGAACGCTGTACGGTTTAGACGAAGCAATTGACTCAATCGCTTGGTACGAACTGTGAACAACTGTGGCCTGTAACATAGCACCCCAACTTCACCAAAAACATGACCTGTCTGTGCTTCACCAACTACCTGCAATGAATATGCAAATCACATATTAAGACTTACGCAAACCGCATCTTTAAACAAACTTAAAAGGGAACTAACAATGCAGCATTTACCTGATCCACACCATTCACAGATGCAATGATTTCCTGTACGTAAAGTAGAAATGTCAACAATCTCATTCTTAAAATGTATATGAATACGTATAATTTTTCAGTTAATAAAGTAATAATAAACCAAGAAAACTTACAACAGCTCCTGTAACCATTATGTAAAAGTCTGTCGGTGCTTCATTCCGCAAAATCACATCTTCTTTGGGAGGAAAATACTCAGCCTTCATCTCAGAGACCTACATAAATCTCAGAAGTGTAAATCAGTGTTCCATCAAAGGAATCTTTATATAGGAAGAAAACTGTGAATCTTTGCAATGAGAAACATACCAATTGGAACAGAAGATCATTGGATATTCCATGGAACAAGTAAACCTTGTCCACAACTTCGTAGAACAGGTAATGAGAGATGCTGGAACGAATAGCCTTGGGGAGAGACTCAATAATTTCTTGCTGCTGCAGACCTTCTGAATCGGTTCTGTACCTCAATGACAAATGAGCTACCATCTGTTCCTCCAAGCGCACTGGAAGTTTGTTCCTCTGAGCAAACGCTGAGGCGGCGTGGATGGTGTCTCTCTGAATTAATGAAAATGAACACAAAATGAGTCTATGAAGGGAGAAAGAGCAATGAATGAAACCATAAGCAGAACTTACAAAGTTTCTGGTGCGACTGGTGACATGAACCACCAAGTTGGTCATATTACCAATGATATAAGCTAACAAGCCAAGATTAAAGACCATGTAGAAGAAAATGAAGGCCCTCTCTCTTGCATTATTACCATGTATATCACCATAACCCGTCGTTGAGAAGGTGGTTATGGACCAATACATTGATGTAATATACCGGATAAGCATATTCTTCTTCGTCCAATTCTCCTCCGCAAGTGCCATAAATGTCTCGGAAGGCTCTGGGTAATGTGAAGCTATCGAATAGAGGAAGCATGCGCCACAGTGAACCACAAAGAGAGTAGCCTATAACATTACGACCAATCAAATTTCTTAAACTGACATCAAAAGTTGTTTAATGAAAGATTGTGTACAGAGAAGTTACTAACGAGGAGAAGCTTCGTGCATCGAACCCAAAAGTAATTGTATCTCCGATCTTTCTCCAATCTGATCAATCAAGAAAGATTACTATCATAGAGCTTTTTCAGAAATTTGTAACCATATATAGAGGATCATACACATTCAAATCTCACCTTGCAAAACATTTACTGACCCTGCGAAGACGCCAAAGACGCAACATGCTGAAAATTCCATATCCTTGAATAGTCTTATGCAACAAGCTGGCAAAGAGCTCATAAGGAACTGTGGACACCACATCAAAGATCAGCCAAGAGGAAGTGTATCTCCAAGCTATTCGCTTTGGATCATCGACAAGGAGATAAGTTGCCTTGTCGAGGAAGGCAACGAAGAACGTCAGAACAATATCCACGGCGAAGAATCCGTTGACGATGTTATCTAGAATGCTGAGAGGCGCTCTTGGTGTTTGCAGGAACCCAAACTCAAAAGGCGACGCCCACGCTGTGTAGAGCACCAACACCACTAGAAACCAATCCCACGCTCTGAAAAAAAAATTAATGCGAGATTAGTGAATTATAACACTGATTAGCATTTCATCGAACACTGTGGAATCATTAAAAATTGTGGAATAGTTTCCAAAGAGAGGATTAGCTTCAATGGAGCAAAAATTAAGAACTAATAGTTATCTCCAGAAATCTCAGAAGAAACGGATAAGAGAAGCAAGCATGCAGAGAGAACACATGAGTGATTTAGCTAGCGTAAATTATCAAAGCGATGTATATAAGAAGAATGGAAACACAGAGAATCAGCTAGAAATTACGGACTCGTACCTGTAACGAGGATCGAAGGGAGATACGATGAAGGAGCGGAGCTTAGCGTGACGGCTAGCGCGAGAATTGACACCGAGCGGAGGAAGAAGACCTTTGCTAAAGCTGTAGTGGCTCATTGTCCCTCCTATCGATAAATGCTCCGCCTCCACATCCTCCGCCTCCTTGATTGCTCCACCGTCGTGCTTCAGCGGCCAGAACCACACCATCTTCGTCTTCTTCTCCATTCCGATCGATCGTAGCTACTCTCTCTCTTTCCCTCTCCGAGGGATTGGAGGATTTTTAACTGAAAATCCGTTCACGTTCCGTTGTCGAGAGAGGAAGCGCACACATGGGTTGGTCTCCTCCCGAATCCGTTGCTCTAAACTTGGGTGTGACCTCCCTGTGTTTCTCTGCTTTTTTACCTTTTTGCCCCTCTGTAACTGCTTCTCCTCGCTGCGTAATAAAAAAGGGAACAAGAATATTCAGATTTGTTTCTTACTCTTATAAACTAGATTCGTTTGACGTGACAAAATAAAACGCATGAATTTTGGAATCTACCAGACTATCACTATCTGTACGCGTCATACCATAAATTTGGTTTTAATTTGTTTTTAAAGTACCATAAATTTTGAAAACAAGAAAAAAGTATCATAAAATTACGGTCGAAAAAAAAAATCGAATATAAATCTCAATTTAACCAAACGGTAATTTCAAACTATTTTACAGATATTGATATTTTTTTTTTCATTTTCCTTTTAAATGGTATTTTGGGAAGGAACGACTTCACCCAATACATGAACATCAATGTCACAGAACTCATCACTACGCTACGCACGCACTTTGGGAATATGACGATACGTCAGTCAAGATGCCATAAATTCACGCAGTTACAAGAATAAGCATTTTAAGAAGTTTAATTGGCCCACTTAAGGCCCAAGAAAACAGCAAACAACACGACGTCGTTTTGAAATCGTTCTAGATTTTGCCCTCATTTCTCTCCCAGATGTTGAATACGAGTATATCTGAAAGAAAGAGCAGCTCGAGAGAAAGCAAAATCGGTGCAAGAGAAAAAATCGATTGAGGGAAAAAAATGGCGTCGTTACTGAAATCGTTCTGCGATCCAAAGATCAACCCCCTCGCTCGTATCCATAAGAATACCATAGAGACTCGCCTTCGAAGATACGGTCAGATCTCTCTCGAAAACCCTAATTTTTTTGAATCTGGATTGGTTGTTCAATGAGACTCTGTATCTGAAATCTTTTTGTTTTTGATTCTGAATCTGCTCCTTGTGTCTGTGTTTCCATTTTTTTTCAGGTCTCAGGTACGATGATCTGTTCGATCAGTATTACAGTATGGACATAAAAGAGGCAATGAACAGATTGCCCAGGGAGGTAGTCGACGCTCGCAACCAGCGTCTCAAGCGTGCCATGGACCTCTCCATGAAGCATGAGTACCTCTCCAAGGATCTTCAGGTACTCTTTCATATTCCACTTTTTTTGGTTAACCGATGAAATAGAACAAAGATATGGATTGAATGTTGATACGGTGACAATTCTAATGGAATCCACTAGGCTACTTAGATTCAGTTTCGTCTTTTGATAGAACAATGAGGAAATTGAAGAAATATCAGAAACTTTTGTTTGAGATTCTCAATTCAAATTGATGCAAAAGCTAAAAAATTTGTCTTAGTCTAGTTCATCGGTAGAATTGGCTTACATTTATAATACTTTTTTGGGTTTTTTTGTGATAGTGGAACTTGGGCTGTATATAAGCTAATTAAATTTCAGTATGTTGTATGCATCTCTTGCATAATTGCATTACTGTATAAACTCTGCTATTGCTAGAGGTTATCAGAAAATTTGGAAAGGAAATAAGATGGTTCCTTGTTACATTAAAGTTTAATGGTGATTTGTATGTATACTATGAGATTACTGATGTACGCACTGACATTGGTGTACAATGTTAAGCTGTAACTGATAGGCATTCTTTTGAATTTTTTTGTAACTTTCTAATCGAGGTTGTTTGATCATATACAGGCGAAGCAGACCCCATTCCGTTACTATCTGCAGGATATGCTAGCTCTTGTAAGTCTCTTTTGATTTTTTTATCTTTAAATCCGTATCTAGAAATTTTTAGTGTTACTACTACTATAGCATTCTATTCCTCCTTGTATTTGCAATAAAGTTTCCTCTTTTGTGCATGTCTCGTTGACATGCCTCGTTGTCGTCAGTTTGTTGCATACTGCCTGAAACAGTGGTTAAAACTTTGAGATGCATGAATTGCTTTCCTAAACCCTGAAGTCTTTACATCAGAGATAACACTGTTAGGAATGTTTTAATGGTGTTGACGTTGTCTTTTATGTTGCAGGTTGAGAGGGAAAGACTTGAACGAGAAGCTTTGGGAGCTCTGCCACTCTACGAGCGCACACTTCCATAAGCAATTCCTTTTTCACCTTTATTGTGATCAACGCTGCTTCTCTGCATAAATCTCTCCTCTCCAAATGGATTCGACAACATTTGATATTTTTTGTTTCTTCACTTTCTGAACAGAGCTATATACTACTTGAAAAGCATAAGTCTTGTGATAGTAGTATTCTCCTAAACGGATATGTTGTTTGCTAGTTACGTTTTGCGTTTTACTGGCTTGAATAAAATCGATGACGCTACTCAAATTATGTCTCAATGGTAATTCATTTTCTCCGTTTGCTTTGATGTTCCATTGATATAATTTGGTTTCTCAGAGGCTTTAAAGTCGTATGAAGTGAAATGTATATATTTGCCATGACTACATATACACCTTGGTTGTTTGGATGGGCCATGTTTCATCAACATATTTTTTAAGATCGGCGAGTATGAACATAATTGAAAAAAAAAAATCTTATGTTATGTTCGAACACAATCAAATACACACAAAATCCTGCTTGGTAGTGGAAAATAGCCCATGTTAAAAGAGTGTAAGATGAGTTCTTTTGAACTTTTGTGCTCATCATTCATATGATACAGACCCATGTTATGTAGAATTGGGAGGATTCAAATCATTAAATATATACAGAAAAGAGCATATGCATGTGAGTGTGGAGACTGGGTCACTGGGACACAAGTCTTGAATAGAATCAGGCCAGATCTCTTCTTTAGCTACCCATCTCCCTCTCTGTCCCCTTCTTTATCCTTCTCTCTCTCTATCTCTCTCTCTTTTGCTCTTTTTCATTTTTATAAATAAAGAGAGGATGGGAGGAGTTGAGTTGAGACTCTTAAGATTATGAGAATTTTATTGCGTAATATGTTTTTCTTTTCTTCCATGATGAGGTTTGTTAGTCTGAAATCTCATCATGGTATGAATATTGTAGAGCCCAAATGCTTAACTAGAGTGAGAAACGATCGATCAATCATGATGGTGTAGAAGTTAAGGATTTGACATATAGGCTGAGAATGGCCTGAGATCAAATATCGTCCTCATAAGAAACCGCAACATTTCGTATATTACAAATCAAAATGATTTAACCGCAGCAGTCTCGTTGGTGAAACACTTTCATTTTTGTAAAAATATTACTAGTACACCAAATTTTTGTTTGGAAATAAATAAAGATTCATCGGTGAGACAGGCACAGTAAGTGTCTTCCACGTGGGTAGTCCAGTAATCCATCCAATGTTCTTATGGAAATTCTCAAATTTTGACGGCTGTTTTGTCCTTTTCTTCTTCCATGTCTTCTCATCAGTTACTTCGCTCCATTCAAACAATGTCCTGTTACTCTTTTTTCTTTAATTTTAAAAATCAACATTCTATCTACTAACCTCGACAGTTATTGAGCTATTCTGATTTCTGAGTACACCATTTACAGATTTTTGTATTTGTTAATCAAACAAAATGATTTTCATACACAAGTTGATGATGTTGCATTAAAGTTTTAACTGCAGCTACATCTAAAGCTATACATATAAGTATAGATAAATATAGTTTTTATGTTAAACATATGCTATCAATATAATCTAAAAGACTGAATATGTTATTCACATTGATTGTAGATTTCATCTGTCACGTACTGTGTCACATTTAATGGTTTGGTGAGAGTTTTGAATTCTGATAAGCTAGTATATTTCTACTAGTTTTGCAAACCAAGAAAGACAATAGTCAAAATGTCGTTTTAGTAAAAGTTGGTCCACTTCCCCATGCATGCATATCTATAGTAGTATTTTACCAAAGTTACATGACTATGTAACCCCTAATTGACTCATACATAACAGTTACATATATACGATGGGCACATGGGTATTGATTGTTAGTGGAACATGTTAGCAACAAACGCATGTTATATTTAAGTATATAAAATACTCCTATGATATAAAATTGAACTAACTTTATGTAGACTACTTAACTCATGGTGTACATATACACATTTTGTGTATACGAATCCTAGATATGGATCGGATATTTATTAGTGGATCATGCAACAATTGCATGTCATAGGTATTATAGAAATGTATTTACTCATACTGCAATGCATCATGCATGTGTATGTATCTATAAACACGCACGCACTATGTTTTTGGTACAAGAACGTGTGCAATCAAATCACCGCTAAGAGAGTCGGTGCCCTTTTCTCGCAGTGATCCATTATCTTAGTTCTAGCTGCAAAGACAAAATTCGATTATCCATTTTTTTCAATATCATTTCACTCTATAATAGTCATATGTTCGTGGATCAGATTTGCGATTGACTACGAGCATTGTTTATGCATTGGTAAACCCATATGTATACAAGATTTATTGTTTATGCATTGTTTTTTCTCGTAAACAGTTTTTCTAATATCCTCTTGTTTAGTCAAACTAACATTTCGAAGTTTTCTGTAAATGACACAACTACAAGCATACTGCATATATTTCACATTTTGCCTAGTCCGACCATTATATCTAATTGACTAAATCTATGACTACACTATAGATAATGTTAAAGCCAACTTTCGGTTTATATTTTGAAATTTATAGTAATATGATTGCTTGATTATTTTATACTAGCTAGTGTGTTACAAACAAACCATTATGCTTAGATATTTGAGGTTATGTTGACCATGTTCGACATGAATGGATTATTGATGATCCGAAATTACTTTGGTTTGAGAATATAATATCGATGATTATTGACCTGACAGATGTGCAGGCTAAATCTAAGAAAGCACATGAAAAGTTGAAAAAGACTACTTCAAAGTTAGATCGGAGTTGGGCAATTATTTTTGAACTATCTACAGATAAAAAGTAACAATGGACTAATTAAATCATTTTTTTATTTATTAAACTGCTAAAACTAATCATTTGTTCTGTACGTAACTTCTGTTCCACTAAGAATTCCAATCGTAACGATTGGAAACCACCAATCAATCCCGTGAAAGAACCTGAGCCATATGCCTTGCTGTGGATTTGGCACACAGATCAAGCTTTTGATTCAACCGCCCCCTTTGGATTTGATTTGTTTTCTTTTTAAAGTATTGTTCCTATCATTCGTTATGTATATATTCTACAGACTACAGTATGTGATAGATAATTCATAATTCAGAGCATAATTAACTTTAACTTGTGGCGATGCGAGAACCAATGTGCAGAGGCATGTGAGAGACCACATTGTCCCACAGCTTTTGTCCTCTTCACTAACCAAAACTATATTTATCATTTTCAAATTGCAGTTAAATCTAAATGTTTTGCAGCTGTTCCTGTACAATCGATTCCAAAAAAAAAAAAAAAACAGACGATTTTCTTCATAAAAGCAAATATTTTCGATATCTTGACCAAAACATCAACATATATTTTGTAACTTATGCTCAGTATGACAAAATTGTGCAAAGGGCAGCATTAGATTTACCACAGAGTCTTGGCAATTTGTGATACTAATTCAATCAGGGATTTCGTTATAATAGCAATTAGACCAATGTTGTTTAGTCAAACCTTCTAAGATAAAGTGACCCATTTCCAAGGAACGATGGATTAAAAAAAAGGGACCAATGCTGTTCCGACACAAGTCTCTAGTGTCAATGCCGTAGTTTAAACCAAAGGCAAGGGGCTTTTCTTGTACAACTTTGCATATAAGAAGAGCTCTCTCCTCCTCCATCTCTTCCACTCCACTAAACATTCCTTCTCTCGCTCACTCTTCTCTACTTTTTTTCCTTTTCTTAAGGTATTTTATAAAACAAAATAATTGGGGTACAAAAATCGAAAGAAATGAAAGAGATGGGAGTAATAGTGGTTCTTCTACTTCAATCAATCTTCTACGTTGCATTTTGCTTCAAAGATGGTTAGTCCCTCATTCTTTATCTTTTGTATTCAAATCTCGCAACATGTTTATATATATGATCCAAACCCAAAAACAATATACCAGTAGGCAGTAGTTAACTAACTACCAAAAAGTAACAACTCTTGTAGTTAAGAAATCCGTTTTTTCGAAAACATGTTACAGTTTCATCCAATGGCATCTTACAAACTTGCATATCGGAAGTTTTGTTCATCGTCAAAATTTTCGCTTGTATTGGCACCACAAATCATCGAAGAACCGGTGGACTAGTGACATAAAATATGGCGATCTATCTTTTTAAGATGTTAATGTTTTTTTCTTTGCGTATACTCTTCTACTTTGAGATTGTTCCAGTTAACACTACAGAAATAAACTTGGGAATATTAAAAGCAAAATACTTAGAGAGAATAATGGATAGAAGTATGACTTGTTACGGCGAGACAGATCTGTAAATGCACATGGTTTTTGTCAATAAATGCATCACTAAATTACTTTCACCTTCCCATCTGCAACATTTCATAAATATATCAACGGTATACCCTTATCTTATTGGTTTAAATATTTCATACACTTCGGCTTTTTAATTATTATCACCACTTGGTTAATCACAGATCCAAAATAGCAAAAACCACTATTCATTAAACACTCCCCATGTAAAAAGTGAAAGTGTATTGTCACCAACTATACGTACACTAGCTAGGTCCAAATTTGTATATACAAAAAAATTGGTTTTGATTACCCACATATACAGAAAACATTATGTGAAAAGTGAAACTATACTCAAAGTTGGTGTATTGATATATAGATAGAATTTGGAAATGGCTTGTTGTTCTGTTTTCTTAACCTAAAATTATTCAAATATATGCATGTAGAGTGTAGACCTTGTATCTAACTTTTTTTTATTTTCCGCTCTTATTTTACGGAAAAAAAAAAAAACAGGGCTACTACCAAACGGTGGCTTCGAATTAGGACCACGACAATCGGACATGAAAGGAACACAAGTGATGAGCAAAACAGCGATCCCAAACTGGGAACTCTCAGGCTTCGTCGAGTACATTCCTTCAGGACACAAACAAGGCGACATGATCCTCGTCGTGCCTAAAGGCGCTTTCGCAGTGCGTCTAGGCAACGAAGCCTCCATCAAACAGAAACTTAACGTCAAGAAAGGTTCTTATTACTCGATCACGTTCAGTGCAGCTCGAACATGCGCTCAGGACGAGCAGTTAAACGTTTCAGTCGCTCCTCACCACGGAGTGATGCCGATCCAAACAGTGTATAGTAGCTCCGGTTGGGATTTATATTCGTGGGCTTTTAAGGCCCAGAGTGATCATGCAGAGATAGTCATACATAATCCAGGTGTTGAGGAAGATCCTGCTTGTGGTCCACTTATCGACGGTGTTGCTATGAGAGCTCTTTATCCTCCTCGTCCCACCAACAGTGAGTCTTGTTGTATTAATTTATTGCAAAATTTGGGTTTCGTTTTAAAGAAAAGATTCTTCGTAGGTCAAATACGGAAATACTTAAAATTTGAGGGGTTTGTTTTGCAGAGAACATTCTGAAGAACGGAGGATTCGAAGAAGGCCCATGGGTTTTACCCAACACGTCATCGGGAGTTTTGATCCCGCCAAACTCCGTCGACGACCACTCTCCGTTACCGGGATGGATGGTCGAGTCTCTCAAAGCCGTTAAATACATCGACTCCGATCATTTCTCCGTCCCTCAAGGCCGTCGCGCCGTCGAACTCGTCGCAGGGAAAGAGAGTGCGGTCGCGCAAGTCGTCCGCACAATCCCGGGGAAGACCTACGTCCTCTCTTTCGCCGTCGGAGACGCAAGCAACGCCTGCGCCGGTTCTATGATCGTCGAAGCTTTCGCCGGCAAAGACACGCTCAAGGTTCCGTACCAATCAAAAGGGAAAGGAGGATTCAAGCGAGCTTCACTCAGATTCGTCGCCGTCTCGGGTCGTACTAGAGTCATGTTCTACAGCACGTTTTACGCCATGAGAAACGACGACTTCTCGAGCTTGTGTGGGCCCGTCATCGACGACGTTAAACTTCTCAGCGCTCGTAGGCCGTGAAGTGACGGAATTTAAAGTTTAATGATTTATAAGTTGGTTCATTGTTTCATACATTTTGTTAAATTATTCTCTAATCCAAAATGTGTTTCTTTAAAACTACTTCAGCTGTTTCGGAGATCAAAGAAGCAAACATTTTGTCTATAAAATACTAAAAAGTAAACAGGTTTTGGAGGATGTTTTGCTTCTAAGAACTAAGCAAAATCCTCATAAAGAATCACCAATAATCTCTACAACTGCAAACACCATCTTTCATGTGGTGAAACCTCTTTGCATCTCTAGAAATCACCAATCTCCCAACGATCTTGGACATGAGATTCAGAGCGTTATGGCAATCAACGCAGACACGTAAATTCTTCAACACCCGTACTTCAGAGCGCGCAGGAGTGTCGAGAAAGCTAACGATGCAAGCGAACTTCTCCGTGTGGTTAAAAAGGTTCTCGTCTTTGCTCTCTTCATCCACGTCGTGTAACGCAAGTTTGGACTGAGGCACATAACCAATCTCCACCATATGCTCTTTCAAACCCTTCAGCGCCAAATAAAACTCTCTGTTCTCCGGACGAGATATGTCTCCAGCCGCCATAATCTTCTCAGCCTCAAACTTCTTCTTCCTCACCATTCTCCGTAACTTCTCTTTCGCCACGTCTGATGCCCTAACCGGGACAAGACCTGCTTTTGACTCCTTGTTCAGCCTGCTTCCATCAAGCTCCTCAACCATGTCTTGACACCGCTCACCGAGCTCTAAATCCCCGTGAACTCGCGACAGATCCATCAACGTCTCCCACAGATCAACATTCGCTTCCATCGATTCAACAAACCTCAAGGCCTCATCTAAATAACCAGGCTCACCCAACATCTTCACGAGGCTCACGTAATGCTCCACACGAGGGACGATTCCATAGTCTCTGCTCATCGACTCAAAATGCAACATCCCCTCGTTGATGTCACCAAGCACACCACACACGAAGAAGATCTCTTTAAACATTTCCCCATCTGGTTTATTTCCTTCTTCTTTGAAACGATTGAACATGTCAATAGCGTCTTCCTCTCGTCCGTTCTTCGCTAAACACCTTATGACACCACACCAAGTCTCCGAGTTCTTCTCCGGCATACTATCGAAAACGGTTAACGCATCTTCCACGGCCTCGCAGCCGGAGTACATTTCTATTACCGAGTTGTGAACGCTGATATCTGAAGATGAAACCGAAGAAGTAATAAACTCATGAACAACTTTAGCTTCTTCCAAAGCTTGTGCATCTCCGCAGAGCTGTGCCAGCCACAAGAGTCTGGTTAAATCTACAATATAGCCTTCGTTTCTCCATGATTTGATGATCTCAACAGCTGTTTTCACCTTCCCTTCTCTGCAAATCGCATCCAATTCGTCCAGTGAGGAGCAACTATCAATACTCTGATGTCTCTGGTTTAAAATTCCACTGCTTTCCACATAACTACCACTACTCTGATACTGATTGTACGCATATGGGTTTAAGCTCTGCCCATGTGAATTCTGGTGAAGCCCACCAAGGGGTTGATCTCCACTGTTAGACCCATTTCTATAGCCGGTGTGATCTGAGGAGGTAGCCGTTGGATTTCGATTACTAGGGTTTACGAAACCCAACGTCTCCGCAGCTGTGCTCTGGTTTCTAAACAGAGGATCTAGAAATTTCAGGGAATCATGCGTAACACGAAGAGAATAGCGTAACTTACGGGTAGAGCCGAGAAGTGAAGCTCTCGTCGTGTTGTATATCATTGGCGGCGGGAGAGGAGTTGTCGATTGTCGCCGGGGGACAAAACCGGTTTACCGGAAATGGATTCCGAACCGGTTGAGGCAGAGAAAGAGCCAACTTTATAAATCTGTGTAAGAAACTTTGAAAAAGTCAAATTGATAAAATTGCAGAGAAAGACGAAAAAGAATTCAACTTTCTTCGTCCCCGAGAGTTAGCCGAATTCTTCCATTTCAAAGGGAAGAAGAAGAGTAGTACGACCTAAACCGGTCAAAATAAGGAATTACAGTGAAGTAAACCTTCCATTTCAAGATGATGAATATTACGACCAGTAATTCGCTTTGTTTACAGAGACATAAAGGTTCTCACTTTGGATCTGTATACTCGCAAAATTTACTTTAACACATGTCAAAAGTGATAATTTACTTGAACATTCCAAACAAAAACTTGCAAATTTATTTTTACATAAATTAGTTACACTTACACCATCCATAAATTCTTTTTAAGATAAACAAGTTTGATCAACTTATGAGGAGTTATATTCATTCAAATGGTCAGCTTTTTTTGTAGTTACAAAGTTGATGCTAAATGTCTTCTTACAAGCAAATAAACAAAAAAGAAAAGAAAAGGCAGCTCATTCATGGCTCAAAACAACATCACATGAGATAATATTTACTTTACAAGTTTTCGTCTCCACCAATGGAGTTTTCGTCTCCACCAATGGAGTTTTCATGATCACTGAAACATTAGGCAGAGAACAGTAAAACTATAGTTATAATTTCTGGGCAACAAATCGATATTGACATGACAAAAAACAGCTGGCCATGCCAGGTTGCTTTTGCAGGTTATATAACTCGTTTTGATTCTATAAGGAAGCAACTAACTACTCAAGACAACATGTGATGTGCATAACCACAACAGATCTTGCAAAAAGGATCCATACCTTTGTGGAAATTATTGAACTCGACCTCGGAGTTTCATAACCTGCAATGTACACAAACACAACTAGCTTTGCTGGAGAGATCTGAAGGGTGAGCTTCAGATCACATCACATAGTTAAGGAAACAAGACCAGGCCGTAAATATATCTAAGGAAACCTGCTCAAAGTACAGCTTTCAAGGCTCTGTGGACAAAGCCAACTCCAGGACACCTGAAAGAAGCCGCAATATCAAGATAACAACTAGAGAAGGACAGCATAATAGCACCAAGCAGATGGCCAAGGGAGAAGTTGTAAACCCCAGCATCAGAGTTTAGATCTCTAAAAGCAAAAGGTCTGCAAGCCCCAAACAAGGCGACACTGTTCCTGAAAAATGCACGGGGAAAATCAATATTGTCCAGAGGGATAAATACGATTGACCCATCTTCTCACAAGTATATTAACACACAAGTGTGCCGTCCGGCATAAACATAAAAGCGAGGAACATTAAATCATACTACAAAACTGAATCACAAAACTTATCAACAATAAAAGACAGAACCATATATATACAGCCTTCAAAATAGGATCATCTCAGAGTATTAATACATGATTTTTTTTTGCTTTAACCAGTAAATACAATAGGGAAATCTGACAAAGCAATAGAAAAGAACACCATAATGAACCTTGTAAATTTTCATTCTACTCAAGAGTTTCAGTACATACTTTGTATTCTGCTGTCTATATACTCAATATAAAACCCACTGGAAGAGAACAATATATATGACAATTGATTCCACATTGCAGGAAACTATAGCCAAGACTAAGAGATAAGACTTGACCATAAGAATCAAAAAGAAAAGAATGAATTCTGATTTGATACTAACAAAATTGACTGCGAGTACCAGCAGATATCAAATTTTTTACCTCCATCAAATGTTCATCATCTGATATATTAAGAGAAAGACGGAGATCAGTTAGTGATGCTTCTTGTTCCCAACTCAAGGGACCAGAAGCAAATAACCCCCCCAATGTACTGCGGTAAGTATATAGATCAGACCTACAGGACCTTCTTGCTCCATCATTTGCAAATGAATGTTTCCGCGTTGTTTCTTCTCCAAGGCCACAAGAAGATTCAGCGTCGCTACTACATGCGTCTGCCTGTTGACTGGAGCCATCTAGCATACAAGGTGGCATGTTGCTCTCATCATAACTAGTAGCACTACAACTACCAACCGAGCATGCATCGCTATCATAACAATCATCAGCAACCAAGCTTCCTGGACGAACACTCCCACTGTACCCTTTTGAGCTCATCCTGACCATTTGACAGCAACCAGTTTTCTGATTCTTAAAAGAAGCTTGCGCGTGAGATTTACCACCCCTATTTTTAGGTTGGCAAGCAATAACATCTACCTTTTCCATTGATCGTATCTTCTTAGGGTTACCTGTGCATGATTCAGCACATTCAGACCAGTTCAAAGGGGAAGACCTCTTCAACACTCTAGCAGAGGCAACACTAGGCTCGTTGAGACGTTTGTTGTTCATTTGGGGCTGCAGCTTCTGATGTACGTCTGATCCAGTCAGTGTTGATGACTTCAAAGAACCAGATACCTGAGAAAATGAATAAAAGCCAGTTAGTCAATGTGTATGTAGAAGAGAAAAAAAAAAGTGTATAACATAAGATAAACGAAATTACCTTCCCAATAGCAACCCATGTCTCATCTTGCCACGACTGTCGGACCCTGAGGTTGACTTTGTGAAATGTAAATTCCGCTGGAGTCCCAAGCAATCGAACCACATAGTACTTCCCACACAACTCTTCTCTCACAGTGGCAGCTTTCCAGGCGAAATTATCAAGAACTTCCACCAGCTCACCAGCCTCCCATCGCTCGACATCAACTTGCGGAGGACACGGCCTAATCACCTTCCGTGGAACTCTCTCCATTTCTGCCTCCTCATGTGCAAGTTGTTGTTGGAAAGAGTAATACCTAACATTGTAGGTACGTCCATTACCTGAGATAATCTCAGCACATCGCCACGCACCATAAGGTGCCTCTTTGTTGCTAAATACCTCAACTTTGCTTCCTTTTATGAATCTCATGATAACTCAGTCGACTTTATACCTGCAAAATAAAAAATGTCACATAAGTATAAGCAATACATCAAAAGGAAAAGGCTTTATATCATCCTGCAGAAAGCTCAGCAACACAGATTTAAACAGCAACAGCAAAAAATCCAAATTAAATCCGCAAAAAAAAAACGTATTGCTTGAAGTAATAATCCAGAAAACCCATGAACACAAATCGTAAGAATCTGCGGATATTAAGATGAAAAAAAAAAAATTAAAACAAATCATTCACAGGAGATACAAACTAAGCAAAGATTGATGCAAGCTTAGTTCCCAACAATTTTTTCAAATAGCAAAATAATCCGTCAAAGGAGAAACCAAAACAACTTCCAAACGATCAAATAGCATAAATTAATTGAAGAATCTCGATCCAATTTGTTTTTCTTATAGATCAAGGGATGAACACCAACATCGAAACAACAACCAAAAAAAAAATTGAACAAAAAGTTTACCTTCTGAAATGACTGAATTGAGACTTGATCGCCGGAATTTTTGAAGTTTCTCTCTTGATTTCTCTGAGATGTTGATCGAAAATATTGTAAGAGAAATTGGGAATTAGGGCTTCGAGTAATGGGGGAATATGAGAAGCAAATTGGGCGTTAAGAAATTTATATTTTTAATTTTATTTTCGTGACGTGGGATTAAAGTTAAAAATCTTTAAACCAGAAATAGGAGACAACCCATATATTAATGACGGTTTGATTAGTAAATTAAACATGTGTCACTCGCCTGCTTAGAGCGTGCTCACGCGCGTTAATTGTGCTTTCAACGCCCTTTGATACGCCCCCTTAATTTTATAGCTTCAACAGATCATGAATTGCTTTATATGTAACATGCCTTTTAATAGGTCCTTCGAATTATTTGATTTAAGCAACAAAAAATCAACTTACAGGTATTTTCACGTTGCACAAATTGATATGATGTGTACACTCAAGTCCTTCTCTTTGTGCTTTACGCAATATATATATTTCGTTCATCTTATACATATATTTGAACAACCTTAATGTTGCACATATTTACGCCTATATTAATAAGCATTTATGTTCTGTTAAAAAAATTAATGTAGTTTTTGATTATTTTGAGATGATTTTATATTGTGTATATCAAACGAGTCATGAAATGACATGTAATTATAGAAGTTACAACGACTTCTTAGAAATAAATAAAACGGCAACATCTCCATAAAGACTACTTCTTCTGATAAATGTAACCTTTGACCATTGCTTTAACAAAAAATAGCTTTGACCATTGACCATGGGTATGGTTTATTCGTGAATGCAGTTTAAGTAAGATTCATACACGATACTAAATGCCACCATGTTACTACACCCATCTTTACTAAACCCACCGATCTTATTTAAGCATTCCAGAAGTCACCACACCAGCTATATTTCACTCTTTTGATGTAGCAGAGAAAATAATTATTACCGGTTAGGTGATCCGACCCATGACGACTTGATATACAAATCAGGATAATGCGATCTTTATAAATATAACTGCATTATACACAATGAGTAATGCAAGACTTTTCAGATTATTTATTTATGAAGCTCAAAAGTCTTATAGAATGTTTCCATGTTAAATTCTCTTATCATTTTTTTTGTTTGGTACCGATTACGGATTACCTACTGCCTTTGAATACAATTGAGAAACCGGATGGTGATCATTAATTTCAATTAGTAAATCGACTTATGCGTTTTAACTTTTAAGAAGTTTTAATGTCGTAAAAGTCCTACGATTTTTCTGACAATGGAAAAGAAAAGTATGTGATTAGAAAATGCAAACTGGAAGGGAAAGTGTAGACTGGCTTCTCAAGTGGGGCAGGTTAACGTGTTAGGAATATCCGGAGTATGAGGTTATCGACGACGTAAACATTCTCCTCCTCCCTCTTTCTAAGTTGCTTAAGAATAATTTCAAAGTTACTTAGAAAATATTATTTTTATTCGAATAACAAACTAAACAATGATAAACGTAAAGAGACGTGAATAAGAGTCCAACACCAACCTCATACCTTAAAGCCATCATATTCTGTTCTGGCTTCGTTAACTTAACATTACAAAAACAAAGGTTTAACAGAATTGTCCCTTAAAGAAGCAATTTGTAATTAATCCTGTTTAACTTCTGACTTATTTTTTGGTTTTATATTAGTTATTTTATCATCTGGCTTGGAACTAGTATCAACTGAATTCGAACCTAACAAAAAATAATGAAAACTATTTTTAAAAGTACATATGTTTGCGCCCGATTGTTTTGTTGTTTGTTTCATATCTCAGCTAAACATGAGTTGTCCAATGCTTACTTATATCATAACAAATGTTGATAAAGAAAATTTCCATTTTACAGTTGATGAAAAATAATAAAAGTACAAGATGTATCCATCAGAGATGGCAAAATTAGGCTGGTCTATTTCAGGTATAGCAATGGGTAATATTAGCTAAGAATCAATGCATAAATAACTACTATAAACTAAAGTACACCTAAAAAAATATGAGTGGGTAATTCAAATAATGTTGTGCAGCAAATAATTCCAGCAGCTAGATTCATGAATTCTCCCATTAAATCGAGTAGGAGTCGCATTCATGTTCATGTGATGTGAAATTTTCTAGTTTATTTCTGATCATTTTGAATATTTTGTTACTGATTTTTCATATTTGAATCATTTGAACTAACCAAAATAGACAGCAAAAGGTACAGACAAATGCCCAAAACACAAGTTTGTTTTTCGTTCAGCTATCAATATTATACAGTGTTGCATTACAATCGTACCGGTCAATGATGTCAAAATCAGAGAACCATGCTAAACCGGCATACCATGGTCTTTTTCCTTACAAACCCAACGCACGTACGTCCATGAAAGAAAAAACAAAAATCATAATCAATCATGTAGTTAGGGGTTAAAAAATCCCACAGTTAACGTTTCTAGATTTGGTTTAACAACCTAAACTTACGTTTCACTGGTTTGGTTATCAAGGTATCGCCAAACCAATACACAAATCCCGGCTGTGAACAGGCTCCTTGTGAAGGCCCTAAACTGCAACCTCTCTCTCCAACTTCATCTCCAATCCGATAATGTCCACCATTCTATAAATCTCATCAGATTTCGGGTGAGACTTGTCCCCAGTAGAGAAACCTTGCATCGTTAAAGAACCTTCAGTGTCAACAACATCAATCCAACTGAATCCAACTTCTTTCCTCACATCTTTCTTCCTCATCTTCCTCCTCATTTCTGCAGCTTTCTCCCACTCTCCGTTCTCTGCATAGATGTTATACATCTGAACGTAAGAGCTCGACAACTCCGGCTTCATCTCCATCGCAAGCTCTGCCACTCTCGCTCCCATTTCCACATTCCCGTGCAGCCTACAAGACCCGAGCATGCTCTGCAACATCGACTCTCCTGGTCCTCCAGGAACCTCACTCATAAGCTCCTCTGCTTCTTCCAACCTCCCAGCTCGGCCAAGCATATCCACCATACACGAGTAATGCTCATGAGACGGCTCGAGCTTGTAGTCTCTGGTCATCGAGTCGAAAATCTCATAGCCTTTCTCCACCATACCTTCTCTATTACAAGCTGTTAACACTGAGAGAAACGTGACCAGGTCTGGTGCTACGTTCTCCTTAACCATCTCTTGGAAAAAGCTCATCACGGATTCAAAATCCCCATGGTTTGAATAGGCCGATATGATCGATGTCCATACAAACTGGTTCCTCTCAGGCATCTCGTCAAAGACTTTCTCGGACTCATTGATGCTCCCACGCTTGGCGTACATATCAAGAAGCGCGCTTGAAACAACACGGCAGCTACACAAACCAGATTTCAGTATACGAGCATGGCAACGCTGACCTTGCTTTAGAGATATATCCTCTGCAGAAGCTATTGCGTTCAAGACGCTTCCGAAAGTGTACTCATTTGGCGTTGTCTCTGCTGCTGCTGATAAGAACATCTTGAGAGCTTCGTGTGAGAATCCGTTTTGCGCAAATCCAGATATCATAGCATTCCAGGAAATAACCTCCCGGAAATGTATCTCATCAAAAGCCTTCTTGGCATCTTCCAGAGCCTCAAACTTGGCATACATTGTGATGAAACTGTTGCCGATAGACAGTTTCGAGACAAAACCAGTCTTGATGCATATCCCGTGAACTTTAAGCCCTTCTCTGATTTCCCCATTGCACTTCACAGCGTTGATCAATCCAACAAACGTGACCTCGTTAGGGAAAACTCCATCTAACCTCATCTCATGAAAGATGGACACAGCATCATCTTTGTTAGCTGAAATCATCGTCGTCCAAGAGACTACATTGCGCTCACTCATTCGGTAAAACACTGATTTCACAGCTTCTGAAACCCCACACTTCCAGTAACTTGAGATCAAAACGTTACCAACTTCCACAAGTGTTTCATAACCTCTTTTTACACACAAACCATGGATTTGCTTAGCCAGTTTCAGGTCAGGTTCGTGACAACAAGTTGTAATCACGCTGGTGAAAGACACATGATCAACCTCCACACCTTCTCGCATCATCTCCTTAAACACAGCCACAGCTTCAAACCCGAAGTCGCCTCCTTGAGAAAGTCCTGACAATAGAGAGTTCCACGAAATCATATCCTTCACCGGCATTTCATCGAACACTCTCTTAGCATCTCCGAAACTTCCAGCTCGCGAATACATTGTTATAAACGAATTCCCAACGACAACATCAGAGTCAAGTCCGGATTTCACAGCAGGAGACTGCAACTGCAATGCCAAAACGAATCCTTTAGAGCCAACACAGAAGGAAAGAGCGGTGGAGTAAGTGAATTTGTCGAAAACAACTCTGGCGGATTTCATCCTAGCAACGAAACTCAGAGCAACTTGACTGTCATCGAATCCAGAGAGTATAGTGTTCCAAGAAACAACATCAGGTTCAGTTAGATTCTCAAATAAGCGCAAGGCATTGCCGAATCGACCGGCGTTGCGGTACATACCCATTACAGCGTTTGAAACGCAGACGAAGGAAGTGAAGCCAGACGTTATCGAAAAGCCGTGGATTTGGCAGCCGCGTTTCGGGTCTCCGCGGCATGCTTTAAGCGCTAGGCAAAGAGTGACCTCGTCCATACTACTACGACCGGGAAAACCCAGGTGGAGATTTTCCGTGAAGATAGCAAGCGCTTTTGACGGAGAGTTTCTCCGTAAGGAGTCACTGATTGTATAGTTAATGGAAGTCGTCGCATTTCTTCGGGAACTTCCATCGAACAGCTTGTGAGCAATTCTAGAAGACGAGCAGAATCTCTGAAAAAGTAACGATTTTGAGGGATTACAGTGTAGATGACTCAGAAGGGTCATGAGAAGCAAACAAGTCGTCGGATTCAAAGTTACCGACGAGTGAATTAGCTTCGGAGAAGAAGAGAGATTTAAGCTTCTGTGAGTATAAACAGAGAGGGACTTGCAGAGCAAAATAGAGTTTTGAGGGCAGAGTTGTAAATTACGGTCAAGTTAGAGGGCAATACGGAGAAGCTGGTGATTGTTCTTTTTAAGGTGTCCGCTAGGTTTTCCTCCAGCTCAGTCATCGTCTATCTTGTAGCTCGGCGTATTTCTCAGGTAAAACCCTCGCGATTTTAGCCCTAAATCTTCTCCGCTGCACTTCATATTACTCCGATTCGCAGTCTTCAGCTGGAATTGATATTTAAGTACCGGTTTCTCTGATATATGCGATGATTTCTTCATAATTTGCCCAATTCCTCACTGATACGATCGTTTTAGTGTATTCGATGGTCTAAAGTTGCAGGAACTTCTAAAAGGTTAAGGTCACTGTTAGTTCTGAGTAGTCTTGGGCATGGATTTCTCTAGAAACTGTAATTTCTGATGGATTGGTTGAGGATTGATCTCCGTGCACGCTGTTTATTTGACACTGTACATTGTTCAGCTCATGAAAAACTCATTTCTGCATCGCCATTGTTATTAACTGATGAGCGTAGAAGGTTTATAATTCGTCTCTTGACTGTAGAGCTGGTTAGCTGGTTTGGGGCCTGTGTGAAGTATCTTGTAGTCTGGGTTTTAGTTTCTCAGTGCGATGATCATCTGCGTTTCCATATTATCTTTCTTCATCTATTTAATATTCGAGTCTCTTATGTGTTTTACGTGTATCCTCTGGGCTTTTCAGGTCATTACTTTGGTTAGCTTGAGCTTTACCAAAAACATGGCAAAAAAGAAGAATCCGCAGGTTTATATGGATGTATGCATTGATGGAGATCCAGCTGAAACAATGGTTTTTGAGGTACAATGGTGTTTGTCTATGTTGATGTTCCTTTTTTTTGGTACTCTCTTGGTCAAGCATAAGTGTTAACATTGCGGAAATTCTTCCTTTAGCTTTTCCCTGAAGTCGCTCCCTACACAGCAGAGAATTTCCGTGCACTATGCACAGGTTTGTTTTCTGTCCAGCTAAGCTTCTTGCGTCCTTGCAAAATTTTCCTTCTCCTATATCATTTTCTTTCCCTTGTGAAATCGTTATAGGAGAGAAAGGCATTGGACCCAGAAGTGGAAAACCTTTGCATTACAGAGGATCTTTTTTCCATAGAATACTGAAAGGTGCCTCAGCACAGGTTTGTTTCTGCATTTTTTAATTACTGATATGATGTTTTCAGTCTTGTATTTTTGGCTTCTTTCTCAACATTGCTTGGATGTTCGCCTTTTAGTTCGTTTCTGTTCTTTATGCTGTAGGATACAGGTCTGATTGCCACACCTGCTTTTCATGTGATATAGTTTTAAGGTTGTACTACTAGTTATTTATGCTCAAACGTTAGGCCTTCTCATGCAAAGAGTACACTTGATGTACAAACATATTCACGGTTGCTCCTGGTCTAACAACTTCTTTTGACTTTTTCCAGGCTGGAGATTTTGTGAATCGAGATGGTATGTACATTAAGAGAACGTCTAATAAGTTATGCAGCCAAGATTCGAAAATTCATTGTTCACTGAATAACTTTTTATATTTCATTCACTTTCTAGGTACTGCTGGGGAAAGTATATATGCTGGAAAATTTCCAGGTCAGTTTACCATTGTGTTCTTTATCAACGATCTCTTTTCATTTACCCCAGCAAAATATGAGAAGCTAGATCTCTTGTGTGTCTGACGTCTCTTTCCTATATTGTTTCATTACTTACTTTGTATCAATAATCAATAGTTCATTTTTGGAGGCGTTGCTTTATTGACTCTTAGCTGCTTGTCTCTTTGTTAAGATGATATTTTTTACTTATTCCTTTGAAAATGTTACTAAGTAGCGAAAGCAATTTCTGATGTTACCAGATGAGTCACCGAAACTAAGGCATGAGGAGCCTGGTCTTTTATCGATGGCTGTTGCTGAACGTAACAAGCTGGGATCACACTTTCATATTACCTTCAGGCCAAATCAGCAGCTTGATAGGTCTCATTCTCAATGTTACTTAGCTTATTTTTAAGATCCCTGAATAAACAATATATCATGTTTCAGTAGTTGTGAATTTTCCTTTGAGCATTGCTTTCTCTCTGACTGTTTCTGTTTTCCCTCAGGAGTAATGTCGTTTTCGGAAAGCTCATTCAAGGGAAAGAGGTACTAAAAAAAATTGAACGTCTGGGTGATGAGGAAGGCAAACCTACTGTAAGCGTGAAGATTATCCGCTGTGGAGAATATTCTGGAGGTACGAATATTCTACTATTGGTTACTGCTACATATGTCATGACTTCGCAATCATAACCAGTCCACATCATTGCATGATTTGTCCATGCAGACAAGAAAATAATTAGCATTGATGGTCGAAAAAGTGGAAAGCACAAGAAATCTTCAAGAGAGAGAAGAAAGAAGAGGCGAAGACACTCTTCATCCGAGTCTGAAAGCTCTTCCGATTCTGAAACAGATTCCTCAGAATCTGATAGTGAGTCAGATTCCGATTTGTCTTCTTCTGACCTTAGTTCCTCGAGCCATGAGAGGCGGAAGAAGAGAAAGCGAAGTTCAAAGAAAGATAAGCATAAACGGTCTAAACGGAGAGACAAGCGCCATGAGAAAAAGCGGACGGTGCATGATAAGAGGTCGAAACGCAAATCAAGAAGGTTTCAAGTCTTTTACACTTCGCTTGTTTATAGCCATAGTTTCCGTGTCAATACTGGTTGAGAGAAATCTATTAAAATATTGGTCTGCAAAATTACCTGTTTTAAGTAGTGGGGTACAGTATATTATGACAGTCGTGTTAACTTCTGTTCTGAGAATCCATTATTATTTATAGATCTAAGATTGATAAACTTTGTCTCTCTCTCTCTCACGTAATAGGAGCATGCGGGACTAGTATAACTGGTTGTGTATCAGAGTTATTCACTTGTGTTCTGCAACCTTTCAGGTCCCCAGATAGTCTTACAGGTGATGAAGGCAATAGTGGAAGTGAAGCAAGTTTTAGTGATGCCCATGCTGATATTGGAGCAAGAAGAAAGAAACCCAGAGTCTCGAGTAGAACAGGTTATCTCTAAAACTCAGACTTTTGTCTTCTGTTTCCGCAAACATCAATTTGTCTTCTCTGATTTGTTTCGTCCTTCCTTTAATGATTTGTCCAATGGATGGGACATGATGCTTTGAGTGCCATTTGATCATATCATATTTCAGTATCTATATGCCTTTCGTATAAGCATCATGTTGATCGTGGGTCTTCATATTATTGCCAATATTTTCTTGGCTGATCTCTATAGGCAGCTCAATATAATGTTTTGATACAATTCTGATTTTGAATGATATATCCAATCAGGTAACTCTCAACCAGAGGTGGTAAAAGAAGCTGAATCACTTCACCAGGACAAAAGGGAGGGACCAGATTTGCTTGACAAGGATGACGGTGCATCAGATCACATTTCTGATAGGCAACCTGATATTGTGGATGATCATTCTGGAAAATCTAGGTCTAGTGGTTTACCTTTCAACACCTCATCTAATGGTTTACCTTTCTCTTATCTCATATGGAATCTGACTAAAATTTGATGCGCAGGAGCCGTAGCTTGAGTCCTAAGAGGAAAGCAAGTAAGAGCATGAGTGTTAGTCCCCGGAGGAGTCGAAGTAAGAGCCAGAGTTTAAGTCCTAGACGGAATGTGTGCAGAATTCCTGCTAAAGGTAGCCGCCAAGTGAAGAACTTGACAAACAATAGAAGCAAAAGCCCAGAGAGTGAAGAGAAGGGCAGGCGTAGTAGGAGGAGCCCTACCAAAAGTGTTAGTAGAAGTCCGGTGCGCATGAAAAGGGGAAGAGATACTAATAGAGGTCCTTCAAGGAGTATAAGCAGAAGTCCATTGAGGAACGCTAAAAGGAGTATTAGCAGAAGTCCAGTGAGAGTTAGGAAAGCCAGAAGCCCTAGCAGGAGCCCTGTGAGAAGTCTTGGGAGAGGCCCACGTAGAAGATCATCAAGAAGATCACCTAGCAGAACTCCAGTTCGATTATCAAGAAGAAGCTTGAGCCGGAGTCCCATTCGATCAGCTACGAGATCAGTGAGCAGGAGTCCAATCAGATTATCTAGGAAGAGTGTGAGCAGGAGTCCAGTCCGATCATCCAGGAGAAGTATTAGCGGGAGTCCAGTCCGATCATCGAGGAAAGGTGTGAGCAGGAGTCCAGTCCGATCATCTAGGAAGAGTGTGAGCAGGAGTCCAGTCCGATCATCTAGGAAGAGTGTGAGCAGGAGTCCTGTTCGATCATCCAAGAGAAGTATCAGCAGGAGTCCTGTTAGAGGAAGGAGAAGAAGAGTTAGTAGAAGTCCAGTTCAAGCGAGGAGGAGAAGTCCGCGGCCTAGATCTCCTCTTCGTGATCTCAGACGAAGTTTGTCAAGAAGTGCTTCTCCTGATGGACGCATCAGGAGAGGGAGAGGATTTAGCCAGAGATTCTCATACGCCCGTAGATACAGAACCTCTCCGTCTCCGGATCGATCTCCTTACCGCTTTAGTGATAGGGGTGACCGTGACAGGTGAATATCCAACACCTAATGGACCATAACTGTTCTGTTTACGCTTGCTGACTCTTTTTTCATAACGTCTCTTTGTAGATTCCGAGGTCACAGAAGGTACTCGCCAAGACGGTTTAGAAGCCCACCTCCAAGGTACTTACTTTTTCCTCTTTAGTACATTCGTTTCTACTTCTCCTCTACATTTAAAAGTCTCATAAATGGAAAAGTAAATTGTGTGCTCCAAATAGAATTAGTTCTTGATTTCACAACTCGAAATGTATTCTCAGGTTTAGAAGAAGAAGCCGGTCTATATCGCCTGGTCCGCGTTATCGCAGGAGGCGGTTCAGTCCCAGCCGGAGCCCTATCCGTAGCCGTTCACCATATAGAAAGAGAAGGTCACCATCCGCTAGCCACAGCTCGAGTCCATCGAAATCAAGATCCGGATCAAGGTCAAGATCAAACTCAAAATCTCCCATTGGGACAAGGAAAGCAAAATCGGTGTCAAGATCACAATCCAAGGCAAGGTCTCCATCGAAGTCGAGTTCGTCGTCCTCGGATGGTAGCTCAGGTGGGAAGAAGGGATTAGTAGCCTATGATTAATAATAACCTTTAACAGTTGCTTCTTTTACTCGGAATGGATGTTAAAGAGAGTAAGTGGAGTGGTTACTTCTGTAGAACATCTGCATTGTCGTCTGCATCTTTTGGTTGTGTGTTTGATTATGGCTTATGTTGATGCTTACCGACAATTTTTTTCCTTTTTTTTTTGCCAACTGCCGACAAATGCTTACTTCCAATATTCCGGAGTTGGTTTTGATCCATATATCGAGTAGTCTTCTACTAAACTCTGATAAATCACATAACTAAATCGTGTTTTTCTATTTGAAAAATGGTATAATTGCGATTTGGGCCATTTGGCACAGATCATTACATCAACATCATCATTATATCACCGTCATAACCATTATCATTATCACTATCATCATAAAGAAAACATTTATAAGAAATTGTTTCTTTTTAAAATGGGATTTATACCTAAACTATACATTTTTTGTAAAAAATGTTGAAAAATCTGGCTATAATATTTACAATTTTCAACATTAGGTTGTTGCAAATTCGACCCGTAACTTGTAAAGCTAATGATTTGAGCCTAAAACTACACTTCAGAGTTTTTGCGTCCACCGACAGGCAAATAAGAGAGAGAGAACAGGCTGTTAACAGCGAACAACGTGGCTTCTATTTTTTTTGTTTATAATAATTTATCAAACAATGATAGTTTTGTTTTGTTCTGTCTCTTTCTTGCAATACGATTTCTCCACGTCACATAGTAGCTGGCGCGTCTAGTGAGGAAGCCAACGACTCGGCCTTTAGTAACCAAATGGTCGAAATCAGAGAGATAACGAGAGCCGAGCCGAGCTGAGCCAAACAGTGGGAGAAGAAGAGGCTACCGTCACCACCTCCGGTGATATCTACTTGTCATTTTAAAAATAAGAAAATGAAAAGACACTGCGATAAAATAGGCAAAGCAGATTGTTGAATGCGAGATTAGTGAAAGAGAGAAAGAGAGAGAGAGAGAGAGAGTGTCAGTGTGAACAAATCTTTCAGTGGAGAGATTTCGAGATGCCGTATTGAATCGGCCAAGAATTTCTCAAATCGAATTTGTAAAATCTCTCTTCTCTCTGTGTTGGTGGGTGAACGTTGACCTCACTCATCAGCAATGGAGCCTAGTTCCGGCTTGATTGCCGGATCCTACCGGAAAAACGAGCTCGTTCGGATCCGACACGAATCTGACGGCGGGGTTCGTTTCATCTTTGCCTTCTCTGTTTCATTTGGTGTTTCATATTTATTTGTCTTGCTTACGATTTTTGATGGGTAGATCTCATCCAGATTTCTCCACTTTTCTAAATTTATGTCTTTTGGATCCAGAATTGGATCATGAATCTCTCAGATTCCGATCTTCCACTGAGAATTTCACTTCTGCTTACTCTAGTTGGTTAGTGTGTCAAGTAGTTAAAAATGGAAACTTTTCTCTGCTCCAAGACTTTCAATTGTTGTGATTAGTGATCATTTCCGGATCTATGAGTTAATGCCATGCCGCATCTTTTTAACTAACGGAAAGTGTCGGTAGATTTCAGTTTAGATTCTTGATCTATCGAAATTAATTCGCCAGCTTCTTTTTATTATAATACCATAAACTGTGACAGTCCACTACTTTGATCACTACTTAGCTGAATCAGATCTCGTCGCATTTTGTTACTATGCGGTGACTGTGACTCGCCTTGATTTTAGATCTGCATTAATACGGAGATGTTATGATTTGGATCCATACGGATCTGTTCCGGTAGTGTTTCTAATACTAACAATGGTGCAATGTAAATCTGCAGCCTAAACCTATGAAGAACAATGGGCAGATATGCCAGATATGTGGTGATGATGTTGGGCTCATTGAGACCAACGATGTCTTTGTGGCTTGCAATGAATGTGCCTTCCCTGTGTGCCGTCCTTGCTATGAGTACGAGAGGAAAGATGGAACTCAGTGCTGTCCACAATGCAAGACTAGATACAGACGACACAGGGGTCAGTTGTCTGTTTTCCTTTTGCTGTACAGGTTTCTCTGTTGAGTCTTTGTTGCTCATCTGTTGATTGACTATTTTTGCAGGGAGTACTCGTGTGGAAGGAGATGAAGATGAGGATGATGTTGATGATATTGAGAATGAGTTTAACTACGCTCAGGGAGCTAGCAAGGCGAGACGCCCTCGCCAAGGTGAAGAGTTTTCTTCGTCCTCTAGGCATGAGTCTCAACCAATTCCTCTTCTCACCCATGGCCATGCGGTATGGTCCGACATTTTTCGCTTTAGAATCTCTACACTGGACCTTTTTAATTTGCATTTCACGTCAAATGCTTTGCTGATAGTACATGATCTTCCAAATTTCAGAAATAAGATTTTATATTGTTAGTTGTCTCTTTTCAATAGATGCTTGACCTTTTGCTATACACAGGTTTCTGGGGAAATTCGCACGCCTGATACACAATCAGTGAGGACTACTTCAGGTCCTTTGGGGCCTGCTGACCGGAATGCTATTTCATCTCCATATATTGACCCAAGGCAACCTGGTATTAACATTTTTCGTTTGCTTTGTGCACCAGGCCTTCGTTAGATGTGATTCCTGTTCATTTTTACAACCATTTTGGTGTACTGTAACTGATAGCTCTTGCTGAAAATTGCAGTCCCTGTAAGAATCGTGGACCCGTCGAAGGACTTGAACTCTTATGGGCTTGGAAATGTTGACTGGAAAGAAAGGGTTGAAGGCTGGAAGCTGAAGCAGGAGAAGAATATGTTACAGATGACTGGTAAATACCATGAAGGGAAAGGAGGAGAAATTGAAGGGACTGGTTCCAATGGCGAAGAACTCCAAATGTAAGTTGAAGTACTTAACCCAGTATCTTTCTTGCTTTATATGCTCTAGTTTCGTTGCAGATCTTATTTATATTGAAGTACTAGTAGACCGAATATCTTTCTTGCTTTTATGCTCTAGTTTAGTTGCAGATCTTATTCATATTGAGTTATTTTTCTCGTGCTTACAGGGCTGATGATACGAGGCTTCCTATGAGTCGCATAGTGCCTATCCCATCTTCTCATCTGACACCTTACCGGGTTGTGATAATTCTCCGGCTTATTATCTTGGGATTCTTCTTGCAATACCGTACAACTCACCCAGTGAAAAATGCATATCCATTGTGGTTGACCTCGGTTATTTGTGAGATCTGGTTTGCATTTTCCTGGCTTCTTGATCAGTTTCCCAAATGGTACCCCATTAACAGGGAGACTTATCTTGACCGTCTTGCTATAAGGTTTGTCAAGTTTATGCATCCTACTCTTATCTCATTTTTTGGGTACTACATTGATATCTACTTCCAAGTTTCAGACAGATTTTATTTTAATGGTTTGATTTTGGTTTTATTATTGTAGATTTGATCGAGACGGTGAACCATCACAGCTAACTCCTGTGGATGTGTTTGTTAGTACGGTGGACCCTCTGAAAGAGCCTCCTCTTGTAACAGCAAACACAGTTCTCTCGATTCTTGCTGTGGACTACCCGGTAGATAAAGTGGCTTGTTATGTATCAGATGATGGTTCAGCTATGCTTACGTTCGAATCCCTCTCTGAAACTGCTGAGTTCGCCAAAAAATGGGTACCGTTTTGCAAGAAATTCAACATTGAACCCAGGGCCCCGGAATTTTATTTTGCTCAGAAGATAGATTACTTGAAAGACAAGATCCAGCCTTCTTTTGTTAAAGAGAGACGAGCTATGAAGGTCATTTGAAAATTCCATTTGCTCCTCATCCATTAAAAAAAACTAGAGATTGACTCATATTTTTTCCTTGGCTTGTAATGACAGAGAGAGTATGAGGAGTTTAAGGTGAGGATCAATGCGCTTGTTGCTAAAGCACAGAAAATCCCTGAAGAAGGCTGGACAATGCAGGATGGTACTCCTTGGCCTGGTAACAACACTAGAGATCATCCTGGAATGATACAGGTACAATCAGGAAATCCCTTGATTATTACAAGGAGAGTAACAAAAAGGTAGCGATTTCAAGACATATTGTTTATGGTACATCCTTTTTATTCAATTTCAGGTGTTCTTAGGCCATAGTGGAGGTCTGGATACTGATGGAAATGAGCTACCTAGGCTCATCTATGTTTCTCGTGAAAAGCGGCCTGGATTTCAACATCACAAAAAGGCTGGAGCTATGAATGCCTTGGTATGTTAGCTTTCAAAATCCTACTGTGTCCTCTGTTTTCTTCTCTTGTTCAATGTTCAAGGCCTAGGAAACTTTAACCTTGTACATCCGTCCAGGAAAATGTGCTCTCTCCTGACTTAGCTTCTCTTTACATTGACAGATCCGTGTTTCTGCTGTTCTTACCAATGGAGCGTTTCTTTTGAACGTCGATTGTGATCATTACTTCAACAACAGCAAGGCTATTAAAGAAGCCATGTGTTTCATGATGGACCCTGCTTATGGAAAGAAATGCTGCTATGTCCAGTTCCCACAACGTTTTGACGGTATTGACTTGCACGATCGATACGCCAACAGAAATATTGTCTTCTTTGATGTGAGTTTCACTCCCTTGTTCTGTTCACACCTGTTGTCTCTTGTTTCTCGCTTGTTCATATTTTCTTTGGATTTACTCGTATCTGCTATGGGCTGACTCTTATATTTGTTATCTTCGGCAGATTAACTTGAAGGGGTTAGATGGTATCCAAGGTCCAGTATATGTGGGAACTGGTTGTTGTTTCAACAGGCAAGCTCTATACGGGTATGATCCTGTATTGACAGAGGAAGATTTAGAACCAAATATTATTGTGAAGAGTTGTTGCGGCTCAAGGAAGAAAGGAAAGAATAGCAAGAAGTATAACTATGACCAAAAACGGAGAGGCATCAACAGAAGTGACTCCAATGCTCCACTTTTCAATATGGAAGATATCGAGGAGGGTTTTGAAGGTTCGTTCGTGCATATAGTGTAATTACATCAATTCTTCATGTGATGGTATAAGCTTACATTACAATTCTTGTTTAATGCAGGATATGATGATGAGAGGTCCATTCTGATGTCCCAAAAGAGTGTAGAGAAGCGTTTTGGTCAGTCGCCGGTATTTATTGCGGCCACATTCATGGAACAAGGTGGCATTCCACCGACAACCAATCCCGCTACTCTTCTCAAGGAGGCTATTCATGTGATTAGCTGTGGTTACGAGGACAAGACTGAATGGGGAAAAGAGGTCAGTTTTCAAATGCAGACAAAGACTCTTTCTGTTTCTCTTTCTCACCTCTCTGATGAAATATTATTTTGCATTTTTGTTAGATTGGTTGGATCTACGGTTCCGTGACAGAAGATATTCTTACTGGATTCAAGATGCATGCCCGTGGTTGGATGTCGATCTACTGCAATCCTCCACGCCCTGCGTTCAAGGGATCTGCACCAATCAATCTTTCTGATCGTTTGAACCAAGTTCTTCGATGGGCATTGGGATCTATCGAGATTCTTCTGAGCAGACATTGCCCTATCTGGTATGGCTACACCGGAAGGTTGAAGCTTTTGGAGAGACTCGCTTACATCAACACCATTGTCTACCCTATTACAGCTATCCCTCTCATCGCCTACTGTATCCTTCCCGCTTTTTGCCTCATCACCGACAGGTTCATCATCCCTGAGGTTAGTAAAACTGGCCACACTCCTCTTTACTTATCCTATGAATGTGTTTTAAAAGCTATAACAACATTGTTGCAGATAAGCAACTACGCGAGTATTTGGTTTATTCTACTCTTTATCTCGATTGCTGTGACTGGAATCCTGGAGCTGAGATGGAGTGGTGTGAGCATTGAGGATTGGTGGAGGAACGAGCAGTTCTGGGTCATCGGTGGCACATCAGCTCATCTTTTCGCAGTCTTCCAAGGTCTACTCAAGGTTCTTGCGGGTATCGACACTAACTTCACTGTCACATCCAAAGCCTCGGACGAAGATGGGGATTTCGCAGAGCTTTACATCTTCAAATGGACAGCTCTTCTCATTCCACCAACCACTGTCCTACTCGTGAACCTCATAGGCATTGTGGCTGGTGTCTCTTACGCTGTAAACAGCGGGTACCAATCGTGGGGTCCGCTCTTCGGGAAGCTTTTCTTCGCCTTGTGGGTCATTGCTCATCTCTACCCGTTCTTGAAAGGTCTGTTGGGAAGACAGAACCGAACGCCGACCATCGTCATTGTCTGGTCTGTTCTTCTCGCCTCCATCTTTTCGTTGCTCTGGGTCAGGATCAATCCATTTGTCTCCGTCACTCCCAATGCCAACAACTTCAATGGCCAAGGAGGTGTCTTTTAGACCCTATTTATATATACATTTGTGTGTGCATATATCGAAAACGCGCAATGGGACAACTCCAAATCCTCTTAAAACCCCCCAAAACCCAGTGAGTCGGGCGGTTATGGTGATTCCATGTCCAAGAGTAGCTTTCTCTGAGTAGCCAGAGAGTTGTGAAATTGTTCGTAGTTGTCACTGTTGTGGTGATTTTCTCTTTTGATATGTTATAGCTTTTCAAGTGGGGAAGAAGTTGTGGAAACCAAATGATAAATAGTCTACAAAGGGGTTTGTTATTCTTTTCATTATATTTTACATATTTATTTTGTTTCAGCTTGTTAGACTCACACTTTTGTAATGTACTTTGTTGTTGTCCTAAAGAAATTTGAGTTTATATCTAAGCTTTCACACTTTAATACAAAAGTTTTTATCCAAGAATTTAAGACCTAAATGATTATTGAGACTCGTTGTTACAAGGAAGAAGCTTATGTAGAAACTAGAGCACGAGAAGTTTTTTGGGTAGAAACTTCATGATCATGACTAAGTGTTGTCATTGAGAGCCTAGATCAGTAAAATTGCAATTTGGAACATGTATTGTGTAAACTCTTATAGCTTATTTGAATCAGAATCAGATCAATCACGAATCCAAGAACATGAAGAAACAGACAGAAATAATCTTTCAAAAAAACCCCTCCTTACTGATTCGTGAAATCTCAACTGGTATAATAAAATTTGGGTCCCTATGTGTTAACACCCTAAAAATTGCAAGAGAGTCTAAACAAATCCAAAAAATCAGGCTTCTTGGTTGTTGTCGTTGTTCTCGACGAGTATCTTCTTGCAAGCTTCATAACACATGAAGGAGATTCCAGCAGCAGGAACCAACTTCAAGCAACTCGGTCCAAGCCCTTTGTACCAACCTAAAATACCTTCATGCTCAAGTATGCTCACCAGAGCATCCAACATGTTCTTATACACAACTCTCCCGCTAACCGCTCCCACTTGCATATGCTTCCGAGCCACCTCAAGAGGGAAAGTCGCGGTGCTCGACAACGCACCCGCTAAAGAACCTATCAAAAGAGTCTCAACGTTTCCAATCTTCTCTTTCTTTGAGAAACTCCGGTACGCTTTTCTTAACGAATCATACGCAAAGTAGTTTGTAGCTGCGTATGGAACAACTCCGATAAGACTCGGAGCAAGACCCCTGTAGAGCTCTGTAGGTCCTTCCTCGCGTATGATTTTCACAAACGCGTCGAAAATCCCCTTGTAAACACCTCTCTGCAATTGTAGTTTGAAAGAAAGATAAACCATTAATGCTCTTAAGACCTCAAAATCTTTGAGCTATGACGAGAGTGAGAGCAAACCTGAATTGTCAGGCGAGTCTTGACTAGCTCTAGAGGGTATGTCAAGAGTGTTTGGCTAACTCCGGCACAAGCACCGGCGAGTAACGAAGCTGGGATTGGGATTTTTGACTGCTCTCCATTTTCCGGTGACAGTTTCTTGTTTACTGTCTCGAATACAAAAAGCTGCAACATGCAAGAAAAAAAATGAGTACCAAAGGCTAATCATTTTGGCATGAGAAAGATTTAACCAACAGAAGACTTTTCACAGATAAAAGTCAACATAATATTTTGATTCAATTGTTCAAAAAATTCAGAAACTTGTTCAATCTGCGTTTCGATTTCTAACAAATTTTTGGTACCTCGACGGCTCTAGCAGGAGCGACACGAATGACATTGACCAAATTGCCCCGGAAGAGACCAGTCCAACCTTCATGCTTCATGATATCACCGAACACTTCGCTGGAGGAGCTTCCGCCGCTTCCGACCATTAGATGTGTCCTGATCGTCTCCAAGGGCGCAACCACCGTCCTCGAGACAGCTCCGGCCACGGCTCCGCTTAACAGCCGCCGCAACGAAGGATTGGCGATCTTAATCTTCAATTTCAGCCCACCTTTCTTCTTCTTCTGCTTCTCACCGTTAACTTCTTCTCCCTCTTCCTCTTTCCCCGGCATGTACTTAGTGTAGAGATCATTGAGCTGGGCAGCTAAGCTGTGATTGCCTCTGTTGGGAGACGAACCCGACCCGAATCCGGATCCTAATTGATTGGTTTGATTGACGCTGGCGAATAACCCGCCGATTGGGTGGTAATTTCCGCTGTTTGGGATCCAATCGCATCCTAAATCGGAAACGGAGAAAAAACCATTGCTAGCATCGTCGAACAACTGGATTCCGGTTTTCCCCATAGCCCCACCCAATCTCAGAAGCTTAAATAAATAAAGAGAGAGATATTATTGTCTCACTCTATAGCTTACAGAGGTTGATGGTTACGATTTACGGCCACACATCTTCGGTGTGACGAGAATCGTGTGTAGAGGAAGAGAGAGAGAGAGAGAGAATCTGTTATGTCTCTCTCTGACAGAGAGTCAAAATGGGTCGTGTCTTTCGTTGAGTTTAGGGTTGTAAGTTGTAAAGAGTATTGGTGCTGGTTTTTGCCCTTTTTGGGGGTGGGTAGGTAGGTGGAGTCAGTGGGTGGGGACGTAGACTGCGCTTATTAGTTTTTTTCTTTTTTTTTTTCTCTTTCAGATTATTTTCTTTTTCTTTTTTAATAATTTTGTTATTATGATACCTGTAAATAATAAAACAATTTTTTTTTTAAATCCAACAAATATAATTAATGTTTTTTAAAATCTGAAAAAGTATATCAACTCCATGTAATTTAGGAAGGACTAGTGGAGTTCTTGGATATGGAATAATACATGAAGAAGGTACAAAACTAACCAGGAGTCATATATTAGTGAGTACCGGGAAACGGCTCCATTCGCATGCGGGCTCAGCGACCTTTGCGATTCTAAAGTCTGCTAGTTTAGACTCATAAACTCTGTCCATCAAAATGTTGCTAGAATGAATGATTGGAGGACTGCAGTCATGATGCAAATAAGCGATTGCTTTAGCAGCACCTACAACGATTTATCTGAATGGAAGAATCTTGTTATTAGCGATATTAACATGCCAGACGTGGATGGTTTCAAGCTGTTGTTATATATTTTGTTGAAAATAGATAGTTCTATCATTTATTTCTAATAACTATCTGTTAATGTCTATCTAGAAAAATATATTAAAAGTCTGTATATCATAAAAAAATTAAACATAAAAATATTTGCTCATTTTTTGCTAATTATGTCTAAACTAACAATAAATATTTGCTTATTTTTTGCTATATTAGATCTAAATTAATGCTAAATTTTAGTGAAATACTATATAAAAGATTTTAGTTATGTTTTTATCACTTAATATTTATTTTCTCTTATTTTTATTTGTTGGGACCCTTTATTTGGTCATGAACTCATTTTTTAGTATACTACTACTTTTTAATATTAATAAGTTCTTACTATTAGTATTTCTAGTAATCTGGAATTGCAATGCAACCCCACGAAATAATTGCCGACAGCAAAAATGTAGATCCGTAGAGGAAGTGTCTCGGTTTTGTAGTTTTCACATATAAAATATGCTTTTTTCTTATGAAAATTTGAAAATAGTACAACAGATATAATTTGCAGCAAAATTTTCGTCTGGCAAGAATTGGGCTACGGGTTTAAGCCCACTTCAGATCTTATTTAGCACTAGACTGCAACGCTGTTTGAATGTTTATCGGAGTCAACTCAAAATCTTTTGTATACTCCCTAGTACAAAAGAGAGCTTGATACGATATGGGTGCTTATATCAGTTGTTGTTCATCTAGAAAACACTAAACGCATGATGTTCCAAGTTGTAAGGGTGTTGGAGATATATTTTAGAGAGAAAAAAGGTCACATTTCCTATGATAAAAGAAGTGTTATTAATGTATCATCAAACTTGCTTACATCTCTATATGATGGATAAGGATTTTAACCCAAAAAGCCCTATAGAATGAGCCGTTATTTTGATAGTTTTACTATGGTGAAAAGTGACAACTGACAACCCAAAGTATTTAGTTCAGAGTACGCATTATGCATATAGCACTAGAGATCGTTTCATATTTTAACAACTTCATCTTGAGTCTTGACAATAACTTGGAAGTTAGAAACAAACATGATCTTAGTGGCAATTATAAATTAAACTAGTTTAAAAACTGTTACGGACATAGATTCATAAGGAAGAACATAAAAAAACAGAGAAAATGATAGGTTCATATCAGAAAACTCCATAAAACACAAGGTTCGTGTGATACACTGTAAAACATCACTAAGACATTGTACCATCAAATAACTATATAATATATTAATTAACCATAACTTAGGTAATATAGCAACTAAAATCTCATAAACAGAAAATGACAAGACGAAGACGAAGACTCGAATCATACCTAAAAAAAAAAGATGAAGCAAACCCGAAAATGCGCAAAATGCTGCTGAAAACTCCCTCCAAAGCTCTACCAAAATCATCCTAACCACTTATTCCTCCGAGAAATTTCACACATTCATCAGATTCACAAACCTTTTCCTATGATCACATCATCCTCACCAAATCAGTCTTCGGTTTCTTTTGGTTTTCCAGCAGCTTCACTCTCCCTCTCTTCCAAAAGCTTCCCAGCAGCTTCCTCATCACTCTGCTGAACCTTCTTCTGAGCATCTTTCGCCTTCAACGCCTGCAACTTGCAGTGATTGTAATACGCAACACCCAAGAACGCAAGCCCGTATCCGAACAGATTCAGAGGAGTGACTGTGTCTTTGATCACAGACCAAGAGAATGCAATCAGTAGCCAGTCCTTAACCACACCAGCAACATTCATGGTCAAAGCCGAGGTTTTCCCGACGAGGAGGAACACGGCGAGGTTCAACGCAAACGCGCATACGGAATTAGTCCCGAAAACCATGAAATCGAAGTGGAAACTCGACGTCTCCTTAAGAATCGGAAGCTCAACGAAGATCCAGGGGAAGAAGAGGAAACCCAAACAGCATGGAGCAACGTAGTACAGAGAAGTGATGGGGTTAAGGTTGATTCCTTTGGAAGTGAGCAAGATCTGAATGAGAACCAACCTCGTCGCCTCGAAAGCGACGGCGCCGAGCTGGAGCATCACTCCCCAGGTGTCGAATTTCGCCTCGCCGTACGCGGCAATGGCGACGCCGAAGGAGATCGAGAGCATGTTGGTCATCGTCTCCGATTTGAAGGATTCCTTCTTGAGGAGGACTCCGATTGAGTAGACGGCGACCGGCATTAGGGCTTTGAGCATCTGGATGAAGGAGACGGAGAGGTAAATGTAAGCGGAGTTGGAGAGCCAGAGGGAGAGCGAGTACAAGGCGCCGATCGGGACGACGGATCTGATGTAAGTCTCGCGGGACATTGAGACTGGCTCGACGACTTTGAAGACCTTGATGAGGAGGACGGCGAGGGAGGAGCAGAAGGCCATGTGGATCATGGTGAGAGTGATCGGGAAAGGCCAATTGTACATCTTCTTGTCGAGGATGTACTTGTTGTAGACGATGACGGTGAAGCTGAGGAAGATCCAGATCGCGACGTACGTGTAGGAGAGGACGATCTTCTTGACGACTCCATCGCTGAGTGCGCCGCCTTTTCCCATGGTGGAGGAGGAGGAGGGCGGAGGAGGAGGTGGTGCGCAGGATAGCGTCGGCGAAGGGGGTGCAGGATAGTAGCGTATCTCTGGTGTTTTTGATTTTCAGGGGGAGAGACTTTTTTGGTGGGTTTTATTAATACTAGGTATTTTGGGTTTGATTAAATAACATGTCATGGTGATTCTTGAACCGATATTAATTATTCTTTGTCTTTTGTTTATTTTTCTTTGTTCAATTCTTCTTTATTCGGTTTCCTTTTATTATTTGGTTTCTTCATCATCTTTACTCTCCTCATTTTCCTCTTATATTTCTTTGTTATTGCAGTTTTTTATTCTATTATTTGATATGCATCTTTATCTTTGTTCATATTCTATTTATTTTTTGTATTCATTCTTTAATATCTTTGTCTTTTTTTTTATGTTCCTTCTTATTCTTTATGCTCGTCTTACTTATTATTCTTCTGTTTCTTCTATAGTAAGTTTAGAGGATTTTTCTATATTTTATTGTGTTAGCTTTTTTTCTTGATTATTCTATGCTGGAATTTTTAACGATTTAATCATTTTTTAAAATAATTTTATTGTAATCCTCTTTAATTTAATCTTATATAGACTAAAATTTTCACTATATGATACAGGTAACCAAATTTAAAAATGTAAAAGATTCATAAAAATAAAATCAAGTTAGAGATATACACTACATATTCACACATATAATAAACAATGTTTAACAATAATATAAATAAGTAAATTTATGCGATCATAAAAATATAGTTAAGCATAGCTTCCCATTTCTTATTCTTCAGTTTCATATTTTTATTTGGTTTCCAGGTTTAGCGTTATATAATTTGTTTTTTTTTTCATTCTTTGCTATTTTTGTTTTCGCTTTTCTTCATTTTTTTTTAGTTTTTTTTTCTACTTTTCTTGGTTCTTATTCTTCTATTTATTCTATAATTAATTCATTTTTTAATATTGTTTTTAAAATTTTCTTTTTTCATTTTTTCTTACTTTGATTTCTTCTTTTTTTCTTATTTGTTTTCTTATTTATCTTTACTCATATTCGTTTACACTCTTCTTTGTCTTCACTTTTTTTTATTCTCATTTGTGTTATTGTTTGGCTTATGATTTTCTTTATTCTTTCTTTGTGTTCTTATTTGGTTTCATTTCTTTCTTCACTCTTGTTTCAATGTTTTTGAATTTCTTTTATTTATTATCTTCTTCAGTTTTTCCTACTTTGATTTATTTTTTGTTCTTAGTTGATTTCTTATTCATCTTCACTCATCTTTGTTGCTGCTTTTCTTTATTCCCCTTTTGTGTTCCTTTTTGGTTTCATATTTTTCGTTCTTGTTTTAGCAGAAATTTAAATTTTAGAGAAAAAAAAATAATATTAAATAAGCTTATGTATAATAATAATATTAGATGTCTAAAATTTAATATAACTAATTTACGTGGCAAAGTTTTATTTTTATTGTAAATAGGAAATATACTTTATTTATTTTCTAAACTATTTCATTAATAAAAATTTCTAAAATATGAAAAGAAAAATAATTAATTAATTTTGGTGATAATCTGGAATGATACTATTGGTTGTTTAAAATCATATATATACTTAATTTTCTTGTTTCTTACATATTTAAAAATATTAAATTTTCTTAATCATATAAATGCTTATGGGAACTAATCAAATTAAGATAGTAAATTTTATATGATGAAGTGGAATGAAACTATTGATTGTTTAGAATTTAGAAAATTACTTAAAGTTTGAGATGATTATTTTGACCAATAAAATCATGTTTCCAAATCGTATGTGGATTATATGGTAATGTGGACTCATACGATTGGCTATCTAATATTCAAGACTTTTTTAATCTTGAAGATGCTTATGTGGACTATTAAAATCGCATTTGGAAATCATATGTCGATGCTTTTAGATGCATTTAGCCTTAACTTTTATAAAGTATAGAATATGGTTATGTTATTATCGTTGTTTTATATATTAGAGTTAATAAAAAATGTATACATCTTAAATTAGTTTCTTTTTTGTTGGTATTAAAATATAATATTTTATTTGATAAACTCTTTAATACAAAAAAATATATACCATTCTTGAATTAGGAAACTTTCTTCAAAAGAAAAAAAAAAGAAATTACCTTATTTTATATGTGGATTATATGATAATGTGGACTGATACTATTGGTTATCTAATATTCAAGACTTTTTAATCTTGAAGATGCTTATGTGGACCATTAAAATCGCATTTGTAAATCATATGTCGATGTTTTTAGATGCATTTAGCCTTAACTTTTATAAAGTATAGAATATGGTTATATTATTATTGTTGTTTTATATATTAGAGTTAATAAAAAACGTATACATGGTAAATTATTTTTTTTTGTTGGTATTAAAATATAATATTTTATTTGATAAACTCTTTAATACAAAAAATCTATACCATTCTTCAATTAGGAAACTTTCTTCAAAAGAAAAAAAAAGAAATTACCTTATTTTATATGATGATTTGGACAGATGCTATTGGTTGTATAAAATTCGGAAACTTTCTTAATATCGTTAATGCTTACATGGACCAATCAAATCGCATTTTAAAATCCTATGTGGACGTTCTGAGAGGCTTATAACCTCAACTTTTATATAGTATAGATTTTGGTGCCTGTGATGATGCTACGTGGCTTTTTAATTGATTAATGGGCTTAGATATGGGCTCACTTTTGTACCAATATTGTAGCATGAGGGTTGGCGTGGCTGTGCTACTCTACGTCTACGTGGCTTAAATGTGATTTTTAGTTGACTAATGGGGTTTAATCCACTACACTATGGGGGTGATTGGTTGTGGCTGTAGAAGCTGTAGAGAGCAAAAAAAAAATCTAAAGCCAAATAGATCACCAATTATGCTCTATACTTTTTTTTTTAAACCTACAGCCTTCTTTCATTTCTTTCATTTTTCCTTCCTTTTTTTGTTTTGCAGAGCAAAATTTATAGAGCATAATTTTAAAGGCTCTGAATTTCTTTTTTCTCTCTCTTTCATTCTTTCCAAATATATTGTTTTTTTTTTTACTTTTTTTCTTATTATTATTTTCCATATTTACCTATTTCCTTTTTTACTAAAATCCTGCAATCAATATCCTAAAGCAACAATTTCACAGCCACAGCCATAAAACATAAATCAAAAACTCTACAGCAAAAATAAAAAAGCTAGAGCAACAACCAATCACCCCCTATATCGTAAGTTTAATTAAATAAAAAGTTATTGCTAGTCAATGATGTTATTAAAATATGTTTTAAAAATTACCTTAACAATTCGTAGTACTAGTCAACGTTACGTACCCGGTACATCTAGTAAGTTATTTACTCTATTTTACCAGTCAAAATTATTCACGTTGAGGTTTCCTAGTCTTCCCTTACATTAATTACAGATCTCTAGATTGGTAGGTTAATTAACGAAAACAGATATCGACTTACATTGATATCGGTTGTAAATCCTGTATTAGTTATTCAATTGAGAAATTTAAATTTATTTTGCCGAAAGTTTTTAACATTTTTGATGTGTTCATTATTAGAATGAACCCGTTATTAAACTATAAAAAGAGCTAAAGTATTAAACTGTGCGATACGCCGATACCATATATTATATGAACCGTAAAAAGAGCTAAATCGAAAATCAATGCCAACTTGTCGAATCACATTTCAACAGATAATATTTTTATTTTCTTATAAAGAACAGTAAATATACGGCATAAACTCAACAAGAAGAGTTTAATTAAAGTAATGGAAAAGAAAAGAACGGTGTTGGAGAATGAGCAAGCGGTGCTGGAGATGGAGCATCGTCTACAAGAGGTTGAGGATCCGATGATGGAGGATCATCATTTTTACTGAAACCACAGCTGATCTTAATGGAGACGAAGCGGGTAACTACATGTGCGAATCGGCAGAGCGCGCTGAGAGGCGTTCCCGGAGATGAAGAAGTGATATCGATGTGTTCCATCACGATGTTGTCACATCCTACCGTCTTGTCACAATTTATTTGTATTGCAAGAGCATCTGCACTCGTCCCTCTGAAAGATGTGAATGTTACGTCGCTCACTTTCACAGCATTGGCCTGAGGGATTTTCACAACAACAAAATATTTTATTAGTTGTCAATACATTTCAAGCCTTGAAACTCAACTTTTACGTGAAAACAACATTTGTGAAAATTTCACAACCGAGGTTCGAAGCATATTTCAGTTTTAGTTTCATGTATGTTTCAAAATCACCACGTGATCATCTTAGTAACAATTTTATTACTAGACCGGTTGTTTTGTTGTTCTTAGTGATTTTTATGAGTATTATCACTTTGAAAGTAATTGGCAATGAACAAATTAATTTAAAATTCTTACCTATAAATCTATAATCTATATATACAGTTATGTACAATGTCTTATTTTGATGAGTATGTGATTTTTAATGATTACAGGTAAATACCTTTTTATGACTATAAAGTTAACAAAATTTACCTTGTTACCACTGTACTGTTGATCGATGATGATGGGGAATCTCGAATTTATCAGCGTAATATCCTCGTACACTATATTTCTGGCAAACCCTCGTCCTCCCTGAAAATATTTAAGTTTCAAAATTATGTACATATTGTATATATTATGCTAACTCTCAACGCACACAAAAAGGAAAAAAAGAACTTACAGACCAAGTCTTGATTCTTGCGGCACATAAGGTTCCAGTGAAGACGCAATGTCTTACATTCACGTTTTGTACTTTGTCCAATATCCCGCCTCTCCCCAAACTACCTACACTGTTTTTTTGTAAAGACAAAAGACTCACATTAATTTTTAATTTAGGTTTTTCTTAATTAAACAAAGATGAAAAGCTTCCTCAAGATGATCTTTTCAAAACAAATAGATGGACAGTGTAAGAAACTCCGATACAGATTTAAGGCAATCAAAAGCAATATAAAACAACCCAAACATAACATTTTTTGCGATCAAGCCTACAATGAAGAGCACGCTTAAAACTAGTAAGACAACCTTGTATGTCGATAAACAAACTATATATGTATGTGCGAACCTGATGCCATGACCCGGACCACATGCCACACGAGTTACGTTGATATCGACCGTACCACCATTAATCGCGACACAATCATCACCTAATAATTAGAGAAATTTATAGCAGCAACAATTTTCATATTTTTCTCCTGATCAATAGTTATATGGTGTATTCCATATATTGTTTAATTAAGAGAGAGAAAAAACAAAATGAAACTACCCGTTTGGATTGACGATTTGTCAATATGGATATGGTGTGAATAAGAGATATCAATGCCATCAGTATTTGGACTGTTTGCGGGTGCGATTAGATGAAGATTTGATAGGGTTGCGAAGGTGCAACCACTAATTCCAATGTGACTCCTTGGACTATCCCTTTGAGTTAATCCATTGTATAAAAGGTGATGGCACTTACTAAATCTCACTGCCTGCATAAGCAAATATAAACCGTAATTTATAAACAATATTATACTGATATATATAAATAATTATTCGAAAAAACCTATTAAAAGATGTTTTAATGATTCATATCTTAATTAAACTCAACGTCTTGAATAGTTTCAACATACCACTGGTCGGGAGGACTTATCGACAGAAGGCCACCAACTTTCTCCATGGGCATTGAGGAGACCAGATCCATTGAGAACGAGACCACTCACCCCTTGGAAACATAACCAATAGTCACTTCTTATTCCCCAATCCTGTACTCTTACCGGTGCTTCAAGTGTTCCATCAATCTTGCCATAAAAACAGAGAGATAATATATGAATTATATATATGTTTGATTTGATCTATCAATAATCTAATCATGAACGTGTGAATATATCTATTTTTTGGCAAAAAAGTTACGACAGCTTTTATGATATAAAAAAAAAAAACAGAATTTGCAGTTTGTAGATATAAGTGAGTTGAATTTATTTTACTTTTTGGGGTTAAAGGGTCTAGAAATGAGTTGATCCATAATTTTATCTTGTAAATACCTGAATATGAAGACTAGGAGGCACACAAGGACCTTGAAACAATTGTGGTCGTATGGTATATGCTTCGTTGGCATGTATTACTATAGAACTCCCTTTTCCTTGACATAATGCTTTCCATGCGTCTTGTAATGCCTATTTTTGAAAATATTATCAAACAATGGTTTTTTCTAATTAAAAAAAAAATTGTAATATGATTTGTTGAAAATAAATGAGTTTGTCGTCTAAACAATTACTTGAGAATGATCAGCGTAATTCATATTGTTAGAATCGGGTAAAAAATCTTTAATGCTCAGAGTTATCCGGCTATCTCCGACTCCGAATTGCAAATAGTACGATGTAATTAAGATCACCAAGAGCAGTAACTCGAAATCCTAATAAGAGCAACAAACTGTTATATGCTTACACAAAAGTGAAAACAATGAAATACATGAATGGAAATTAAGGGAGAATGTTACTGGCTCACCATTTTCATCTTAATTAGTTAAAAAATTAGTTCTATTAGTTTTCAGTAAATAGAATATTAAGATTGTACATGTGATGTAAGCTATTTATATACGAAGGCTTGAGAAACCAGAGTCATCATGGTGTACGATATAAATTTAATTAACTGCAAAACTTTCATGAAAAAGGAATTTATTTATTTTTGTTAAAGAAGTAAATAGATTTGAATAAATTAAGAAGTTACTATATGCTTATGCATTCAACACATTAAATATTGCAAACTTAGTACTTAGATAGTATTATAGTATATATGCATTTGAACAAAAAAAAAATAGTATATATGCATTCAACACATTGAATATATTTGACAATACCTAAAACTTATCCACACCATGCAGATTTTCAAACTTTTGAACTAATACTGTAAACTGTTTTAATTAATTATCTTTTTTTTGAGGTCAAACACATGTTTTTTTATGCTTAATTATTTATCTTTAAACCTCACTGAAAATAAGAAATGGCCGCATTTTGGATACTCAATCTTCTCCAATCTTCAAGACTAACAGACTATGACCAGACTGTAACTATAGAGAAGTACAACTCGTTTTTGCATGCAGTACAGTCTACGGATTGGTCCGATACTCCGATGCATATTTATTTGAGACTTAAGTTGGCGGGTTAATGTTCTGTGACTACTGTGTAGAGTTGTTGTTTTTTTTTACGGACTACACTTGACATTGGTTCTGAATCCTATATCGGTTGTTTAATTGACAATTTTAAATTTATTTTAATTGTATCTCCCCTATGGATTTACCATTTTTGATGTGTTCATTATTAGAATTAACCTGTTACAAAATATTATTGATAGATCTATAGTATTATATTGTGTGGTAGCATATATAGCAAATAAAAGAACGGTGAACTTAACAAAGACCTTAATTAATGTATAAAAAAGAAAAAAAACGATGCTCGAGTTTGAGCAGGTGGTGCTGGTGGTTGATAATGCGGTGCTGGTGGCTGAGCATGTGGTGCTGGAGGTTGAGTGTAGAATAAGGTATATTTAACTGACTTGTTTATTCACATTCACAAACACAACTATTTATACAAGTATATATATATATATATATATGTCGGCTTTAGCTAACATTGAATCTCTTATATTCTAGGGATTGAACCTTATCGTTCTATACATCATATTTATCCCAATATTGAGCATACGGTGATGGAGGTTAAGGAAGCGGTGATGGAGAACGAGAATCTTCATCACGAGAAACACACCTGATACTAATGGAGACGAAGCGGCTAATTACATGTGCGAATCGGCAAAACGCGGTGAGACGTGTTCTCGGAGATGAAGAAGTAATATTGATGTGTTCCATAAGTATGTTGTCACACCCTATTCCCCTGTCACAATTTATATTTATTGCAAGAGTGTCTGTACTCGTCCCTCTGAAATCTCTGAATGTTACGTCGCTCACTTTCACAGCCGTGGCCTGAAAGATTTCACAACAACATATATTTTATTAGCTGTCAATATATACTTTTGAGCCTTAAAACTCAAATTAACGTAACAGCAACCAATGTTAAAATTCCACAACCAAGGTTAAAGCATATTTTAGTTTAGAGTCGTGTGTGTGTTTATAACCACATGATCATCTTAATAATAATATTAAAGGTATCCACTGTTTGCTTCAAATCTAATAGGAGATTTAACATGATAATTTACTAGACCAGACTTTTTGTTAGTAAATGTGATTAAAGAAAGTATCATGTTAAAATTTATTGGCAATAAATAAATAACTGTACACCTCTTATATATTCAGTTATGTATATATTTTTTATTTTCTAAAAAATTATTTATAATGATTAAAGGCAATACCACTTCATATTCAATATTTTAAAAACACGATTGTAAAGTTAAAAGTTTTACCCCTGCCCTTGGTTTACAGGTTGCACGACTACAGTAGTGTTGATCGACGATGATGGGGAATCTAACATTTATTAGCGCAATATCCTGGTACAATATATTTTTGGCAAACCCTCGTCCTCCCTAAAAAATATGTAACATCCAATAAATATTGTATATATATTGTGTGTATTATGCTAACTCTTCACTCACACACAAAAAAAGAACTTACAGACCAAGTCTTGATTCTTGCGGCACTTAAGCTTTCATAGAAGGTGCAGTGTCTTACGTTCACGTTTTGTACCCTCCCTAATGTCCCTCCTTTCCCCAAACTACCTACACTGTTCATGTAAAAGACAAGAGACACATTAATATTTAATTTGTTTTTTGTTTCTTATAAAAAAGGAGAAAGCATCCTCAGTATCGTAAGAAATTCGTGTATAAATCTAACGCAATCCGAAGTAATACTAATAAAATGACTTGAACATAACAAAACTAGTATGAATGTCTCAATCGAAAGGAAACGGATTGGTGATAGTCAATAGATGTTTTAAACGAACCTGATGCCATGACCCGGACCACATCCGACACGAGTTATGTTGATATCGGACGAACTACCAATAATCGCAACACAATCATCACCTAATAAGCAGAAAATTTTCACAAATTTTGTTTTTCATCTTTTTACGATGATCAATACGTAGATGCTGTATTCCATTTATTGTTTGATTAAGATTTTTTTTTTTTTATAATACCGGTTTTGATTGACGAGCTAAGAATATGGATATTGTGTGAATCAGCGATATCAATGCCATCAGTATTTGGACTGTTTCCGGGTGCGATGATATGAAGATTCGATAGGGTTGCATTGGTGCAACCGATAATTTTAATGTGATTACTTGGACTATCCCTTTGAGTTAATCCATTGTATAAAAGGTTGTTACACCCACCAAATCTCAATGCCTGCATAAGCAAAGATAAACCGTAAATTACAAATAATATTATTTTGATATATTATTCCTAAAACCCCTCAAACAAAACTAATTTTGTAAACTACTAATATTTCATATTTTTATCAACATCTTGAATAGTTCCAACATACCGTTGGTCGGGAGGACGAGGGGACAGAAGACCACCAACTTCCTCCATGGGCATGGAGGAGACCAGATCCAGTGAGAACGAGACCTGTCACCTTTTCGAAACATAACCAATACTCACTTTTAACTCCCCATTCCTTTACACTTCTCGGGGCTTCGAGCTTTCCATCAATCTTGCCAAAAAAAAAAGAGGTCATATATGAATCATATATATGTTTGTTTTCATCTATAGATAATTTAATCATGAACGTGTGTACATAAACTTTTTGGCAACGAGTTAGGATAAATTGATATGCAGTCTTGCAGATATAAATGAGTTGATCCATAACTATTTCTTGTAAATACCTGAATGTGAAGATTACTAGATACACAAGGACCTTGAAACAATTGTGGTCGTATGGTATATGCTTCGTTGGCATGAATTACTATAGATCCCCCTCTTCCTTGACATAATGCTTTCCATGCCTTTTGAAATGCCTATTTTGAAAATATTATCAAACATTTATTTTTTATAATATTTTTTTTTATTATTTTCTAATGATTTTGTTGAAAACAAAAGAGTTCGTCGTATAAACAATTACTTGAGAATAATCAATGTTTGTATCATTAGAATCGAGTAGAAAGTTTTTAATGCTTAGAGTCATCTGACTATCTCCGAATTGCGAATAGTACGATACAATTAAAATCACCAAGAGCAGTAACTTGAAATCCTAATATCAGTAAAAAACAGTTATATGCTTAAACAAAATTGAACAAAATGAAATACATGAATGAAAATTAAGGGAGAATGTTATCTGCTCACCATTTTTATCTTAATTATTAAAAAAGTTAGTGATGTTAATTTTCTTAGCAAATGATTGAGATTGTATATGTACGTTATAATACTTATATATATACGTAGAGTTGAGAAACCAGAGTCATGGTCAGTGTACAATATAAATTTGACTAATTGCAAAAAGTTTGAACAACAAATGAAATCATTTTTTGCTTAAAGAAGTAAATAGTTTTGAATAAAATAGGAAGTTATTATATGCTTATTGGCACTGGGACAAAAATTAATACTTAGCTAGTATGTATGCATTCAACGCAATGACTACATTTGACAATACCTTGGAAATCTTATCTACACCATGCAGATTTTCAAACTTTTGAACTAATACAGTAGAAACTCTATAAATTAATAAAGTTGAGACTTTGATTTTTTATTAATTTATAGTGTTATTAATTTACTGATATTGAATAAAATAGTTGTTTTACTAAAAAAATAATTAAAATACAGATTAAATTAAATAAAAATAAGAAAGTTTTAAAAGTTTTTATATTTTGTATAGGTTCATTCTAAAATTAGGGATGAATTATAAATATACTTGAGTTTAGTAGAAAAGAAGTGAAAATTATACTTATATTTTAGTATATTATCATAGATATGTATTTACATACATTTATTTATAGTTATTTTTAATTTATGATATTAATGGAACTATATATTTACATAGGAGTTTCAAAAATATTATTATCTTATTATCTTACACTGTCTGACTTGGAACTGGAGATTATTATATATTATTTTATAAAGTTTATTAATTTATTGAATATCAATTTATAGTGTTTCTACTATACTGTAAAATATTCCGTAAAATCTTTGTATAATTTTTTTTATGTTTAGTTACTCATCTTAATTAAACTTCAAACACTGAAAATAGTAGTTCGCAGCATTTTGGGTACTCAATCTTCTCCAATCTTCAAGACTATGACCAGAAATTAAGTAAAGAGAAGCACAACTGGTTCGCACTTTGCAGCACGGTCAATGGATATAGTCCGATGTTTACATATTCAGAATCTTTGTCATAAAGACAGAGAAAGCTTGTCGTCTTCTAATGAGTGTGTGTGCAAGGGAAGCATCATGGTCTCAATTGTTTACAATATATGCTTCTTCTTGTTGGCATTTTTTGTTTAAATTAGGAACAAACATATTAGATAAGGAAACAATATATTTAATTTGGAATATATATTAAATAAATAAATAAATTATTTTTGATTGTATCTCGCCTATGGATTCAACATTTTTGATGTGTTCATTATTAGAATTAACCTGTTACAAAATATTATTGATAGATCTAAAGTATTATATTGTTTGGTAGCATATATGGAAAAGAAAAGAACGGTGCTAGAGTTCAACCCGGACTTAATAAAGACCTTAATTAATGTATAGAAAAGAAAAAAACGATGCTCGAGTTTGAGCAGGTGGTGCTTGTTGCTGAGCATGTGGTGCTGGAGATTGAGCCTACGGTGATGGAGACGGAGAATCTTCATCACGAGAAACACACCTGATATCAATGGAGACGAAGCGGCTAATTACATGTGCGAATCGGCAAATTGCGGTGAGAGGTGTTGTCGGAGATGAAGAAGTAATATTGATGTGTTCCATAATGATGTTGTCACATCCTATTCCACTGTCACAATCTACTTTTATTGCAGTAGTATCTGCACTCGTCCCTCTGAAATCTCTGAATGTTACATCGCTCACTTTCACAGCCGTGGCCTGAAGGATTTCACAGCAACAAAAGAATTAATAGCTAAGCCTTAAAACTCAAATTAACGTAACAACAACATATGTAAAAATTTCACAACCAAGGTTAAAGCATATTTTAGCTTTAGTTTCGTGTGCGTGTTTATAACCACATGATCATCTCTATTCATCTTAGTAACAATATTAAAGGTATCCTTGTTTGCTTCAAATCTAATAGAAAATTGATGATTTACTAGACCGGACTTGTTGTTATAGTAACTGCGAAGTTAAAGAAATCATGTTAAGATTTAATTGCCAATGAACAAATTAATGTACAATTCTTATATATAATCTATATTCAGTTATGTATGTATTTATTATAAAAAAAAAAATGTGATTTATAATGATTAAAAGCAATACCACTTCATATTCCATATATAAAAAACACGATTGTAAAGTTAAAAGTTTTACCGCTGCCTTTGGTTTACAGAGAGCACCACCACAGTACTGTTGATCGATGATGATGGGGAATCTAACATTTATTAGCGTAATATCTTCATACAATATATTTTTGGCAAACCCTCGTCCTCCCTAGAAAAATATGTAACATCCAATAAATATTGTATATATATATTTATATATATTATATTGTGTGTATTATGTTAACTCTTCACTCACACACACACAAGAAAAAAGAACTTACAGACCAAGTCTTGATTCTTGCGCCAGTTAAGGTTCCATTGAAGGTGCAGTGTCTTACGTTTACGTCTTGTACCGTGTCCAATTCCCCTCCTTTCCCCAAACTACCTACACTGTTCATGTAAAGACAAAAGACACATTAATATTTCATTTGTTTTTTTTTCTTATAAAAAAAAGGAGAAAAGCTTCCTCAAGATCGTAAGAAATTCGTATATAAATCTAAGGCAATCCGAAGTAATATAAATAAAACGACATAAACATAACAAAACTGGTATGAATGTCTCGATCGAAAGGAAACGGATTTGTGATAGTCAATAGATGTTTTAAACGAACCTGATGCCATGACCCGGACCACATCCGACACGAGTTATGTTGATATCGGACGAACCACCATTAATCGCAACACAATCATCACCTAATAAGTAGAAAATTTTCACACAAAAATATAATTTTCATCTTTTTCTCATGATCAATACGTAGATGCTGTATTCCATTTATTATTTAATTAAGAAATGTTTTTTTTTAGAATACCGGTTTGGATTGATGATTCGTCAATATGGATATTGTGTGAATTAGCGATATCAATGCCATCAGTATTTGGACTTTTTTCGGGTGCGATGATATGAAGATTCGATAGGGTTGCGTTGGTGCAACCACTCATTGCAATGTGACTACCTGGACTATCCATTTGAGTTAATCCATTGTATAAAAGGTTGTTACACCCACCAAATCTCAATGCCTGCATAAGCAAAGATAAACCGTAAATTACAAATAATATTATTCTGATATATTATTCGTAAAACCCCTAAAAAAAAAAAAAATTAACTTTTAATGATGCATATCTTGAAATCAACATTTTGAATAGTTCCAACATACCGATGGTCGTCGTGGGGGCGAGGAGACAGAAGACCACCAAATTCCTCCATGGGCATCAAGGAGACCAGATCCATTGAGAATGAGACCTGCCACATTTTCGAAACTTAACCAACACTCACTTTTAACTCCCCATTCCTTTACACTTGTAGGGGCTTCAAGCTTTCCATCAATCTTGCCAAAAAAGAAAAGGAGATACCCTATGAATCATATATATGTTTGTTTTCATCTATCGATGATTTAATCATGAACGTGTGTACATAAACTTTTTGGCAAAGAAGTTACGACAAATTGATATACAGTCTTGTAGATATAAATGAGTTGATCCATAATTATTTCTTGTAAATACCTGAATGTGAAGATTACTAGATATACAAGGACCTTTAAACAATTGTGGTCGTATGGTATATGCTTCGTTGGCATGAATTACTATAGATTCCCCTTTTCCTTGACATAATGCTTTCCATGCGTCTTGAAATGCCTATTTTGAAAATGTTATCAAACAATTATTTTTTTCTAATAAAAAAAAATTATTTTCTAATGTTTTTGTTGAAAACAAACGAGTTAGTCGTATAAACAATTACCTGAGAATAATCAATGTTCTTATCATTAGAATCGAGTAGAAAGTCTTTAATGCTTAGAGTCATCCGACTATCTCCGAATTGCGAATAGTACGATGCAATGAAAATCACCAAAAGCAGTGACTTGAAATCCTAATAACAGTAAAAAACAGTTTATGCATAAACAAAATTGAACAAAATGAAATACATGAATGAAAATTAAGGGAGAATGTTATCTGCTCACCATGTTTATCTTGGTAATTAAAAATTTAGTGATGTTAATTTTCTTAGTAAACACAATATTGAGATTGTACATGTACGTTATATTACTTATATACGTAGAGTTGAGAAACCAGAGTCATGGTCAATATATATTTGACTAATTGCAAAATTTTGAACAAGAAATGAAATCAATTTTTGCTTAAAGAAGTAAATAGTTTTGAATAAAATAGGAAGTTATTATATGCTTATTGGTACTGGGTTGACAATAATTAATACTTAGCTAGTATGTATGCATTCAACGCATTGACTATATTTGACAATACCTTGAAAATCTTATCTACACCATGGAGATTTTCAAACTTTTGAACTAATACTGTAAAATATTCCATAAAATCTTTGTATAATGTTCTTTATGTTTAATTACTCATCTTAAACTTCAAACACTGAAAATAGTAATTCGCAGCATTTTGGGTACTCAATCTTCTCCAATCTTCAAGACTATGACCAGAAATTAAGTAAAGAGAAGCACAACTGATTCGCAGCACGGTCAACGGATATAGTCCGATGTTTAAATTTTCCTTTCAGAATCTTTGTCATAAAGACAGAGAAATCATGTCGTCTTCTAATGAGTGTGTGCAAGGGAAGCATCATGGTCTCAATTGTTTACAATATATGTTTCTTCTTGTTGGCATTTTTTGTATAAATTAGGAACAAACATATTAGAGAAGGAAAAAACATATTTAATTTGGAATATATATATTTTTTCATTAAATATTTTTGTATAACAAAACAAATTGAAGAAGAACTGTAAGATGTTTAAGAGTGTGATTTTTTTGTAACAATACACAGTTACTACAAAGGAAAATACAAAAAAAAAAAGAAATTTGAGGCATATGTTTATCTTTGTATTTAAGCTGAGCAACATTACTGTACGAAGGAGTGATGAAATGAATTCAAACTTTCTTCGAACTCCCTTTTTAATAGACTTACTCGTAAACTCCATCAGAGAAGCTTCGCAAGTAGGCGCCTTATATAAGGTATGGAAGATGGAACAATGTAGGAAGCTGAAGAGATCGGTTTCGGTCGTATGGCCGGTGTGGGAGGTTGAGGAAACGATGTTGGAGGTTTTGCAGGTACCGGAGGTTGAGAATACGGGGTCGCAGGTTCAATGGCTACCGGAGGTTGAGGACTCTGTCTAGGAGATTCAGGTTCTTCATCAGAACCACACTTGATATCAGTGGAGACAAAGTGACTAACTACATCTGCGTATTGACAATACGCGGTGAGCTGCTTGTCGGGAGACGAAGAAGTGATTTTAATGTGTTCCATCACAATGTTATGACAATTGACTAATTCGTCACAATCTAGTTTTATTGCAATATCACGTGCACATGTCCCTTTGAAGTATTTATATGTAACGTCGCTCACTTGCACAGCAGTCGCCTATATGATTCAAAACATTCGTATCACTTTTCCTTTCAATAAAATTTGAACCGTAAAATCATATTAGTTTCTATCTAAAAAAATGTCGAAATTCACATGCATGAAACATCCAAAAAAAACCAAGGTTGAATCGTTTTGAAACTTTAGTTTCAATAAATGTTTATGTTTAACTGTATGGTCGCCATAGTACGATTTCAAATTAAAGAAAACTTTACCCCTTGTTTACAGTTGTGACCACCGTTACAGTAATGTTGATCGATGATGATCGGGTAATTGACATCTATTAACGTAATATTCTCGTACAGAATATTTTTTGCGAACCCGTGCCCTCCCTATAAAATCAAGTAACATGAAATACGATGAATACTAAATATGCGTATATATATGTAAATAGAGTTCTTTAAAAAACACACTTACAGACTAAGTCTTGATTCTTGCTCCATTACTAGTTCCGTTGAAGGTGCAGTGTGTTACTTTAACATTTTCAACTGTTTCATTGAACTCACCTCTCCCCAAACTTCCAATGCTGCAAAAAAAAAATTAAGACGGGATATACAATTGAATTTTTAACTTTTTTTTTTCAGAATAAAACAACTTTTTCGAAAGATGGTATGTGCGAACCTGATGCCATGACCCGGACCACATGCCACATGACTAATGTTAATATTATATGAACCACCATTGATCGCAACACAATCGTCACCTAACAGATGAAAAACATATCACGACAAAAGAATGTGTGCAATTTTTATCGTAATCAACCCGTGTATATTATATTGCATATTATATTTATACATATTAATTAAACAAAAGTGAACATAAAATACCTGTCTCAATTGATGAATTTAAAATCCGGATGTTGTTTGAAAGAGCAATGTTGATTCCATCGGTGTTAGGACTATCTTTAGGAGCGATTAGATGAAGATTTGATAAAGTTGCATTGGTGCAATTAAAAACTGAAATGTGATTCTTCCCGCTGTTCATTTGAGTTAGCCCGTTATATATAATGTCACTGCTTCCATTAAATGCGACTGTCTGCATGCATAAACAAAATAACCTGTAAGTTTTAAACATTTTTGTTTGTTAGCACTTAGCACTAGATGTCTAATCGTCTAATAATCTTGAACGAGCAAACTCTTGGTAAAAACATAATATATGTCTTTTAACAAAAAAGATATAGACCCGTGGTCGGTGGGAGTGATTAACGGACGACCACCAAGATTCACCATGTGGATGGAGGACACCAGACCCATTGAGAACGAGGCCTGCCACGTTTTTAAAACATAACCAGCACTTGTTGTCTTCGTCTCCCCACTCCTTGATCATCTTTGGCGCTTCAATTTTTCCATCAATCTTGCAACAAAAAAAAGTTTTATATATATCTTAATCACATATATTTAGACCCAACTCTATATAATTAAATATATATAGCCACAAATAATTATGTGTTGTGTTAAATGTTAATGTTCGTTTTGGAAACACCAAGTTTTCTTCAAAATTTGAATCTTCTTCTTCATTTGAACAAACACAAAAAGTACATTTGAGATAAGAGTCAAAGCATTATAAATTTCATTTCATAGCACGTTAATTTTTGGCATTTACCTGAATATGAAGATTACGAGATACACAAGGACCTAGAAACATTTGTGGTTGTATGGTATATGTTTCGTTGGCATGTATTACTAGAGATGTTGCCATCTCTTTCCCATTCGCTTTGCATAATGCTTTCCATGCATCTTTAAAAGCCTGTCACGAGATCAAAATTTTTTTTTTGTTAAAAGTTAAATCAAAAATATAAATGAAAATATGTAATATTTTAAAATATTACCTGAGAATGATCAGTTTTTATATTGTTAGCATCAGATGTAAAATCCCTGATGCTTAAGGTCATCCGACCATCTCCGTATTGCAAATTGTACGATATTATTAGAATTATCGAGAAGAGTAATTCCAAATCCTGATAATAGTAAGAAAAAAAGTTAATTCTATAATTTTGAAGAAAGTGAAACAATGAGGGAGAGACTAGAGAGGGTACTATATTTTCTTTCTCACCATTTTAATCTTAATGAAAAAACAAATTCAATAACTTTTCAAAACGTAAGATTACTAAGATTGTGTAATTGTGTGTTGTGAGTTGTATATATATATATGCTGTATTGAGATTTTAGAGTCCTAAAAGACTGATGAATCCTTACCAAAGTTTTGCGATATGATTCAACTATACATATTTGTTTCTTTTTTAGCATTCATTCAACTATGCATTCAATGGAAACAATTAATTATCAGTCAGTAGCTTAGGAGAGGTGTATCTAAGCATTTGAAATATTTTTCTGTATCTTGGAGAGACTTTAGTGGATTTTAAGGATAATTCAATCATTTATAAAAAGTTAAATTAGAAAAGAATAATCTTCTATATATTAAAAGAGAAACATTGAAAACCAAATTTGTTGATGTTTCAGTTCCACAATTTTTCTTAGATTTTTATTTTTGATTTACTTAATTCTCTTATATTTATTACCAAACATAATTATTACCTATGTTAATTACTTTAATTCCAGTAACCAAACATATTATATCTTTCTAAACATACCAATAATAATTAATGTTAAATCTTACAATGAAATTCGTTTTTATTTTTACTTTAAAAGTCAGTAAACATGCAAAATAATGCATATGATTTATTTGTTATTGAACTAAAAAATAAAACTATTTATTTGAAATTATAGTTTTCACATGGTTCCTCTAGGCTCTCAAGACCACGTCAGTTCCTTGAATACGGCGTTAGTCGTCATTCACATGTGCATTATTTACACATGTATTAAGTAAAGAGAAGCACAACTGGTTCAGCACGGTCAAGGGATATAGTCCGATATGATGTTTACATATTCCTTTCAGAATATTTGTCATAAAGACAGAGAAATTTTGTTGTCTTCTAATGAGTGTGTGCAAGGGAAGGATCATGGTCTCAATTATTTACAATATGTGCTTCTTCTTGTTGGCATTTTTTGTTTAAATTAGGAACAAATATATTAGAGAGGGAAAAAAACATATTTAATTTGGAATATATATATATATATATATTTTTTTTTTCATTAAATATTTTGTGTATAACAAAACAAATTGAAGAAACCTGTAAGATGTTTTAAGAGTGTGGTTCTTTTGTAACAATACACAGTTAGTACAAAGGAAAATACAAAAAAAAAAATTTTGAGGCATATGTGTATCTTTGTATTTAAGCTGAGCAACATTAATGTACGAAGGAGTGATGAAATGAATTCAAACTTTCTTCGAATTCCCTTTTTAACTCATGAAATCCCATCAGAGAAGCTTCGCAAGAAGGCGCCTTATATAAGGTATGGAAGATGGACCAATGTAGGAAGCCGAGGAGTCCGAGGTCGGAGGTTCAACGGCTACGGGAGGTTGAGGACTCTGTGGTTCTTCATCAGAACCACACTTGATATCAGAGGAGACAAAATGACTAACTACATCCGCGTATTGACAATACGCGGTGAGCTGCTTGTCGGGAGACGAAGAAGTGATGTTAATGTGTTCCATCACAGTGTTATGACAATTGACTAATTCGTCACAATCTAGTTTTATTGCAATATCACGTGCACATGTCCCTTTGAAGTATTTATATGTAACGTCGCTCACTTGCACAGCAGTCGCCTACATGATTCAAAACATTTGTATCACTTTTTCTTTCAACAAAATTTGAACCATAAAATCATATTAATTTATATTAAAAAAAATGTCGAATTTCACATGCATGAAACATCCAAATTAAATAAAAATTTACCCCTTGTTTACAGTTGTGACCACCGTTACAGTAATGTTGATCGATGATGATCGGGTATTGGACATCTATTAACGTAATATTCTCGTATAGAATATTTTTGGCGAACCCGTGCCCTCCCTATAAAATCAAGAAACATGAAATATGATGAATACATAAATATGCGTATATATATATGTAAATAGAGTTCTGTAAAAAAACACACTTACAGACCAAGTCTTGATTCTTGCCCCATTACTAGTTCCGTTGAAGGTGCAGTGTGTTACTTTCACATTCTCAACTGTTTCATTTAGCCCACCTCTCCCCAAACTTCCAATGCTGCAAAACAAAATTAAGACGGGATATACAATATAATCTTTTATCTTTTTTTCAGAATAAAACAACTTTTTCGAAAGAAATTATGTGCGAACCTGATGCCATGACCCGGACCACATGCCACATGACTTATGTTGATATTATATGAACCACCATTGATAGCAACACAATCGTCACCTAACAAATGAAAAACCATATCACAAAAGTAAAATTTGTGCAATTTTTATCGTAATCAACCCGTGTATATTTATTCATATTAGTTTGAACCAAAGTGAACATAAAATACCTGTCTGGATTGATGAATTTAGAATCCGGATATTGTTTGAAGAAGCAATGTCGATTCCATCGGTGTTAGGACTTTCTTTAGGAGCGATTAGATGAAGATTTGATAAAGTTACATTGTGGCAATTAAAAACTGAAATGTGATTCTTCCCGCTGTTCATTTGAGTTAGTCCATTATATATAATGTCACTGCTTCCATTAAATGCGACTGTCTGCATGCATAAACAAAATAAACTGTAAATTTTAAACAATTTTTTTTCTAATAATCTTGAACGAGCAAACTTGGTAAAAATATATATATACGTCTTTTAACAACAACATATACAGACCCGTGGTCGGTGGGAGTGATCAACGGACGACCACCAAGCTTCACCATGTGGATGGAGGACACCGGACCCATTGAGAACGAGGCCTGCCACTTTTTCAAAACATAACCAGCACTTGTTTTCTTCGTCTTCCCACTTCTTGATCATCTCTGGCGCTTCAATTTTTCCATCAATCTTGCAACAACAAAAAGTTATATATATATATCTTAATCACACATATTTTAGACTCAAATATATATAACCACACATATTTATGTGTAAATGTACGTTTTGGAAACACTGAGTTTTCTTCAATATGTGAAGCTTTTTCTTCATTTGTACAAACACAAAATGTACATTTGAAATAAGGGAAATCAAAGCCTTATAAATATCATAGCACTTTTTGGCATATACCTGAATATGAAGATTACGAGATACACAAGGACCTAGAAAAATTTGTGGTTGTATGGTATATGTTTCGTTGGCATGTATTACTAGAGATGTTGCCTCCTCTTTCCCATTCGCTTTGCATAATGCTTTCCATGCATCTTTAAAAGCCTGTCACGAGATCATTTTTTTAGTTAAAGTTATTTTGAATCAAATATAAAAATGAAAATATTTAATATTTTTTTAAAATTACTTGAGAATGATCAGTTTTTGTATTGTCAGCATATGTAAAATCCCTGATGCTTAAAGTCATCCCACCATCTCCGTATTGCAAATTGTACGATACTATTAGAATTATCGTGAAGAGTAATTCCAAATCCTGATAATAGTAAGAAAAAAAAGGTTATTATATTTTCTTGAAAAAAAAGTGAAACAATGAGGGAGAGAGGGTATTGTATTTTCTTTCTCACCATTTTAATCTTAATGAAAAAACAAATTCAATAACTTGTCAAAACGTAAGATATTTAGTAAGATTGTGTAATTGTGTGTTGTGAGTTGTATATATATGCTGTATTGAGATTCTAGAGTCCTAAAATACTGATGATTATAAGCCTTTGGTCAAAAAAAAATACTTACCAAAGTTTTGCGATATTATTCAACTATAAATATTTGTTTCTTTTTTTGTTGCATTCATCCAACTACATACATTCAATGGAAGCAGTTATCAGTCAGTAGCTTAGGGGAGGTTTATCTAAGCATTTGAAATATTTTGTTGGATCTTTTTTAGATTTGGAGAGACTTTAGTGGATTTTAATTAAGGATAATGATACCACTTACGAACCGTGGCACGGATACAAGTTACAACATTTAATTAACATTTTAGATACAGAGAATCATAAAGAATACCAGTTTCGATAATGGAGTCTAAAATATGAATATTGTGTGAAAGACTTGATAAAGTTACGTACGTTGTTACAAGCATCAATGGAAATGTGATTCTTTGGACTATTCAGTTGAGTTGGTCCATTGTATGTAATGTCATTGCACGAAATGAAGCTAATTGTCTGCACATGCAAACACAACTTAATGATAAAAAAAAATTATAAGTATGATTTCTGTATATTAATTTATAAAAATCAAAAGTATTACAAATAAAGTCGCAAAACTGCAATATGTTCCATGAATTGGAAACTCCATTATACAATTGATTTTATTCATTGAAAGAATTATGATCTCCACGAGGCCCTCAGGTCTAGTAGGCTGCTGCTGCAGCTAAAAGATCCTCCCATGAGACTAATTTTTCTCTGGGTTTGTTTCTCTCACTCCCCATTTGTGTTTCTTTGGCATCAATCTTCTCCCACCCACTAAAATCTACCTTGTTCACATTTCTCTTCTCCAACAACTCCAACAGTCCTTTGCTTCCTGCTTTTGCGCTCTTACAAACACCTTCTTCAATGTCTTCGCTTATGCTACCAACCTGCACCACAGTTTAAATCTCCCAATTTCATCACCATTTCATGACTAAACATTAACAACATCAGTTTTATGTTCAGGTGGACAAGTTTTGGTGTACTTACTGTTTCTTCAGCGCAGTAAAGGTTTGTGGCAATTATCCCCACTGGTCCTCTTTTGAGCCATCCACATACGTATAAGCCAGGTTCAGTCTGTGATATGCCTCCTGAAGTGTCACTAACCACTCGACCTCTTACATTCGGGACAATACCTGAAACATGCAATTGCAGCATACACAAATCTGATAAACTCGAAAACTTTTTTCCTCATAAGACAATATTACTACCTTTCTTGTGATCAAAAGGTAAGCCGTTGATTGGAACCGACTTGTAACCAATGGCCTTCAACACCAAACTGCAAAATATCGAACATGCTTTCATTCGAATGGTTGTAACTGTTGATATGTATATCAAGTACAACATAACCGCACTAAAAAACTTTCATTGGAGTGCATATTACCTGCAGTTAAGATCCTCAAACTCTCCTGTACCTACTGCAATTTGCTTTCCGCTTCCAACACCTGAAATTTTAGAAGAATATGATGAATTGTTAGACTTTCGTATCATCACCAACCACTAATCCATTTTAAGTGTCTCAAAGAGCAGCTAGTAAATCTACAGAAGTTTGTAATGAAGAAACCAGCATCTGATACTAAACTTTCAGTGCACTTACTTTCAAGAATGGTTTTCTCCAAGTTGACACCTGAAACATGGCCTCCTCTTTCATCTGATTCTAAGAACCGGTTAGGTTGGCGGAAGAAAACAAAGTGCAGCTCTCGTTGATCAGGATCGACTGCTTTGGATGTTCCTGCTGCTCCTGCAGCCTTGGACAATAATTCATAGATCCTCTTTCTGGCTCTACTGGTTTTCATTTCTTCCTTCGAAAAAAGAAGAGTTTCATAAGGTACCAAGGGATGTGTCGTTAATGAGAAACAAAGACAGTTTTAGTGGTACAATTTCAACAAAGTGCAAATAACAGATTTCAGTATTAACACAAGTACCTCATCAGCAGGTGTTACACTCAAGTCAGTCTCCTTTATTCGAATGTGCAAGTTCTTAATCCCTACAATAAAGTGTTCCACGCGTTTATATCCACATATCAGTGGGATTAAAATCAATTAAAATGCTCAACATATAGATTTAAATAAGTAAAATACCGAGGATTTCTCGAAGCTCTTTAGCAGTCAATGCGGCTTGAACTGGACCCCTTCTCCCGACTAGATACACCTTCCTGTACATGTTACAACTTTGTATCAGGAACTATAGTTGGTTGTTAACTATACAAAACATATCTAACTCGTTCAATGGGACCTTATAGAACTTTCTTCCAGCGCAGATAAAGCATGTCTAGCAATATCAGTTGACGCCAACTCTGTTGTCGGTCTCAACAGAATCCGAGCAACATCCAGAGCTACATTACCCTAAAGTTTGAAATGATTCATACGTCAGAGAGGTCTTTAGAAATGCTGGAAAATATCAAAGTGACTTGACTGCATATGTATACCTGGCCAAGAATAACAGCTTTATCGGAACTTTTCAAGTCAGGTTTGAAACTGCTGTAGTCTGGATGCCCATTATACCACCACACGAATTCTCTTGCCGAGTGTATACCACTCAAACTCTACCAAAAAAAAAAATCAACTTTATACATCAGCAGCATGAATACTAAAAACAGGTATAAGCAACCAAAACGTATATAAACACCTAAATCTAATGAGCATACCTCACCTGGAATGCCAAGAGCTCTGTCACTTTCAGCACCATATGCAAGCACAACCTGAACACACCATATAAAATACTTTTTGAGCTACTTTAATTGTCCAACTAAATCATATAATAATAGCATTAAGATTAAGGAGGACTTACAACGTGATACAAATCGCGCAGCTCAGAAAGTGATAAATCCGAACCAAGCTTTACATTCCCATGAAAAGAGCACCGCTCGTGTTGCGCCACACGTGAGAACTGATTCATGACAATCTGCACAAAAGCAATGCGGTTGAAATTAAGCTCTCTCTTTCTCTGTAAACAAGCTAAGCGAAAATGAGATATATTGAGTGGTAACCTTAGTTTCAGGATGATCAGGAGCAACACCGGACCGCACAAGTCCAAAAGGTGTGGGCAATCGATCGATTATATCAACACGTGCTCCTTCATGCGCCTTCAACAACTGATTACCAGAACATCAAATCTTAATTCTGTTTTTGTTCCGACGTGAACATTTCGTCTAATCAAAGAGAGAAAGAAGTACCTTTTCGGCAGTGTAGAAACCAGCAGGTCCACTCCCGACGACGCAAACGTGAAGAGAACGGGAAGAAGAAGAGGAAGACAAGTATCTAGATACCAAATGTCGAGCCATATATCTAATCATCTTTTTCAGTAACTTCTAATGTTTATGCTAATCAAACACCAGAACCTCTTCTGAAACTGTGCGTAGAGTTTTCCCTAGTTTCCTCGGTCTCCGGCGGTGTCACCTCCGTCGCTTTTTCCTTCTCGGTCTCCGGCGCTTCTTCTTCTTCAATTTAGGTTGTAACAATCCCCTTTACTCTCGGTTTTGATGATGGTTTGGTTCAATTTAATTTACTCATTTGGTTTGATCTGTTATTTGATAATGACGTGAGACGCCGTGTCAGCTCTCTTAACGGAAAACATACACGGTGTTTAACAAATTAACGGGAAGCAACTTTTTTTTTTTTTGGCTCGGTTAATTCAAGTTCAGTGAATCAGTGTTGTTCTTATGCTCTATGCTCTGGTCCAAGAGTAGTGTACTACGTAACTACCACATTGGTAGATTTTGAAGACAGTGCTGGTCAATGAAAATTATGTTAGTTAAAAATTAATCCTCAGTAATTGTAAATAGTGTGGTGATCACTTTAAATTTTGTTTATAAATTGTAAAATGAAATTCAAACAAGTAAACAGAGATGATCAACAACTCCTGGGACTTATAACAATGTGTCACTCTCCCAATCCCAACTATTAAAACGTACACGCAATATTGGGGACAACATACTATGAAGAAGTGAAAAGTGTGTAAAAGAATAGAGTTGCATCTCATACTATGTCTCTAGGCATTATCTATTCAACTATTTACCTTCCTTTAAGCTCTGCAAATCTGGCAGCCAGATCGTCATAGTTTGGTAACTTTGGGTGAACGTGCTTATTAGCATCGCTGGAACGTTCCGGCTGAAACGAGGAAGCTCGGGCAATCGTTATCGCAGGTACGGATGGCCCGGCAAATTGATCACTGGGGAGAGAACGTGACCGAGCGGTCTTATGAATCAACATGTCTTCACCTTCTGCATTTTTAAGATGCGAACGTCTGCTCTTGGCTTCTTGATGCACATTATCATAACTTGAAGGCTTTTTACTGTAGTGCAGGAGAAGTTGATCCATCATCTTTTCCTCACTGTCCTTCTCATCCTCATCAATTAACACTTGAAGCCCTTTCCTTGAGTTTTCCCTTCTTCGGCTCCTTGTATCATCATCACCACTGGATTGTAAAATGTGTTTTGTTCTGCTAGATCTTCGTTTCAGAGATTGATCATCTATGTCATTCACTTGATGATGACTTGGTTCATTTCCTCTCTCTACACCATGAACTGAAGCTTCAGCGTTTTCATTCTTTGCTTTGCCGCTAGGTTTAACGTATGGAGGAGGTGGAAGAGATTTGTAGAAGGGTGATTTCATTCTCTCTGTTTCTCGCTCCTCAACTTTCCTTGCTGGATTTGTAGGATCACCACCCTTGACGTTACCACCACTTGGATCGTTTTCTGTGCGCTCTCCCACAAGTACTGCATTTTCTCTGCTCTCCTGATCACGGCGATGCCTACGACCTGAATCAATAGAATCTGTTCTTTTCGACTTGCTACTTGGCTTTGGAGGTCTTGCGATGTTATCTTCCACTTTCTGAGGTGCATGATCTTCATGATTCTCATGTTTGTAGCCTTGAAAGAAACTCTCTTGTTTAAAGCCGAGAACTAACTTGTCAGCTCTCTTGGTGCTGCTAGGCTTGGGTTTCTCTGTCACCTCTGTTTTCTTAGGCGCATCAGCTTCGTCTCCATTCCCATGAACGAGATTCTCACGCTTGATCTTCATTACTATAGTGTCACCTTCGTTGAAAATAGGCTCATGTCTTTCTCTAGAAGATTCTCGTTTATGCTGCAAATAAAACTCTTTCCTTTCTGCCTTATTGTCCTTGCTATCCGATCTGGAGACGTGACGGACATTATCTGACTTCTCTCTAGATATTACCCCTTGCTGATTCTCACGCTTGATCTTCATTACTATGGTGTCACCTTCGTTAAATATAGGTTCGTGTCTCTCCAATCTAGAGGCGTGACCAACATTATCTGACCTTTCTTTAGATGCTAGCCCATGCTGATTTCCTCTGAGACCATTCTGATAACTCTGTTTATCAGGTTGATGCAAAGGATCTCTTCTCTCCGATGCATCCGCTTTTTTTCTTTCTGATGGCAAGGCCATGTTTCCGTGTACAGGCTTGTCGTAGGTGCTTTTTGGGGTCTCCTGTTCATGTCCAGGAGAGAATTCATAATTCAAATCTCTATTCCAAATATTTCAGTTTATGGCCTTTAAAACAAATGAGAGTCATCGTCGTACCTTTACTGAATTTTGTCTAATAATTCTCTTCTCAAAAGCTTTAGAGTCCCAACGGATAGAGAACTCCAATGCAACGTCTTCCATCAACTTCACTTTCTTCTCCAATGAAAATGGCTTTGATGACATACTCTCAACAAGCTATAAGAGAAACCAGTAGTTGCTTAGCTTAACCATGTATTCTGTATAAAATTTCCAAATGAGTTTAATTGAGAAATGGATACACTAGAAAAAATCTTTACCTCTTGGTTGACAAACAATCCAAGTGAATCTGCGTACTTTTCGTGAAACATTTGCCTCAGTTCACGCAGCTCAGGCAGCTCAGAAAATCCAGAGGCTGCAAACATTAACGACGACACAGCTTCACGACAATCTTCCGGACATTCCCTGGAAAAATAAGTGCAAATCAATTAACGAGCCTAACAACGTTTGCAACCTTTAAAATGTTCCACTAAGTCACAGAACACATTTCACATGACTAAGGAAACAGGAACAGTGTGAATAGGAAAATGCCAAAATATGAGGTAAATGACATTCGTTCTAGATACTAAATTTTAAAAAATATGTTAGGGAAACTGATATTCATATTAAAACCTAACACACTGATGTGGCAGAGTATCTGCAAAGAACTTCTCATCGAGTCAGAGTAAGTTACAACTACTCATGAACAATTACAATGAAAAATCATAAATTAAGATATCCTAAACCTAAACTTAGGAGAATGGCAGAAACAGTTACACAAATGCAGATAGGCCAACATGAGAAATCTCAAACAAAAAGCCATTGACACTTACTCCATCTTTTGCATCGTCGAGAGCTGCTTATACACAAAATCACATGTATTCTCAACAAAGTCAAGATTCCAGAGAAGCCTTAATTCATCAAGAAGCCCACCAGCCTGTGTCAAACGATGAAACAATCATAAGATAAATCCGAATTTTAATTGATTCTCAATGATAACTATCTTAAATCAGTCGAAGAAGAAAACCAAATCAAACGTTGAAAAACATATAAGTTTACCCTGCTATAAGCATTGACGTCAAGGCCATTAGAGACGAGATCAGCCAAATCTTTTCTCAGGAACTTGATCGTGGCAGTCCTCTTCCTCCGAAGAACATCGATCCGATTCTTAGTCAGTTTTATCAGTGGTTTTCTGTCGAATCAAATCACACAAATGAAACCGATTCACCCAATATGAAAACGGACATTAGTAAAGGAATTTAAAATCAGAATCGGAGAGGGGAAAGAGGAGAAATGGAGAGAGAGAAGACGAACCCCTTGGGAGCAAAACCGCGGCCTAACAGACCATCAAACATCTTTTGATCTCTTACGATTCCGCAACAGCGACGATGAAATCAACAACTCTCAGTAGCTAGAGAAAACCAGATTCCGAGTGGAATCAGCTCGCATGGGGGAGAGAGACTCGAGAGAGAAAGAGAAGAGCGTTTCACTTTTTGGTTTTGAAAATGGAAGCGACTCGCACATCTCAAGCTGTAGAGAACATGATGACCTCAGTCCTTTCTCGATCAAAACGCGAAACGACTCCGTTTTGACTTTTTAATGTTAACGTTATAAAGGGTACTTTGGGCAACATTCTCTCCATATTAAAACGATTTGGAGATCAATCAAAATCTTATCATATTTAATTAATGGATCAAGGCCTTATTGGGTTATATATGATTCGAAATACAAAATTATAGCTCCTAATCAGATTTCTAAATCAATTAAAATGAATGAAACCGCGTAATTATTCTTCTTGTAGGAGTTGAGGAATCAAATCACATACCCTCTAGTTGTTAAGTGGAATTGGGTGGAAATGTTCTGGTACTGCTGGGTCCACCTAATTGCATGGATTCTGTTAGACCTGCACCAATAAATGAATTTACTCACCGACGGCTTTTTTAACTTTTAATCTAAGCTTTTTCTTTTTAAAAAGTCAAAACCAATGTTACTTTGCAGTTTGCATTAGAGAATCAGGCATTTCAAAATGTAATTTTTTTTTTTTATGTTTGTTTTTCTTTCTAGATTCTGTTAATTAATCAAATGAATGTATGCTTAAGGCCAGAGTATCATACTTTCCACTAAATTAACTTAAACAATATAATTATCCCTTACTTGCTTCTAAGTTCTAACCTGTGGAATCTTTTTGTGCTTAAGTGTGTTTGCTTGTCTTGTGAGACATACTATACTTCTATGCTAATCATTTTTTGAGTTTTCCTTAATTCTCTCACCCGAATTTTAATTTCTCTTATATGTTCATTGTGTTTTTTATCCTTTGTATTATCTGGCTACGTGTTCTTGTTCTTCATTCTTGATAAATACACAAACACAATTTAGCAAGACGGGTTGTTGCTCTTTCTTTCAGTTCCTGGCAGCTTTACTTCCAAGCTCTCACTATTTGGCTCATGGAATCTCTAAGATCAAAATGCAAAATCCTAATAAATGTGAGCCATCCGGAGAACCAAATCGATTTTTGCTATGATCATCAAACATATAAAAAGAATGATGAAGTATTAGTATGTTAAAAACTTTTCTAGATATTTATCATGGTTTTGTATACAGAGCATAAATTGTTTCGGATGCCACAAAAGTGGAAGGTCTTTAGTTGTGGAAGTCGATGAGCCATCAAAGGGACTCAAAATCCAAGGAAAAGTTGTGAAGAAAGAGTGTGCTTCATCAGACGGTTTTTGGAGCACGAGTACATGTGATATGGACCACAATATCTTGATTAATTCACAATCTTCAAATCCGCCTGTTGATCTCGGGTGCAGCACAAGCAACTCCGCAGAACTTGTAAACCATGGTTAACTTCTGAATCTGTTCTTTGGTGTTCTAATTAAGTAATAATCTTACTTTGTCATTTTATCAAAAGCAAGATATTACTTCTCTCTTTCTTGTCAATGAAGGAGTTGTTCTATGGAACCAAACAAGAGAACAGTGGCGCAAATACAGAACCAGACAACAATGCCGAGTTTCAGAACCGGCAATAAGGTGACAACTAAGTGATAAATGAAAAATCTTCTTGTTGAAAATTCGTATTAAGAGTTTGTATTATTATATGTCTGGATTTGGAAATGCTTGCTACTATGTTTAATATATGATTGGTTCATTTTCAGTGTTTAAGACTCGTACGTACTTCTCAATCATACTTTATGTTGACTTTTCAGCTGGAACTCGACATATGATAGCTTATTGAGCACAAACAAGCTTTTTCCTCGACCGATACCTCTTCAGGTGATTAATAAGCTTTCTACTCAAGAGTCAAGACACTATTAATTGCAATAGAAGTCTGTATATGTTGTTTTTGCTAAACAAAAACTTCTGTAAACTAATGACGATATTATTACAGGACATGGTGCATTTTCTTGTTAATGTTTGGGAGGAAGAAGGATTGTACATATGATACGTTAAAAACTATCTACATAATAAAGCAAATAAATAGACAAATAAATGTTCCATGTGATTTTTTGTAATTTAAGTTGCATTTTTATTCCTGTGATTACTTAAACAAAACTGTTATATGTTACAACTTGTCAGCTGTCACAGTAGATCAAGACGATGGCTTCAAGTTCCTAATTGCAGCGGCCAAAATCTGAGACACAATTCCACAAGTGAAAATCAAATCAGAAATAACAAAATACACTAATGCTAAAAATAAGCACTTAAATGTCAAAAACAATATACACATACCCGGGCAGCTCCAGGATCAAACCTTATTTGACCAGCACTTGTATTCCTCTCCTCTCTCTTTGCAGCTACACTTGCTTTATCAGATTCCACTGTTAACTTTGTATCATCTTCAACTTTGCTGCTGCTTCCAATACATCCTTCTATACCTTTGCTCTTGCTTCTAGTAATGTAATTATTGGTTTGAGGATGGGGACTCTGTTCTTTCTTGGAGAACTGTGTAGCCGCTGCTCGTGCACCCGCAATTGCAGCTGTGAGAGTAGTGGTGATTTCTTCTGTCTCAACTGGTTTCTTCTCTTGTATGGTAGAGGAAATAGACCCGGGTTTTAAGGAAAACGGGTCTTTCGGGTCCGGAAGAGGAAACTTCACCGCGTAAGGGCTTTGAGAAGGCGGAGTAAGACCTCTAGCTGCTGCCACATGAATCTGTTTCCATAAGAATACAGAGTAAGTAACGGTTTGATACTCTAGGAACCACCGGATTTTAGGTGATTAACGATTTACCTTATTTTCTAAGTTATAAACGCCCTGGTACCCGCGCATCTCAAACGGAATAATCAGTTTCTACAACAATATTCAAAGTTAAGATATTAAAGCTAATCCAAAGAAATCTGTTATTAAAAAAAAAACGAAAGAGTTAAGTGAAATTTCACCTTTGGCTTCTCACATAGCCAACAAAAATCGGTTTGTCCTTCAAGCCTCACCTATTGTATATACCAACGAATTATTGAGAACTTAGCTGTTAATTTCAATGATCAAAGAACAAACAAATACAAGAAAATTACCCCTGGAGATAAAGCCTCCCAGTTCTGAAGTTCATCGCAGCTGACACAACCAACAACCTCAACACATCCTTAACCAAAACAAAACCGTATCAGTTACTGTCTAAGCAAATTAAGTCTTTTTAACTTCTACTACAACTTAGAACAAGCATGCTTCCCAAATATGTAAAGATATTAAACAAGACTAGTAAATTATACCGATTAGTCTTGAAACAGGGTAATGTTGTGGGAATTGAATATCCGTGATTCCGTCGACAGCGTAAATTTCAGTGTAAAACTCTTCCATTGCTTTAATAGTAGATTCATCAGGAACTTTACTAGCTGCGTGAATCCATAGACGACCTAGTAAAAAAGTTAAAACACTTCTTCTTCAAACTATCATCAAAGCATCAAAAAGACAAAAAGAGACAATTTTTCTTTCAGATATAATAATTTGGATTCTAATTCTAATCATCAAAACTGCAACTTTGAAACCAGTGTTCTATTTAGATTCAATCGGAGCTTCGATTATATCAGCAACTTTGAAATTAGGGGTTTAATTATATACCTCGAATCGGCGCAGGCCATGACCTTCCTTCGATGCGCTTGATACCATGAACTAGAAGCGAAGCCCATGGCTGATGCATGGTCAAGCACGGGTTCGTGTAATTCCCACGTCTCATTGCTCGATTTGTCTCAAATCAAATCCGAAAAACCTTGACTTTTCCCAATCTAGCGATATCAAGTTATGTCAGAGGTTGACTTCTGAGTTTTAAAGAAGAAATAGTCGAAATCGGGAAACTGGCACGTGACAACATGTGCGGTTTTAAGTTAAAAAGGCCAAACTTACAACTTTAACTCTCGAAAGGGGTTTGATTGTAAATGTTGAAATATAGGGGTCGATTTGATAGTACGAAATAATAGAGGGGGCTGATAAGAACGTATACTCCATGATATTTTTCAGCCTAAATATCTTTCTCTCTTCTCTCACTCACTCCACTGAAAATTCCACGGAAGACTCTCAGAATGATAATGAGAAGCGCGTCGTCACTGGACCTTAGCCTACGCGCAGCTCAGAAATCGCCGGCTCCACGGTGTACAAACGGAGCTCGGGTTGTCACGGCGACAGCTCGAACCGTCTCTGCTTCTCCTCGGGGTTGTAAATCGATTCCCAGAGCTTCTTCTGATGGAAACCTCTACGAGATGCGAGCGATTCAGGCGCCGGAGAGGAAAACGAGAACGACCGGCGTCTACTACGACGAAACGGCGTCTTCTAGAGTTTTGGAGAGATCCGGTCTCCACCAGGGAGGTTCGAATGGTGGATTTGGCGGTAGAGGCGGAGACGATAACGGAGGTGGCGATGGTGGAGGAGGTGGAGGTGGGAGCGTAGATGGTTATTACGAAGAGATGATTCAACGTTATCCTGGAGATGCTCTTCTTCTCGCTAACTACGCTCGTTTCCTCAAAGAGGTATAAAACATGTTTGTTATAATTTGGGAAAGAAAACAAATACTTTAATACTTGCTAAAATGTGTTGTTGATTTTTGGTTTTGATTGGTTAGTAAATATAGTAATTCGTGTATTAGTATGGGCGAGTTTGTGTGACTCCATTTAGAGTTGTGGGAATGTTTCAGGTGAAAGGAGATGAGAGAAAAGCAGAGGAGTATTGTGAGAGAGCCATGTTGTCTGAGAACGGGAGAGATGGAGAGATGTTGTCTATGTATGGAGATTTGATTTGGAAAAATCATGGAGACGGTGTTCGTGCTCAGTCTTACTTTGATCAAGCTGTTCAATCTTCTCCTGATGACTGGTGAGTGTAAACATAACTTGAATTGTTATTGAACAGAATCTGCTTAATGTTCTTGTAGTTTAACCCGTTTTGTAGATTGGTTTAGAATCTTTAGATAATTTCATGGGCATGGGTATGTTGAAAGAGAATAATAAGATAACATTTTTCACGTAAATGATTTTGTGGATCAAATGTGATTTGCTCTACATCCAACCTTTGAAGAAGTGATTGGTCAAATTAGTCTCAGAACAATAGCTTCACACGTCGAATATGACAGAGACATCTACTTCATTAAATTTTACTTTATTTCTCTCTCGGCATCTGCTATGTTTTGTGGTGTGGAATGATGATACAAATAATTAAAAAGACAATAATACATCATCATGATAAAAAAGGTAAATCTGATACTTGCATGAATTGTGTTTATTGCAGTAATGTTCTTGCGTCATATGCTCGATTTCTGTGGGATACCGAAGAAGATGAGGAGGAAGAGGAAGAAATTACATATGAGAATGGTTTCTCTACCTATAATAACCCATCTATATCAGTTGTGTCTTGACTCTTTCTGCTGATATTAAGCCGGTGTAATATTAATAAAAACTTAAAAGTCCGGTTTAATCATAAATATCTTTTGCACATTGATTCGAAGTTGATTGATGCTAATGCGTTGGAAAAGACGAGCCAGGTATTAATAAAAAGTCTAAAGCTGCATTATTGCGGGGAAAATGTGATATTCCAAAGAAAATTAAAGTGGTTTGTGTCCTTACGCTTTCTCGCTTAGAGCTCAAAAAGTGTAAGTTGAGATTGGTCCTGCGCTTTGGATAGAATCAATTATTGATCAGTGGTGGCGAGACATGTCACCCTCAGCTGTCGTTAATCCATTTCTTTTGCGTATGAAATAAACCTTGACCGTTGCAATTTGCAAATACACTTTATCCAAAACAATTTTGACTTTTGTTTATTTATTTTTGTCAAAATCTTAATGTTTACAGTTTACTACGTAACCCCGATGGATAGCTCACAGAATTGGGGAGATAGTCAATTATAACAACAATTGCATATATAACAAAAACAAGAAATTGACGAAGAAAAGAAAGAATACACAACGAACGCAGAAACTCCTGAATATTCACCTTTTAGGAATCAAAGCATCAAAAAGAAGATCTTGACATCAAAATACAGCTTAAAAGGTTAAAAAAACATTACCATCAAACATAGAGAAATATATGAAAGCAGCAACCTTTAGAGCTATGATTCTTATCAGTTATCACTCTTTCACCCATTTCTTCTCATATAAGTTTTGGTCGAAGATAATATATAAATATCATACGGTTTTCATTTCCTCTTTTCCTCCTCCTTAATTTAATGCAAGATATGAGTAATGTTCGTACCGCAGAGTTTTTAATGCCCAACAGCAACCACTTCAGATACCTCAATAGACTCGGCTCTGTCTTCATCCACCCTTGGAGATACAGTCTCATGCGAATCTTCTGCATCAGCATTGGATGTAACAGTCACTTGTGCTTCCTCTTCTATGGGGTGTGAAGACTGGTTTACGGTCTCTGCATCTTTCTCGAGTTTCTTTCTTTCAGGTTTAACCTTCGCCGAGGCTGTGGCAGATTTTGCTGGGGCGGGGGCGAGTTTTCCGTCGGGGAGAGCTGTTTTCTGAGATGGCAATCTTGGAAGTGACTTGCGCACCGGTTGCTTCTTGAGATCAACTGCTGGCGTAATTCCCTTAGCAGTTGAGTTATCTTTAGAGACTTTCTCATCTAGGCTCAGCCTACCGAGGCGAGGGGTTTGAGTTTCTTCAGAATCAGTCTTCTTTCGCCCGAGTTTTGGAGATTTGGCTCTTGTTGGTGGTATCTACTTGGAAGTAAATAAGAATGAGAATTTTCCTATTATACTAAAAAGTGACATAATGGTTGAGCAGAGTGTGGAAGTACCTTCTTTAACTCTGTTTTAGGTGGCTGAGGTTCTTGATAAAAGCTAGGCATGGGTGTGGCTTTGAAGTTCAAGCTTTTCCTTAGCTTCCTAAGCTCAGCTTCTTGCGTTTCCTACGAGAGAGCCAATAAATTTTGTTGACAGGACTCAGGAGTAGGACGAGAATACTGTGACAGAGAAGAGGGTTTAGAAGATCACCTTGGACTTGGCTTGCATGTTGTTGATTTCCTCTTCTTTCGCATGAGTCTTCTCCTCAAGCTTAACATAGAACTACACCAAATGAAAGCAGAAATATGATATATTTTTAAACATGTTTGTGGAGAAAGGACAAGTATAGTGAAGCAAAACGCAAACCTCTCTTCTCTTTTCAGCCCGTTGGTCACATTTGAAACTGAACCCGTAATTTGGAAGTGCACCAACTTTACGAGGTTTGCCATCCTCTGCATTCGGGCTACTAAGAAACCATAAAGTTATAATCAACATAAATGCTAAGAAATGAGAGCCAAATGCAGAAAGAGTTGATAAATAATATTGTGAAACAAATACTTAGACGACTGAGTATCATCTTCAGATGTCTCCTGGGCTTGTTTCTTTAGAGGCTTTGGTTTCACCTTGTCCCTGTGTCAAAGAGAGAAAGAAATCTCCAGCTTCAATGATTGATTATGGACTAAAAGATAAATGATAAGACTTAGCACCAATGTGTCTAGTTTCTAAATGGCATGTTTTAGCAAATGTTTTCAAAATGAGAACTCAATACCCGGAGTCGCTTTCAGCTGGTGCAGGGTCTTGCTTTCCATGCTGATATGAACAGAACAAGTCGGAAATAATCATCCGTCAGAAAAGGGAAAAAACAAAAAATGATGACACAAAAACATGCATAAGCCAAGGGATAGAAACGTAGAAGCAAATTGTAAGTTATGATTACCTCCGTGAGTTGAGCCTCTCTACCATTGAACGATGTGCTCTTAAGAGACTTTGCTGTGTGTGCATTAGGAGCAACGGAACCATTCGATGCTGCCACTTTAGCAACTCCACTTTTCTCCTCTTTCTTCTTTTTAATATGAACCGATGGAACATTCTTACCACCTGCGAGTTTCTCAGTCTTTAGCTTCCGTTGAGCCGCTTGAGCCTTTTGGCCTTTGATATTCTTTGGCTCATCTACATTTTCAACTTGTGTGACCTACAAAAACAAAAGACAGAAGCACAAAAACGTTAACTAGATTAAACTGTTAATCTGACGGTCGAGTAGATTAACAATCCAGAGTTACAAACCTCAGCTTCCTCCTTGGGATGTTCAATTCCATCCAAAGTGGAACTGTTTCCAGAGTTCTCATTCTGACTTTCTGAAGTAGTATCCAAGGCTTCGTCAGAAGCAGCACCATTTCCTTTGACATCAACGTTTTCCATTGTTAAACCACCATTTGCAGGAGCAGAGTCAGTCCCATCAGCCACCGTGACACTTTGTGGATCCATAGTCAACTACAAAAACAACAAATAAGAAACAACCACTGACATAAGTGATGAGACAAAACATTAATATAGCACACCACTAATGAAGATTCTCAGCAGAGAAGTTTATAATCTGCAATATCAATCAATAGACAACAAACATTTTCCCAAAAAAATGAGAGCGCTTTTTTCTAGGGTTTATGAAGTGAATCACATTTCAATCAACATTGTTCAGTGACCAAAGATTCAAGCTACATTTACATTAAAGCAATGGTTTGTCCAATACCCAGACTTAAGCCACTCATATGTAAATCGATCCGTACACAATACACACATTCCCCAAAAACCAAGTCCTGATCAACGAGAGCAAATTTCACACAAAAACCCAGAAAAAAATCACTCTTTCGGCTTTACTCATGGACACCTAACTTCCGATTTACTAAATCGATCTAAGTGAACAACAAATCGGAGATACGCAAATCTAATCCGGAAGTAGAAGCAAATCTAAATCAGAAAAAAACCTAAATCTCGGTGGTTACTGAGCTCACTAGTCATGCTAGTGAAGAAAGTGGCAGTTCTACTATCGATCTGCCGACACTCAAACGAAGAAATGAAAATGAACAAGTAAATTAGTTTCTCAGATTCATAAGAAGTTCCGCCATTTCCCAAAGCAGCCAAACAAACAAGCAACAAGAAAAACAATGGCAAACAAAATCAGAGAACACGAAGACGCACATCTTCCCTAACCAAACGCAGTACCAGAGCAAATCAGACGCCCATTGAAGTGAAAAATCGGAGAAGAAGATGGAAGAGGAGGATGAGGTTTCGTAGGGTTGAGATTTCGATTTGTTCTTGAGTTTTTTTTTTTTTTGGGGTTTCTGAGAGATGGATGGATTCTCGGTTTTACACAAGTTTGATTCCTGTCTGTGAATTAAAAAAAAAAGGATAGATTTTTTTCCTTGTGAAGAGAGAAAAATGACAAAACGTTTTCAATATTTTTATTTATTACAGCGGGCTGTTCGAAATCTAATTGCCACGTCATTAGGGAGATTACGGTTAATCGGCGGTTTTTTTATTTAATCGTGGGATTGTGGGGGAGTTTATATATTTCTACAACTCTAGATATTTCCAGTGTTAATCATTAATCCGAATGAATTCTGCTGTTACAATCAAATATCCGAATCAGATTTGCTGTGATTGTGAACTTTGGACTTTTTTGCAAAAGAGTATATTGCGAACTTTGAACTCAAACAGATGGAGATTTCGATTGTTTCAATTATTTGGGAGTGTTCAAAATGTATAAAAACAGTGAAGAATAAAATTAAAAGAAACATGTACAAATGAACTTTTATATTTATAAAGATTTATTTACAACTTGAGTAAAATCCACTAACAGAAGTTTGGATGGAACATTTATTAAACATATTAAAAGCTTGGAATTATAAAAAGATATAAGTGGTTGGGCAAAAAAAAGAAGAAAACATAAGTGGGAACCAAGTCCAAATTAATATTTGTTATGTCTGAAAAGAAACCCGGATTTGGGGGGTTTTGGATATGGTTAGATACTTAGATTGCTTTTATATTTTGATTTGAATACAAAAGTAGAAAGAAAGACATGACCTTCTCATTTTCTTAATCAAACGGTATAAACTTTTCGTTAGTTATACATATAATTGCGAATTTGTATATTAGTCGCTTTATTAAGGTGAACCATATCATCCCCCACACTATCATCAGACTATTTAAATGAAAACTTTTTTTCGTTTAGTTGTTAATTAACACCTTTAATAAGAAATCTTAAAACCCCGCTCATTCTTTTTTTGTAGAGAAATAACCAAAATAGTGCTACAATTCAAGAACATATAATTTAAAAAAGTTTATAAATATATCTTACACAGTATATTATAACTCATACATATTGCCTCGGTATATAAATTGACTATGGTTACAAAAAATATGATCGAAATAGTTTTCATCTTAGACTTGGATTATACAGATGATGAGAAGTTAATCAAGTAAAGCATTTCCCATTTTATGCATAATAAAGAACACAAGTAAGTGTTACATATTTAAATACACGCACCCACATGTACACACTCAAAAGCTTGTGGTAGGCCAAATAGAATTAAATCAAATGAAAGATGTTTTCAAGGAATCAAATAAAAGTTTTTTTTTGTTAAGAAATCAAATGAAAGTTAGCAGTACTCATTTCGTTGACTACAAAGGATTAAGGAAGTAATAGTTTATTAGTTACGCTATAAATCAACAAAAAGAAACCAATTAGCAAGCTTAGGTGTTGCTCCAAACCTCTTTTCTTCCCAACATACATCCTCTCTGATTTTGGTCATCATGCATTCGTACTCCTATAGTTAATTCAATCTCAAGGTTTTGAAGAGCCGTTGGCATTAAAAACAATAAATATGTATAGCTTAACTAGTGGTGCGCGCTAATTTCTTTTTGCGATACTTTTAAAGTGTAGAACGTTTTAACTTTTAAAGTAGGATGATTAATGGTTTGATATGGGTTTTTGTTGTTCTGAAAATTTTGTAAAATCCAATCTATAACACTTTCACCTAAAAAAATCTAACAAAATCGGATCATATACTCTCGATCGTAGAATAATATTTACTCTTCCACTTAACCATCCGTTTAACACCCGTCCATGTTCTAAGTAGTAGTAAGAAAGTCCGATTTTTTTTAGGAATTAAGTAAATAGTTAACTTTGTTGCGTTTTTAATTCAGTTTATAATAGTAAATGAATAACAGTTTTTAAAGTAGAAACGTGGTACCAACTGACACACAAGTATATGATTATCCTGATTAGCAATGAGAGAGTGTGATTAAAGAGGAAGCAAAGTGATTAGACACAAAAACCACTTTGTTAAGAGACAAGTTGGTCCAGCGATTAGGGTAAGATACAGGTACAACTGTGACACCCTTCCTTTCTTGATGTCTCTCAAAACTTTCTCATCCCATCATTCCTCTCTAATTTTCACTAACATCTCTTATAGTTTAGTTTATTCAGTTGTGCTTCTATCTTTTTGTCTTGCCAATATCCTTCTAATTTTTTTGTTAAATGCTATGTTATTGGGATTAACAAGAAAAACATATATATGATCAAAACTGATATATGTTGGAAGATTTGAAATATTTTGTGTCGTGTTGCAAGCTATGAGCAGATTTTATGCTGCTCAGCATCTCTTGTTATCTGCTTAACCACGTATCAGTTTTGCGTAATCCAGAAGAAAAACTTTTAATGGGATTGTACTACTTACTGGTCATATCATATTTTATATAAGAAATCATGTGCTTCATAACAAAAGTAACCAAAGAAGAATAATTGAATAATTTAGGCTGTCATACAAAAGGCAATTGTAATGAATAATTGATTAGTATGTTAGAAAATAGGGGAATAACGTAATAGACTAATACTATAATCGTGAGACAATAAAATCAAGACACTAACTTTGAATAACAGTGTACTAGTGTAGTGGTCTTTGTAAGATAATGATGAAAATGGTGAAAAAAGTAGCTTTAATAGATGAATGAAATTTTGTTTGATTAGTTATACTTTATATAGTCTAGAGTTGTCCATAGACATACTTTTTAATAAAATAAGAAGTTAGGAGTTTTTTATAGATTCACATCGGTGTAGAGTTTTCTTCTTTACAATGTCATACATATATTCTTCTTTACAATGTCATACATATGTCATCTATAGCTTCCAACTGAAAAACGACATAATTCAATCAAAACTTCACCTACTTAGGAAGATGCCTATACATAAACTATGGCTTAGTGTCTACATTGGAAGAAACAAAAATAAGACGTCCTCTCTTCACAGTGGTCGACCGAATGAAAGAAACAAAAAAAAATATGAAAAAGTGTGTCAATTTTGACTATTACTGTTTGTTTTCTTATGGTTATTTTGGCAGGGAAATTTAGTTCACATGCGAATCATCGCAGGTACTATTTTATATTATAGTTATTTTTATGTACGATTAATAGATAAACTTTTACATACACTAAGCAAAATAAACATTAACAACAAATATTCAGGCATGTATGAAACAACAAATGAAGGATAGACATCAAAGCGTTTTCCATTTGGCCCCAGAATTGACTAGTTTGATATAAGCGTTGGTGAAGTCTTTGAAGAATTTGTCTTGGTCTTCCGCATATTGTTTCACCCACCTGTGCATCAAACAATGAATCTTATATCAGTTGAATAGTGATCAGTTTTGTCAATAGTGAGCACATTACCTTACTTGAGAAAATTCGATAGCGAAATGATAAAGAGTGCAAGTGTAAGAAGAGAAACCTTAAGCACTCATCATCCTCGACTAAGGCGTGATCCGAAGGAAGCCCAACCATGCTCGTCATTTTAGCTGCATCGTCAATGGAGTCATAAGAAGACAACTATGTAAAGATTTATTCTGTCAAGTCCAAACATATCAGAACATGGGAAGTATAAGAACCTTGTCATGAAACTTACATGTCGTTGTGGATGTCCAAGGCTTTTCAAGGAGGATTTTGTAGTATGCATTGTCAAAAGTAAATGGATCTCCAAAGCCTTTGCTCCCAATCGTATGTGCCCCAGATAAAGCAACAAGTTCTTGGGTCCTGCAATGACACCACAAACTCAGTGAGGCCAAGTTACAAAAGTTTGATACAAAAAACATTCTTAAAACTATCTATTGTGTAGGGACTTACGAAAATCCTTTTCTTTTGAAGCATTCTTTCAAACCAGAGGCACTCAGGGTTTCTGGAGGCAACTTGTCTTCTGGATCAGGTTGCCTGAGAACCAATGAAACAATCATCCTGTTGAGACATATAGAAACAGAGACCAGAGATCTACTGAACGAGGGACTAAAGCTTACGATGAATCAAGTCTTCCCAAAACAACTGGAATTGTTGGTCCGCCACATATTGAAACTGCTTCAGACCCAGCGACAGAGGTCATATCCGCCCAAGACACTAAGATCACACAGATTGAGAACATTACCACAAAGATGCATAACATGACACATTTTTTGGGTGTATACAGTTTCAACTAGTATAATTACCGGGTTGTATCGCATCAATCATAATCTTTGCTTTCGCCAGAACCTATCCATCTAACAAGAAAATTAGTTATTTGATATCAACATATTTGACAAATCTGAGACACAAGTGCAAATAGCCACAAACAAGAGAGAGAGAGAGGGATTTAGTGCCTTTAAGGATTTCTTCAAACCTGTGTTTTCAGGTCTCTCCAGTTCATAAGCAATAGACCCATTGATTCCACCTGCAATAAAATTCATTACCAAGAACAATCAAGACATAACTGAGCTGTAATTCTGTATCAACTATAACTCTTGAGAATGAGATTGATTAGTATCACTAGTTACCTGTATTATCGTCAAGTTCAAAGGTTCCAGCATCATGAAACACTAGACGAAGCACACCAGCAGCCTTACCCTTCGTCACCACTTTCCTAATTTCGCTTTGCATCACTCCGTATATACTGAAAATTGTAAAATCCCGCTTCAAAAGATGAGCACAAGAATTCGAAAACTATACAGAATGAACAAACCGAATTTTAGCGTCGGTTATACAAAATCAAAGGATTTCTTCAAAAAACTCACTCAGCTGCGTTTCCTTTTGGCGGAAGCAAATGAGACAGAAGCTGAACAGTAGACAACATGACAGCCATTTTTCTTCTACTGGAAAGAAAAACAGAACCCGATCCTAGAAATAATGCAAGCAAAACAGAACATCTCAGCACGAACTCGTTAAAACAGAACATCCGAAAGGCAAAATAGCATCCGAGGAGAAACGTGTACGCAGCTATACTAGAATCCGGTCTTACCAGGATCATCGGAGGAGCAACGGATACGCAATGCTCTTAACGATCTGACAACATGTTTACAGCTCGCCGGAGATAATATTCCCGTTTTCGCGGGAGATTCAAATTCGTATTTGAACTTGGAACAAGAAGACGAGCGGCACCGAAAAAGAGAAGTTTCAAACAGAGACGCAGTCGTCGTCGTCATCTTCAACGGTGGGACGAGAATCACCGAGCGCCAGTTGATTTTTCTACACTCACGGAGTTCTATCGTCTACGCGCAAGCGTACAATAAGCAACAAATTCTAGCCAATCATAACACAGTAATCTGAGAGTAATAAGAACACGGCACGCATTCGGAATGCAAAAAACGACAAGACGTTCTACGACAGCAAAGAAAAACGACAGGTGGTGCAATAAAACTGTTTAATTAAAACTCTGGAACATTACAAAAAACTGAAAGATACACTATCACTATGTAATTAAACACAACACAATAATATACAACAAAAATATGGTGAGCCAAAGAACTGTATTTAAGATACTACAATTTGGCTTAAAAAAGAGAGTGCTATCTCGGACCGGAGAGTCTCACGGCGGAGAGATAATTCTCACTGTTACAATCCGACGGTCCAGATGAAGTACCACCACCGTCCTCACTGATCGACTTAAAGAAACTCGAGTAAAGCCTCGATCCCAAAGTGGAAGAAGTCGGAGGCTGAACAACCGGAAACACTCCTTCAAGCATCTGAACTACTTTGCTCATCGACGGTCTCATTTGCATATCTTCTTGTATACACCAAAGCGCAGTCTTCATCGCTCTCTGCACTCTCTCATCATTCAAATCAACATTCTTCATCTTCCCATCAACAATCTCCATAAGCTTCCCTTCCTCCATCATCTTGAAAGCGTAAGAAGGAAAATGGCATTTCTCTGAAGTCTCCGACGGATCATAGTTTTTTCTCCCTCCTATCAGCTCAAGCAACACCATCCCGTAGCTGTAAACATCGCTCTTCTCCGAGATCGCGTAGTTCGTGATCCATTCTGGTGCCAAATAGCCTCTCGTCCCACGCATAGTCGTGAAAACATGGCTCTGCTCGCGTGTCATGAGCTTAGCGAGTCCGAAATCAGATACCTTGGCGTTGAAGTTATCGTCTAAGAGGATGTTCTCCGGCTTGATATCGCAATGGATGATCCTTGAGTCGCAGTCTTCGTGAAGATACGCTAAACCTTTAGCCGTTCCAAGCGCAATGTTGAACCTTGTGTCCCAATCCAACAGAATATCTCCGTCTCTTTTCCTAAAGATCCATCTCTCTAACGAACCTTTCGACAAGAACTCGTAAGCAAGAAGCCTATGAGCTCCTTCCGCGCAGAATCCTCTCAGCCGCACCAAATGCAGATGATGAATGCTTCCGATGATACTAACCTCAGCTCTAAACTCTTTCTTCCCCTGACCTATTCCTTCAAGCTTCTTCACCGCCAAGCGAGAACCATCAGGTAAAGTCCCTTCATAAACAGATCCAAACCCTCCTTGACCTAACTTCACCGAGAAGTTATTCGTCGCCGACTGAAGATCTTTGTAAGTAAACCTAATTGGCATCCCGGATAAATTCTCCAAGAAGTTATCCTCCTCTGAGCTATGATCTTCATGATCATCATCCAAAATCGACTTCTTCCTCTTATGAATCCGAAACGCAACAAAGATCAAAACGCCGATGATAAAAACCGTCACCACCACGATAATCACTATATACGGAAAATGTTTCCCGTCGTCCTCTCCGTTATCTCCATCTCCATTAGTGGCTACCTTGATGTAAGACACAAACCCAGAGCCTCCATTTCCAGAGGCTTTATAGCTTCCAATCCAATCAAACAAGAAGCAGTCACCAGAACTGTTCTGAAAGAAGAGACCGAGGCACGTGCAGTTGTTGTTGCAGAACTCTTTACAGCTATCAAGATCTGTCTTCTTGGAGAACGGTGAAGCAAACGAGAGAGCGAAGTAATCAACACTGTCTCCAGCGTTCACCAGCTGCACAGGCAGTGTTGCATTGTTGTCGGTTTTCTTACAAGGAGAAGCGATCCCTGATTTGCAATCGGACCGAACCCGTGACAAACCGGACACACATCCACACACTTTACTACCAGAGCAGACGTAGTAAGATCCACAAGGCTCAGGCGTGCCACACTGATCGCTAGGGATTTTGGTCGAAGAATCAGCCACAGACGCACCACTGCCGAGATTCGAGAACGAGACCACACCGGTGTTTCCCAAAACCGCGATCCAAGTCGCGTTATCGTCTTTGTTGTCTGCAAACACAAACTGCCATAACAAAACCTGTTTCTGATCGAAGAAGCGCCACGAGTTCCCGAGGAGAGACGATGACGTCACTACTCCGTCTTTGTTGATGATCTTCCCTCTGTCGTTTCCCATGGACCAGTAAACCTGAGGGGTCAAGCTGTTGACAGATAAAACCATGTCTCCTGATTTGATCTCGAGAGCGTAAGTCATGTTGCTCGTGGAAGGACTGCTGGTGAGCTTCATGCCTTCTCTAAAGGGCTGATTCGTAATCAGAGTATCCGTCGGATGATCAAAGCTCTCCCAGATCGAAGTTCCGTCGCTGGAAACGACGACGAGGTTCCCCGAGTCGCGGAGCTCGATTCTCGACGCGTTTCTTCCTGAGTTATCCAGTTTCCAGACCTCGGATCCTTCTTCTGTACGGAGGACGACGTTTCCGTTGTCTTCGAAGAGGAGCTTGTCGGAATTGGAAACAGGGGAGGCTCTGTTCGCGGACCAGATCAGTTTCGAGCTGCTTTTGTGGATGATGCTGAGTGTGAAGAGAGTGACGGATGCTTGCGTGGTTACGAAACCGAAGCCGAAGTCTGAGTTGTTGGATTCGAGGAAGAGACCGTCGTTGTTGATGTAATTCATCTGAGATCCTCTGAAACCCGGATCGATGCTCCCGGCGTACGGTACACCGGCGAGCAGAGGATCCGGGAAGAAGAACAGACATGTGACGAAGACGAAGACGAAGACGATGAAGAAGCTTCTCATGGCTAAATCCCAGAAGTCGACAAGAATTAAAAACCTTTTTAAAAAGGCCTAAACTTTGTGTGTGTGGATCAGATCAGGTCAATGGATCTGAGAAGAAAACAAATGTTTCCCAGAAAGATGCAAAAAGACAAATCTCAGAGCCCTGACAGGTGAAAAGTATGCATCTCTAAGTGGAAACTGATTCTTCCCAGATTCATCTCCAAAACCCGAGAGAGAGAAGATTCTCCGACGGATAAAAATCAAACAGAGAACAAGAACTCGCCTTCGCGTTGTTGTTGCAAAGCTCCGAACTTTCCGGCGACGAATTCAAACCGGAATTCAGACAGAAGAGGAAGCAAGGAGCGAAATCGATTAAACACACAGAAATGGAAATTGGGGAAAAGAGGAAGTGGGATTGTGTTTTAGGGGTTGAGATAGTTTGGTTTGTTTTGCCTCTCTGTATCGCATTCAATGAAGTTTGATTTTGGTCTATGATATGAGAGGAAGACGACAAGTGGGGTTGAAACAGAGAGAAGAGTAGAGAGAGAGAGATGCGACTGTCTTAAATCTCTTCTGAGCCGTTTCCTTCAAATCCGTTTCCTTTTTATCTTTCCCTCTTGTGACCGTCACAATTATTTTTGGACAGATCCGACCACTTGGGTCTCTCTTCTCTTTTCAACCAAACATGTCCTAAATTTTCCAAATCCTTACGACTTTTGACTTTTCAAACAAGTAGAAGACCGATGATAGAAAGATTTGAGACTCTACCAAAAGAAATAAAATTATGTTCGTTAAAAAATTGCTGATGTAAGGCAAGAAAGTTACTTGGAAGATTGCGGAATGACGAATATTTTTCATTTGTTGTTAGACTTGTGGAACGTTTGAAAACCAAACAACATTTGTGGTGGTTGCTTATAGTTGTGTCATGTTAGTTCTTATTGTGGCTATTGAAATTCGAATTTAGGTTTGTATTGATATTTCATATTTGTAACAAGTGTTGTAGTCAAGGGTTGTTGTAATGCTGAAACTCTAGAATATCCAATCACGATGGAGTATAAAAGAAAATTTATATGTTGATTTCTGTCTTCAATTTCTTCGTTCGAAAAAAGAAACACACTTGAGCTTTTGTAGAACTAGTGGAATTATTTTTTCCACCTGAAAACATAATTTATAAACTTGTGGAAAACCATTACTTTGCTATAAATGAAGGGACCCTTAAAGGAAGACCCAATAGGAGGAGGTCTATCTCTATCTATTTTTAACTTGTTATTTATGTTTGATCATCACCATCATGAATTATTGTACTTTAGATAACTCTTCTTCTCATCTTTTTCAGTCAAGGGAATTCGAAGATGAATCAGCCAACGTCAAAACGTGTTTTTTTTTTCGTTTTGGTGTGTCTATTTTTGACGGATGATTCAATACAGAAGAACTACGTCTTCTTTTTCTTTCAGATAGTTTCACCTTCTACCGTTTAGAAAGAAAAAAAGAGAGGAAAATAATACCAAACATTGTCAACATATTATACCTAACCTAACTTTCCCAGGCCTTTTTCAAAACAAAAAAAAATACTAACTTTCCCCTCGTCAAATGTAGTGAAAGGATTACAAAACTTGAAAGAAAGATACAAAAAAGAAAAAAAGAATAGTAAAGGTAGTTTTTGTGTTGGGAAAGAAAAAGAGAGGAACGTGTGGGTGGGAAGTCTGAAAACATGACGGAGCCAGTGAGGTGTTGATCGTTAAGGTATTCTGGGAAGACGGAGTACGGATGCCAGCTGGCACCATTCCTTTCTTATCCCGTGTACATTCCAGTAGAAAATCCCCCAATACTCTCTTTTTTCACGACCGACGACGTGTGCGTGTTTGGTTTGACTTAATTGGTGAAAATCTTCCTTAGTAGGATCAAACCTTTTTTTCAACGGAAAACGTGATTTATTAATTATTATTACCAGTGCTAATTCAATCGGCCACCAATTTTATGTAGTGGTTGTAATTAGCTAATGGTGGCATACAACATAAACTAGTTTACCGTCAAATAAAACAAAAATATAGCAATACCAAAGATACATCATACATGAAGTTACTAACTTCTTTGGAAAGGTAAAACAACTCAACAGGAAAATCAAGAAAAGGAAATTCCAGTAACTATAGTCTTGTTGATATTAAAATCGCACTGTTAATTTTCTGTTTGTAGACTAATATAAGTCAACCATCTGTAAATTTGACATCTAAGTAATTTAAAAAAAAAAAACGAAAGTAGATAAATACTCAGCTTTTGCATCCACAGATCCTCGGAAGGAACAAAACTAAATCGTATTAATTGCTCAAGTGTAAATGTGGTTGGGAGTTAACTTGGTTTTAATGACCCGCAATCATCATCTACGCGCCATTCAAATCCTCATTTATAAATTATTCAGGAATTAGTTGGCGAATCGCCATGTGTATTTCACAATTCTATTATAAAAAAAATCGAGAAGCATTAAATTATACAAACCCGTAAATCAAATAAAAATACATATGGCTAACGAGCAATGCAATAGCAACGGATCATAGTGATTCGATTCGACGTGGCCTATACAGTGACAGCACAAGAGGACTTTTAAGTACGCTCTCTAAACCTTAAATGCAACTTCCTCAAACATGCATCCTCCTCCACTTTTTATATAATATACTTACATATGCACATGATACCTCTATGTACGTCTACGGGATATGTACTATTGTTATATTCATCTATATAAGTTTATTATATATATATATATGTATATATATATCTCAATATAAGTTATATAACTGCTTATCATCTTCTTCTAGAAGTCAAAATTTTCCGGTTTTGTAAGTCATTTTACTTATCTAAATGTATATGTTGAGTTATATATCCATTGACATGGTGAATTCTATCTATTGTAGAACTTAACTAATCTACAAACATTATCCATCATTTATTTGGAATACGTATTAATAACCATATGTCTACCAAAACATTTCTCCGAATCAAAATTTTGTCAATATGAAAATTCTAAATATTACAGCAAAATAATGATGTACAAGATGATTTTAATTCTTGAAATACGTACAAAAATGTGAACTCATATCACTTGATTACTTTATGAAAGGGGGTTTATTTTTGTCACTATTACAAAATTTAAAGAGAGTGAGTGAGTTCACACATTTTGTTTTCCTTTTCACATATAAAATCTAAAGATCTACACAGAGCAGTTAATGGGAAATGAAAATCTTTTTATAAGAAGAATAAGCTACTTTTTAGAATAACATCTGAATATGATTCCGGTATCTTACTTTTATTATTTGCTAGTCACGCGTTTAGGTACTTTGTTAGATGAAACTTTTGTTCATGGTACATCGTCAACGTTACATATCACTTGCCTCATTTTGTTTTTTTATAAAGCCTCATTTTGTTACCATATATCGTTAACTTGTCTTAATTTCTGTTATTTCATTAAATCCTTAGTTTGTCTTCTAGTTCTTTATGTAAAATAGATAGTAGAAACTCGATATTTATCAATTAGTTAAAAGCAGACAAAACCAATATACTAGACCACAAGAATCTTATGCTGATAAACTAAAGAATAACAACGTAGCTATTTCATGCGTACATTTACATCTAAATATGTATCAAATACATCCTGGTTTTATGAATGCATGCATTATTGCGTATGTAGGCATGAATGTTTACAAGAATCAGCAAAATCTTATCTTAAGTTATTAGCATATCATATTTTTTTTTTCCTTTATCATATCGGTATAGTTCGTCATGTCTCTTCCACTACAATCATACGAGTGATCTAATTTGATATCATCATGAACGTGGAAGCCAAGCCGTCAACGTATAACTGAGATATCTCTCTGCATTTTTTAATAAATTATTACCCAGCTGAACAATAATAATGGGTCGCTTAAGTCCAAGAAAATAATACTATACTCTACTAATTAAAATCGATAAGAACCGTCCTTTCGTGTCAAACCAATACGTAGAGAGTCAATTGGCCACTTAAGTTTAAGTTAAACTACTTGGATCAACTGTTAGGTAAGACATAAATTATATTTTGTTTCTTGTACTTATATAGTTATATTATATACTAATGGACTAGGTTGGGCAATGAGAAAGAAAGGCTTTACTCACAATCCAATGAGAATTTACTTTTGTGAGAAGATTAGTAAATTACAAAAAAGCTACCTCTTATTTTAATCTTACTTTGCCAGTTTTCAACAATGGACTACTTGGAAAGATGCTGATAAAAATAAGTCTCGTGATAAAGATTCGTAGTAGGTGAAATTTAAAATTGACGAGGTCTTCCAAATTGTCAAGGAATTAGTTGAATCATTATGCTTATGAAACTTAAAGAGGTTAAATGATTTCATGACAAGTGAAATGTCATGCCTTAGTTATAAGTTATATGTGCAAGTGCATTTGTATACTCAAACTATGCATTACACCTTTTAGGCTTTACAAGAGATTTGGTTGTTGAGATAGTTTTCGCATCCAAGATTTAAACCTGAGTCTAAATGTGGTACAGCTAGATAGTATATGAAAATTTGAAATCATAGAATAACCTACAATTATATACTTAATTAATGTAGTTTACATTTATCTAAGTAAATCTTTAAGCACGAGGATTAACTTCATTCAAACTGTTGAGTGGAACAAACAATTAACCGTACAAGGTACAACATCACATATAGTAGATTTATACACAATTATGCATGGAAATCGATAGTGCTAAATCGTGGAATGACTTTTTAGTTCTCTATGGTTTCATAATTAGCGGTGAACTATGTGTTGGTCATATGCATGAATCATGCCAGATGCAACATATAAAAAATGGAGCAACTAAACGTACCTAAGATGAGTTCAATATAATCAGTTGGCCCATAAAAAGCCCATATCAGAGAGAAGAGCTAATTAAAGCCTGGTTCATTGCCTGGTTCTGTTTTGTATTCACATGTACAACACAAACACCTAAAAAAACTACAGAGGAGCTAACTAAGACATACTCTCTTAACACAAGCAGAGATTCGCTAATTAAAACCGAACCTTTTGCTCTCATGTTTCAGCTGTTATTCTTGCTGCTGCTGCTTATCTTGCTCCGTTTATGAGTCGGAGATCTGATATCTCCAAGAGGGCCTAAGCGGAGAGATAGATCACACCCACCAAATGTAATCCCATTTCTTGCATCTAAAACACTCGCTGGTCTGTTCTTGGACGACTTGCACGAGTCAGTGACATTGTTGGAGCTTGGCAAAGAAGGAACCTGGAACGAATAGCATAGAGGGTAGGTTGAGTATTTGCTGGAGACAGGGCATTTCTCTCTCGGTGATCTTAGAACTGGAAGATTCTTTGGAGCAAAGCTGTTTGGTTTCATGAAAATGCTGTCCAAGTTAGTAGTTGAGTCTTGGCTAAGATAACACCTCGGGTTGATGTTCCGTTGGCTTCTTGTAGCTCTCCTTGGCGTGCAGCCCAAATGCAAAGCAGCTACAAAGAAGAGCAAGACTTGGTCATTGACCTGAGACTACATATAATTCCCAAGAATTCGAATATATCATGCAAGTTTACCTTCAATACAAGGCTTAAGAAATTCCCCGGTTTCGGTGGCTTCATCGAGTCGGATTATGGTGTTAATGGCGTCGTTTGTACGGTCTAAAAGTGTCTTCATGTCCATATACTCAGCCTAATTAACATGAAAAACCCATAAGCAGCAAATAAAACATTCCAAATTAAGTCCACAGAGAGTGACATAATTTCCAATCTTCATTGTGATGGAGCAATTTATCACAAGTAAGAAGACTATCAATCTCACTGTTCAAAGAGGGTCACTGGACTATCATTCTCTATTGAAATACTATTGAGAAGCAATCCTTTGCAAATAGAAAAAGAAAGAATTGAAATTTCAAGATTTCACAAATTGAGAAATGAAAAGGGTCTAGAAAGAAAACCTCAGAATTGGCTTTGGAATACATGATTTCTTCAGCTCTCAAGACAACAACAGGGAGCTTCTCTTGCCATTCTGTGTTCTTCTTGGTGGACTGGCTGTGAATCTCGCAAACAATCCTGCAAGAAGTTGAAAGAGACAATTGAGCTGAAGAAAACAGAGAGAGGACACATGCACCGATACATACACAGATATATATATAAATACATAGTTGGAAAGAGAGAGAGAGAAGGTGACCTGAAAATCTCTTGGATGAGCAAACCCCTCATTGGTTGGTGTCTGTCACTATGCCAAGCTCTTCTGATACAGTCGTACGGTCTTGGCCCTGGCCTCGGCATCTTCTTTTTAATTTCTTCCACCACTTTCTAGTTTCTATGAGTGAGTGAGAGAGAGAGAGAGAGAGAGACAAGACAAAGCCAGATTGTTTTGCTTCCCCTCCTTTCCCTCAATAATTTCAGTGTGGGGGAGAGAGCTAGTCTTGTCAGTTGGTTCGGTCCGGTTCCTCCCGGTTTACTCGGATTTTAATAGTTTTTTTGTCAGGTCTATGTTTTATGGCCCGACCTAGGGCCTACTCTACAGTGGTTAAAGTCCAATATTTTTTATTTTATTAATATTTCCTATTCCATAGATGAAGGGGAATTATAAATTGATCAGAATAATGGAAACACCTAAGTGAAAAAGAAGTAAACAAAACATGGAAATTTTGAAAAAGAAAAATATATTTATTTCATTCAATCCCATATGTATTATGTACATACATAATTAAAGAGAGCTTGGCATCAGAGTTTCAGGCTATTACAATCGAGACAAATCTTATAGAAGCTGCGAAGATTTATTTAGCGATGGAGAAAACTACGGACAAGTTTCGATGGGCAGAGGTGGAGGACGACGACGATTATCCTCTTCCGGCGGACCAGGTGATCGGTCCTGACGAGAACGGCATTAAGCAGCTGATCCATCACTGGCGCAACGACGAGGGCCAAACTGTCAAAACAACCACCACTACACGTGTCCGCACGGTGAGGGTGAGTACTCCTAGAGAAAAACGGGCCGTGGAGCGACGTGCATGGGCCAAGTTTGGCGACGCCGTCGTCCATGATGATAGCGGTTTCACTACGGTTTCAAGGGAGGACATCTTTTTGGAACGACCTAAGGCTCTTCCCGGTAAATAAATCCCTCTATCTTGATTATGAGCAATTGTATTTGGTTTTACTTTTCATACAAGCAACCTCTCTGTTTCGAATATTTAGGGTTTTCTTTTGATATTTTCAGGTAACAAACCTGAAGAAACAAAGGCAAATCCAGAATCGGGTGCGTTCCTGATGGTCTGCAGGACTTGCGGCAAGAGAGGTGAGCACTGGACAGCGAGATGCCCGATGAAGAATCATTCCTCGTCGACGACAGATGAAGCGGAAGCATCTTCTTCGCGGAACGGCACTGACAAGGCTGGTTCTTATGTCCCACCAAACATGAGGCCAGGAAGCAATGCTCTTTCAGACACGAGGAGGAGGAACGACGACTACGCTCTACGTGTGACTAACTTGTCTGACGACGCTCGTGAACCGGATCTGAAGGATTTGTTCGGTGCGTTTGGCGAAGTGACTCGAGCCTACGTTGCCTTGGACAAGAACACCGGACTGAGCAGAGGCTTTGGTTTTGTCAACTTCGTTAACAGAGAAGACGCGCAACGCGCAATCAACAAACTGAATCGTTACGGTTATGACAATCTCATCCTTAGTGTCGAATGGGCTGCTCCTAGACCCAACTAAGATCATGTTGTCAATTCAATTTTGCATTACAATTTTTTTTTTTTTTGGTTCTATGTTTGAAACCATCTCTTCTGTCATACTATATCATTGATCTTAGCCTATCGGTTTGACTTTGGTTTTCCCAATCCTTACATCGGTTTACCCTGGTGTAAACCGTTTTCTTTTAAACTGTTGACATTGTTTTTAACCATAAATCGTTTATAGCCAACACAAATTCACTGTAACCCTGAGAAATGCCTTTTTCCACTTTAAAGTTTTGCTATACAGTATTTTTCTCTGACACAGAAACATTCACGATGACGACAGAAAAATAAAATTTATGAATTGACTAAACAAAATAAGATCTCTGAGCTGACAAAAAAAAAGCTCTGAAAAGAATTCATTGAATTACCCTCCTCCTACATCTCTCTCCACCTCAAACTAAAACAACGCAAGTCCTCGTTGTCGTTATTCAAGGAAGGCCCAAAAAGTCAGACTTGAAGGCCCAAATCTAATGCATGTCGACCACGTGGATACACAGTACGGTAATTCGTATCCAGCGAAGCTGTTGCATTCGAGTTGAAAACATTTCCTAAAAGGGATCGATTACAAAATTTCACGCAGCCACGTGATGTCATCAGAGGCTCCTATCCAACGGTTTCGATCTTACCACGTGTATCACTCAAGACCTGTCCACAATCGAATACTCCTTTAATGTTACTTTAACACTAATCAACGAATAAATTCGCATACAATCACTATCTGCCTTATGAATTAGACAATTAGTCGACAAACTGACACGCACAAATACTCTGTTGACCAAAATGAATTCATACTAATTTTGGATAACTAGTAGTGCTCAAATTAGTGGCAGAAACATAATGAACGTTAGTATGTAAAAGGAAACAAATCATATTAAATGACAGCTTTGAAAACAATAATATTGCTTTCTAATGTTGTAAATTCCAAATATGAAAATGACAATAAATCGAGTATTTCTATAATTAGCACTCGAAATTAAAGTACCGAAACATACAAGTTGCACCAAATCCCACTCTCTCACTCTAGAAAGAAAAAAATCAAAAAAAAATATCAGCAATGTTCATAATAATATCCAACACTTTGTTTCTCTCTCTAAAAAGGTAAAAATAGTGACTGGTTTTTAATCATCCGGTGGTGAGAGATCAGAGATATGCTGTCTCCGACGTTATTTCCTCTCTTCTGTGCTTTATTCCTCTGTCTTCCCGTTGCCGTCATCTTCACAGTCCAGCGAGAACTCACCGGCGTTGTCTCGCCGGAATTTGGTTTCCGCTCTCTCTCCGTCTTCTCTCTCTACTCCCGAAATGTCCCCGACGCTTCTTCTCCGGCGGTTCCGATTCGCCCGATTATTCCCAAAGACGACGCCCTGCTTCTCCGACTCGCTTCCCTGGTTAACCCGAATCAGCCTCCCGGATCGACCCGGAAATTGGCTTTTATGTATCTAACGACGACGCCTCTTCCGTTTGCTCCTCTCTGGGAAAAATTCTTCAATGGAAGCTCCAAGGAACTCTACAATGTCTACGTCCACGCGGATCCGACCCGAGATTACGACCCGCCGTTCGCCGGCGTGTTCGCCAACCGGGTCATCCACTCGGAGCCCTCCCAAAGGTACACACCCACTCTCGCCGCCGCGGCTCGTCGGATAATCGCGCACGCGCTGCTCGACGATCCGCAAAATTACATGTTTGCCCTTCTGTCACCTTCGTGCGTACCCATCCGCTCCTTCGACTTCACCTACAAGACGCTGGTCACGTCGCCGTCTTCCCGGAAAAGCTTCATCGAGATACTCAAAGACGAGCCGTGGCAGTACGACAGATGGGCCGCGCGTGGTTTCGACGCGATGCTGCCGGAGGTGAGGCTGGAGGATTTTCGAATCGGGTCGCAGTTCTGGGTGTTGAAACGGAGGCACGCTCGTGTGGTGGCGCGTGATCGGCGGATATGGGAGAAGTTCAACCAGACGTGCGTGCGGGAAGACACGTGTTATCCCGAGGAGAATTACTTTCCTACCCTTCTTAATATGAGGGACCCACGTGGATGTGTCCCAGCCACGCTTACTCATGTGGACTGGACCATCAACGATGGAGGCCACCCGAGGATGTACGAGCCAGAGGAAGTCGCGCCTGAGCTGATCGTGCGGATCAGGAAGACTCGGCCGAGATACGGGGAGGATGGAATCAACGGTTCTGATTGGTCTGCGAATGAGCGGACGGATCCGTTTCTGTTCGCGAGGAAGTTTTCTCCGGAGGCTCTCGAGCCGTTGATGGGTATGGCTAGAAGCGTCTTGTTCAATGACTCGGCCGGTGATGATGATGTGTGAAATGGCTCTATGATGGCATTGTTGTAAATTTAGTTTTAGTTTTTTTTTGGTTTTACTTGAAAAAAATAATTGTAATTTAATAGGTACCTGGGAAAAACAAAAAAACCCAGTCTATCATTATCCTTCAAGGTTTGAGTCAGACGTCCCAACTCGAATCTCATCCTCATAAATTAGCAAATGGAGTTAAACATTTCCAGATCGTCTCACACTAACTTAGAGCTTTTTTTTTTTTTTGGTCAAACTGATGCTATTGATACATTTTCTTCTCGCAGTGTGTTCTGACTTAGAGCTAACTTAGAGCTTAAGAATCAAAATGATGCTATTGATACATTTTCTTCTCGCAGTGTGTTCTGACTTTTTAGACTTTGGTTTCTAACCAAGTATAATATACAGAAACTAGGAAGCTGAAGCGGATAATGTATATTGTTAATTTGTTATAAGTATTGATAAATTGATGCTAAACCTTGTTATCTAGAGATCCCAAATGGGTCCAAGATTGCGGAAGATGGGGCTCAGATTCGTCAACACTTGAGTTTGGCTGTCGCTTAAAGAACACACAACCACAATCATCTTCTTGACCCGTGCTTTCTTCCTTTTACTTTTCCCCCAAAAAATTGTAAAACCTACTGGAAATTTATAAAAGTTAACACCTACAAGCCATGAATCGCGTGACAGCCAATTAAAGAATCAATTATTTGTGAGAACTGTACTATAGACTTGTGAGTGGTGACCCTTCTGTGTTCCAAAGTATGCGATTTGGGATTATGATTATGCTGAGAAATCGTTTAATCTGACAGATTCAGTTAACTTTATCCACCCAACAATCACTCGCTAATGTAACAGAAGAAAATGAGCACATACATATGCGCGTGTCTGAGTTCCTCAAATGAATGTTTGTGTTCTTCTTTAGATTCCTCTGTTTTATTGGAGCAAATGGTAGTTAGGTAATATATGTTTCAGAACACAAGTATGGATGTGATCACACCCGATTATACATTTTCGAAATGTTGATGTCACATTATATTTATTTTCCTTGGCTTAACCATCGAGAAAGAGTGATTTATTTAGCAAGAAAACTGAAAATACATGAGAACATGATGTCTATCCATAATAGCCTATTTGATTACAAGAGAACATCAGACAGCGACAAATAATCACCTGATACTTAAACAAGATAGATTATCATTTATCAAACAAAACAACAAAAACAGTCGCTAGCTTCACCCACTTTAAACCAAACGAGCAAACCTAACCAAGCCAAGTTGTAGAAAAGAATAGCAAAGAAACAACAAACAGAATCTAATATTTTAACAGACAAGAAAAAGGGTTTAAATGACTTTATTAATCAAACTCAAAAGAGGCAAAGTCTCACAATATTCAAGAATACAAGAAGAACCCAGATAATAACACAAGAAATATGAGAGATATCATCTATATTGGTCGAAAAATATATATATATGTAAAGGAAAAAAAACAAAATGAATATAAAATCAGTAAGGGTTATTGTAATAATACCCCATCGGCGGAGGTCCCATCCCGTTAACCGGCGGCATCCCATAAGGCATTCCGGTTGGGGCTGTATTCATCTTAGCCAAACTAGCTTGACCTCTCATTCCTTCTTGCTGATATTGCTGCCACAACTGCTGCTCCTGAGTCAACAGATATTGCTTCTTGTCCATCTCAGCATCAATGAAGCCAGCGTATACGGCCAAAAAACCAAGTCTCAGCCTATCCTCTCTGCTCCACTCTCCGGCCCACTGGCACGCTGCTAAGAGTTCGTCAACGCTCGGACCAAGCTTCTCATTCACACCAAGCTTCCGCCAGAACTCTTTCATCTCGTCTGTGTTAACAGTCTCTGGCTTCGTCAGCGCTTCTTTATACTCGCAGTTAAGCCCGGTGATGTGTTCAAACTCGTTCAGAGAAAATCGCACTGGCTGTACACCCACGGCACTCCATATCTCATACTTCTTCTTGCATGCTACTTGCATAGTGAGCATAGTCTGTGCCACCTTCGATGCCCAATTAAACTCGAGCTTCGTGAACCTGAAGAGGGGTCCCAGCTTAGAATTCTCAAGCTCATCCCATTCATCTTCAAGTGTGGTGTGCATTTGAGACCACAGTGCAGTGTTCTTGCTATAGTAGACAACACTGCGATCATAATCCGGTTCTTCTCCTTCTGTGAACAACCTCCTAGGAAATGTCACGGCGTCCATACTGAAAACACATTGAAAATATGAGAAATTAGGAGGAGTCTACAATTTTACACGGCATAAATAAAGTCTAAATATGAAGTCTAACTATGATGTCTAACTATGATGTCTAATTATGATGTCTAACTATGAAGTCTAACTATGATGTCTAACTATGATGTCTATCAATTCTAAAGGTGAAGTCTGTACTTTAAGTCTGCTCTACTCTAGCCAACCGCCGCTAAAGAGCGGCTAACTAAACCCTAACAATAGACTTTTACCTTATTCTTTGCGGTTATGAGGGCCAGCAACGGCGGCGGATACTACTAAGAAGCGCAACGACGGCGGATACTACTATCCGGCAACGGAGACCTGCCACAGATCTACAATCGATTAGTCCATGGTTTGAAGGGCGTAAGCAGAGAGAAAAAAAGTGAAAGGGAGATAACTAACCGGCGCTGAGAGGAAGAGAATAATTGGTGCGATTTAATAGGTCGTTCGATTCCACAGCGGCAACACGGACAACGGCAACACGGACAGCGGCAACCAACGGTGGCGGAAGGGTTCAAAAGAAGATTCCACTGTGAGTATAACGACAGTAGAGGGAAACAGACACAAATACGTATATCACTGATATATGAATATGACTTACAGAAGTATACTTCGGAGGAGGAAGGGGAAAAGGCGGCGGCGACGATAGTGGGTCTGTCTTTCTTCTTCGACGGCGACGGTGGGCGGAGAGAACATGCAATCGCCTATCCGACAAAGAGAGAGAACGGAACGGACTTGGGTTTGGAAAGTGAAATGTGAAAGTGAAACCCTGATTTTGGGTTTCTCACTTTCGATTAGGGCCGGCTAATTTTGGTTAAACCCAATTACAACAAAAATTATAATTTCCTTGACCGGTTCTGTTCAAAAACCGGAATTGATGTACAAAGTCTACTCGTGAAGTCTACAAATTGAACTTTTAATGAGAAATTTATTCGCCCAAAATATTTCGTTTCCCGCCCTAATAATTTCGTTTCCCACTCGTTTTTTGAATAAAAGACTTCATAGCAAAGTCTAACTATGAAGTCTACCGATGAAGTCTGACTTACCCTAAACCCTAAATCGAATTTTTGAGATCAAAGCTATAGAAAACATCAATTATGTATATAATCACAATTTACATTATAAACTATAAATTCATTAGCTTTAAATCGTTAAACAAACCACAAACAATTTTTTATGTCAAAATTCTCTAAACCCTAACAATCATACTCATAAACCCTATACATTGTACCTCAAACACTAAGCTTGATGATTGGTTTACTCATGAAACTTATAAACTGATTAATTTCCATGAAAATTTATTTTACATAGATAGGATTTGTCTTCATTTAGATTATTTATAATTTTTTTAAGCCTAAATATTTTTTATAGATTTTAAACTTTAAATTTAAGATTTTGTTATTTGGTAGACTTCTTCAGTAGACTTCACACAATATTTTTTGGATTATACCATAATTTGTATTACCGGTTTTAAATTGATCAATTTATATGCAAATTTATTTTTCATGGATAGTACTTGTCTTTGTTTAAATTATGTGTAAATACCTTCATCAAAATATTTTTAAAGATTTCAAACTTTAAATTTACGATTTTGCTATATATTAGACTTCGGGAATAGACTTCACGCAGTTTATAGGTTACAAACATAATTTCTCTTACTTGAGTTAAATGGAGTCATTTTTATGCAAGTTTATTTTTCTTGGATGCCAAATGTTCTAATCTTACTTATGTATAATTTTTTTGATCAAAACAATTTCCTATAATTTTATAAATTAAATTTGAGTTGTATTTAGGAATTAGACATGAATAGTCTATACGATGTAGACTTCATGAATAGACTTTAAACAGGGTAAAACAGACATTGTGGCTAGCGTTTTTTTCTTTGTTCATAAGGGCTTGGTTTGTAATTCTACATGCCCAGAAGACTAGTTTTGCTCTAAATGCAATATAGGGTCTACTTTTGCATTTCAAATCAAATTGTGAACTATAATTGGCAATTCGCCAATATTTTTCTGTTGATTTTTTCCATTCGGAAAAGAAGGGGTTTAAGGTGATCCAAGTCCTTTAACTCGACCATAATAATTAGTCTTTGTAGTTTATATTGACTAGAAAACATATATTTTATGTTGTCGCGATATAAAGTAAAAAACACGATTCCGATTTGTACCTTTTCGGATAGAAGTCATGGACATAATTGAGCAACGAACCAAGAACATGAGAGAATCCGTCCAATCTTTTTTGAAAAAAAAATACAATTAAAAGAAAATAACTGTGACTTAATGGGTCCCCCGTTTAACGAAAACCGATGGATGAGCGACACGTAAACGAAGAAAAAGTCCGGTTTTGGTGAACGAGAGAGGGTGACGTGTACGGTCGGAGATGTGTTAGTTGGGTGGCCGGAAGAGATGAGAGGAAAAAAGGTTCATTGCACTGACAAAGACAGCGCTTTAAATTCCGTAAATATCTTGTCTTTAAACTCTCTTTTTTATTTATTTTTTCTCCTCTCATATATTCCATGCAATATGTATTTAGTTGTCAACAGAACGTTATAAGAAAATTATCTAGCAAGTTCCATACATTTGGCGCCACTTGTGCTGTCTTCTTTGGACAATGTGTAATGACATGTTATTGTAAATGGAAAATGCGAAAGTGGGTTTTGGATGATGGGCAACAGACAAAATATCCAAGCCACCTCAAATTCAATGAACCAATCATCTATTATTTATAATAAAAAACAGAGATATTTTAAAAGATTTATATAGAAGACTGAAGACATATATTAGGAAAAATGAGAAGATGGCTTTGATTTATGTTTACTTATGTTAATCGTTTAGCTTTCCTTGCAGGCAAAGCGGTTAAGGGAGGTAGTAGGGTTGTTCAACTCGTAATTAAAACCGAACTTATTTAAAAGAACCGTGTATCATTAATTAACTATATACGTTAGTCACCATAGTATTAAATTGTTAATTAAATAAGGAGTAAAGTGGTACATCATTACATCCATTCATATCATCGATGCCTTCCCATTTTTGGCGAAACTGACTATTCGAGTCTATTGATATTGCGACATACACTCTTGTTTCCATTAACAAAAGAAAAATCTTGTTTTATTTTCAACTTTTCGATATTTTTATTCATTTGTTGATCTTATGAGCCCACAAATCCAAGACACAATCATAAAGTGAATGGGCCACATCGTCATCCTGAGTAGAGTGTTTCTATGAGCATCAATTAAAATCTCAATTTCAGAGAATCACACGTATGTATAATGATCAAAGTATAAACGAAGAAGCAGTGTTAATCAATACTACCGTTATTAACCATACCTGCATGGCTGCATGCGGTCGTTCGATCACCAAATGGGAATTTGAAAATCCTAAAGAGATAATCATATAAGGTTATATAGTTTTTTCCCAATATGTACTTAATCAAAGTTTTTTTTGGTTTTAATGTTAAGAATGTTAAATAAAGTTGATCATCTCTTCATACGTATTCACAATTCGAATTCCTAGAGAGTTTAATCTTAACATGATAACTTTCTTTCGAGGCCAAAGAAAACTAGCAAAGTGTCTTGGACAGAATCATTGCTGATAAACAATCGACTTTTTGACTTGACAATTCCACGGGCTAGTTTGTTATTGCCTTATTGGGTCTCTTGACTCGGAAATCACAAAACACGCAACACAACATTTTGAAGAAGCATCAAGAAAGGTTCGTTTATTTAAAAAAAAACAAAAACAAAAAAAAGTTCGTTTTTCTATGTTATTTACTCGATAGTATAATGTCTGAATCTACTCGTTTCTTGGACCTAATCACAGAAGACAGCTCATTACCGTTGACTTGGCTTTATGAGTCAACTCTAACCTGATCTATCTCTATGGCAGATAGATCATGAGAAGAGCGAATAATTGACTAATAGTTATTTTGCTCAAAGAAGTAAAGAAAGAGCGAAACCATCAATCATCGAACGAAATGGATTTCGTCTCATCTCTACTCGTAGGCTTAGCTCAGTTGTTGTGTGAATCTATGAATACGGCGGAGAGAAGTGTTCACAAGACTGATCTTAAGCAAGCCATCGGCGATCTTGAAACATCCATCGCTGACCTGAAGGCCATACGTAACGACCTGAAATTACGGGTCCAACAAGACGAACTAGAGGGACGAAGCCGCACGAGCCGTGCTACAACCTGGCTCGAGGCGGTGGAAGCAGCGGAGATCAAAACAGACTCGATTCTTGCGAGGTTTATGCGCCGGGAACAGAGGACGAGAATGCGGAGGAGATGCTTCGGTTGTGGCGCCGACTACAAACTGAGAAGGAAAGTTTTCGCGACATTAAAGAGCATCGGTGAGCTTAGAGAACGTTCTAAAGAGATCATAAAAACAGAAGGCGGCTCCAGTCAACAGACTTGTAGGGAGATACCGATCAAGTCCGTGGTCGGTCTTAACGCGATGATGGAACGGGTTTGCGAGTTTCTCAGCGAAGAAGAAGAAAGAGGCATCATCGGTGTTTATGGACCTGGTGGGATCGGGAAGACGACGCTAATGCAGAGCATTAACAACGAGCTGATCACAAAAGGTCATCACTATGATGTACTAATATGGGTTACAATGTCAAGAGATTTCGGCGAGTGTACAATCCAGCAAGCTGTTGGAGCGCAGTTAGGTTTATCTTGGGACGAGAAAGAGACAGGGGAACATAGAGCTATGAAGATACACAGAGCTTTGAAACAGAAACGGTTCTTGTTGTTTCTTGATGATGTCTGGGAAGAGATAGACTTGGAGAAGACTGGTGTTCCTAGACCTGACAGGGAAAACAAATGTAAAGTGATGTTCACGACACGGTCTATGGCACTGTGCAGCAACATGGGTGCGGAATGCAAGCTGAGAGTGGAGTTTCTAGGGAAGCAAAACGCGTGGAAGCTCTTCTGTGATAGAGTTGGGAGAGAAGATGTTTTGGAGTCACCGTCGATTCGTCGTCTAGCTGAGTTTATAGTGAGCAAGTGTGGAGGATTGCCACTGGCGTTGATCACTCTAGGAGGAGCCATGGCTCACAGAGAGACAGAAGAAGAGTGGATACACGCGAGTGAAGTTTTAAACAGGTTTCCAGCAGAGATGAAAGGTATGGACTATGTGTTTGCCCTTTTGAAATTCAGCTACGACAATCTCGAGAGCGATCTGCTTCGTACTTGTTTCTTGTACTGCGCTTTGTTCCCTGAAGACCACTCTATAGAGATCGAGCATCTTGTTGAGTACTGGCTCGGAGAAGGGTTTCTCACCGCCTCACATGGGGTCAACACTGTATACAAGGGGTATTTCTTGATCGGAGATCTGAAAGCGGCGTGTTTGTTGGAAACAGGAGATGAGAGAACACAGGTGAAGATTCATAACGTAGTCAGAAGCTTTGCATTGTGGATGGCATCTGAGCAGGGGACGTACAAAGATCTGATTCTTGTAGAGCCTAGCATGGGACTTAGTGAAGCACCTAGAGCAGAGAAATGGCAACAAGCGTTGGTGATTTCCTTGTCGGATAACAAGATCAAGACCTTGCCTGAAAAGCCCTTATGCCAGAATCTGAGAACACTGATGCTCCAACGGAACGGTTCTTTGAAAAAAATTCCAACAGGTTTTTTCACGCATATGCCTGTTCTCAGGGTCTTGGACTTGTCCTTCACAGGTATCACTGAGATTCCACTGTCTATTAAGTACTTGGTGGAGTTGTATCATCTTGCTATGTCAGGAACAAAGATAAGTGTGTTGCCGGAAGAGCTTAGGAATCTTAGGAAACTGAAGCATCTTGATTTGCAAAGAACTCAGTTTCTCCAGACGATCCCAAGAGAAGCCATATGTTGGCTGAGCAAGCTCGAGGTTCTGAATCTCTACTACAGTTACGCTGGTTGGGAACTGCAGAGCTTTGGGGAAGATGACGTAGAAGAAGAAGAAGAAGAGCTCGGTTTCGCCGACTTGCTACATTTGGAAAACCTCACCACACTCGGTGTCACTCTTCTCTCACTCGAGACCTTGAAAACGTTCTATGAGTTTAGTGCCTTGCACAAACGCATACAGCATCTGCACGTTGAAGAGTGCAATGGTCTCTTTTACTTCAACCTCCCATCAAATGGTAGGAGCCTAAGAAGACTTAGTATTAAAAGCTGCCATGACTTGGAGTACATAGTCACACCCACAGATGCTGAAAATGACGACTGGCTTCCATGTATAGAGGTTCTGACGTTACACAGCCTTCATAAACTAAGCAGAGTCTGGGGAGATTCTGTAAAGAAAGAGTGTCTACGTAATCTCCGTTGCGTCAACATTTCACACTGCCACAAGCTGAAGAACGTCACGTGGGTTTCGCAACTATCAAAGCTAGAAGTGATTGAGCTGTTCAACTGTAGAGAGCTAGAGGAGCTGGTAAGTGAAGACGTTGAAGATCCAGCATTGTTCCTAGGGCTCAAGACTTTGTCAATTAGGGATCTCCCTGAACTAAGCAGCATCCTCCCATCTCGATTTTCTTTTGAAAATCTTGAAACTTTAGTCATCACAGGTTGCCCCAAAGTGAAGAAACTGCCATTTCAGGAAAGAGTCCAGACAAACTTGCCAACAGTTTACTGTGATGAGAAATGGTGGGATGCACTGAAAAAGGATCAACCAACGAAGAGCTTTCTTGTTTACCACGTTTTGTTCCTAATTGATAACTCAGTTATTGTATAGCTTTAGAATAATACGACACCGTAAGATCAATTGTATTCAAATTTTCGTAGTGAAAGGAAGGAACAAAAATAAGGTCATTGACAAAGTACAAGTTAATGTTATCAGTGGTGGTGGTGAAACTTTTCGTCGGAGACTTGAAGATTATCGATGCCTTTAACAGCTGATTCGTAGTGTCTTCTTGTGGAGGAAGACGACCTCTTCGCAGCCTCCCCCGGAGAATTCCTCGGGATCACGCCTCCGCGGCTGGCATCACCTGTACGTCTCTGCAACTCCTCACCGCCTATCAAATTATCCCGGCTGCTACTCACCGCCGTCACTCTCCTCGATGATCCTCCTGATTGTGCAAACAACGAGGAGCTCGGAATCTGCATCCAGTTCAATATACCAATTATATATCTATTTCTAAACCTGCAAAACTATTGAGATAGTTGATTGGGAGAGAGTGAGACCATGGAGTCTCTAGTCATTGAGGATGTCTGTTGGTTCGAAAGATTCCCCGAGTTCTCAAGAGCGCCTGAAGCTCTCCGTCGAGATGATTCCACATGCGAGAAACCGACCGGTCGACCTTCTTCCTCGCCTAGGAAGCAACAAGGAATAGCAACAAAACAATGTGAATGCTAAAGTTCTGTAACAGAGGAATGAGAATTACGTTTTGAGAGATTAGTACTCATTTACCTGTGTGTCTATCGATGTTGGAAATGCCCGGAGGCAGAGCAGCGCTTGTTCCAGCCGCAGGATTCTACAGCAGATTAAGAGAGTCGGATCAGAAAATGTTCATCCAAAGTGATGGATTAGCTGAGAACTCAAAATCATACTTACAAGGGTACGAGATGGAGGAGCGGTTAGTTGTGATTGTTGATACTTCAAGATGGTCCAGTCAAATACGTAATCAAACTGAAACCCTGAAACAGAGAAATGAAGTTCTCTTAGAAAATGAAACTGGGTCGTTCAAAAGGGATGAAGTTTTCAAACCTTCACGGATAAAGAGATCTCGGAATATCCTTTTGAGATAAGCGTAATCTGGTTTATCATCAAAGCGAAGCGATCGACAGTAGTGGAAATAGGACGCGAATTCAGATGGGTATCCACGACATAACGCCTGCAAGGCGATGGTCATATATGAGTATCAGATAATAGGAAACAGAACTTTTGAGTAAAAAAAGTAGCACACTTTACCTCAATGGATGTGGAAACTTTCTTTTCACTAATCCTCTCATACTTTTGTTTTTTGGTTCCAGCTTTCAGTCCTTGCCATGGAAGACTAAAAAGAAAGATATTCGCCAACGTCATCACAATGAAGTAGTAAGGAGGGAAAAAAGCGAGCTGAGGTAATGTAGCATAAACTCACCTTCCTTTGAGGAAATACATTAGGATGTAGCCAAGAGACTCGAGATCATCCCTTCGGCTTTGTTCTTGAGGTTCACAAAATGTCAGAAAGCAAAGATTAGTGTCAAAAACTTGAGAGCTGACTGGAGCACATAAACGTGAAGCTCGAACTTACCAATTCCCAAGTGAGTGTTCATACTAGCATATCTCGCAGTTCCTGTCAGGTTCTTGTTTTCTCTGCGAAATGGGAATCCACATGTAAATTAACGTTACCAGTCATCACATAACGATGAGATTATGCTCAAAGGAAGAACATTCAAGAGCTGATTCGATGATATGGCCTCACCTGTAGGGAATGTGCTGATGTGTTGTACTATCTCTATACTTCTTAGCAAGACCAAAGTCGATGATATATACCTTAGAGAAGGAAGAAACTAAAGTCAACCCAATGATGTCCTTCAAACGTCAAATAAGACCAAAAGGACATAGTTAGGGGATAAGATGATGAACCTGGTTGGCTCGCCTTCCAAGGCCCATGAGGAAATTGTCAGGCTTGAGATCTCGGTGAAGGAAAGATTTTGAATGAAAAAACTCAACACGGTTGATCTAGACACAAAAGCCAAAGGATGAGCGATGTCGGTCTTTAGTAATGAAACATAGATTAGCAAAGTGAAAGAAAGGCATCACATGAAGAAAAAGAGGTTTTACCATTTGATCTGCAAGCATGAGGACCGACTTCAAGGAAAGTTTTCTGCTACAGAAGTTGAACAAATCTTCAAGACTCGGTCCGAGTAGATCCATCACCAGAACATTGTAGTCCCCTTCAACACCAAACCATTTGACATTTGGAACACCAGCTACCAAAGTTCAAGGCAAAAGGAAAGGTCAAAAGAAATACAAATAGAAAACAAAGAATCACAAGCTCTTTATCAGAAATACAGAGTTCAAAAGTTAAGGATCATTACTTCCTCCTTGTAGTATCCTGTATAACTTCGATTCATAGAGCAGCTGTGGATGTTTAGTCTTCACATTTTCCTGGTGAAACAAATATTTAAAAAAAAAGATGTTCAATCCCAGATTTCAACATACTGAACATGATCAAACAAATTGAAGTCTAGACATTTTAGTATCATCTGGACAGATATGGATCAAATTATTCAAAATGCCTAAGTACATTCAACAATAACCAAATTCAAACAACTCAATTCATGTTTTCAAGCCTTAACACAGCAACAAGAACTCACAAGCTTGATTGCCACTTCTTCGTTCGTTTGAATATTAGTACCTGAAAATCAAAGGTTCATAACAATGTTAGAAATGCGAATGCACCATTGCAAATGTCATACTCAGACGACGAATTCGAGGATAAATTAGAAACAAAATTGAGAGAGTGGCAAACCGAGATAGATCTCCCCGAATGAACCGCTTCCGATCTTCCGGCCGAGCCGAAACTTGTTTCCGACGCGAGGTTCCATCAATAACTACGAAATCCTAAAGCACAATCTTAGCCCAAACGCAGATTGAAATGAGGAAGAGGGACCCACAAAAACTCTTTCCGACCAGAATCAGCCGCACGAGCAATCCAGAATCTCCGCAGAGAAGAACACAACCCAGAGATCACGAACAATGAGATTACTGGATCAAAACGGAGATTTCCACCAATTTGTCGCCGACTAGGCCTCTAAAAAAATAATCAAAACCCAATATTTATCTTCATCCTCCTCTCGATCTGGAGAAAATAATCCATTCAAACGGAATGTCGTTTCTCAGTTGCTCCTCTCTCTCTCTCTCTCCTCTCAAGAATTGTTAACGAAGATAAAAGAGCTTCGTTGGACAGAAAACGATGAGGATGTTTTTCTCAAAGTTTGGTCCTTTCCTCCATTTTTCTTTGCGGGTAAGGTAATTTTTGTGATTCCGGTTTTTTACGGTAATAATATTCATATTCTTGGTTCCGTTCGGTTTGGTTATGTAAGCTTTTAAGTTATACAGTAAATTCGGGTTTTAATCGGTTAAGCAAACGCCCTCTCCAAATTGTACCGAAAATAATCTCTTTACAATTTACATTTCCCAGCGCCTTTCTTGGAAATTTACCGGTCCTCGTGCAACCGTCGATCGAAGCTTCATCTCTCTCACCACCACTCTCTCTCTGTCTCTCTCATTGACTTGGCTCGTGCTAGTCAATGGTTATCTTTTCTCAAGTATACGGCTCTCTGCGATCTTAAGCGTCTCTTCGTTGATTGAAGTGAAGTAATACGCGGTCGTTGACTCGTTTGTTTATCGAAGTTTCTTCATCTCCTCTCTCTGTTTGTTTCCACGGATCTCAAAATTTGTGAACTTCCCATCGGACGGTTTATGGACTCCATTGCTGGATTCGCCGATTCGTATGAAATCAGCAACACAAGCAGCACCAGCTTCTTCGCCGCACCGGCACCAACCGATATCACCGAATCATCTGTCGATAACCCGGCGGGACTTCCCACCGGAGCGGAGATATCGGCGTTTCAACTACTCTCCAGCAGCCTCGAGTCCGTGTTCGACTCGCCTGAATCGTTCTACAGCGACGCCAAGCTGGTTCTCGCCGATGGACGGGAGATCTCTTTCCACCGATGCATTCTCTCCGGGAGAAGCCCCTTCTTCAAAACCGCTTTAGCCGCCGCCGCCGAGAAGGAGCAAAAATCCGGTGCCGCCGTGAAGCTCGTGCTTAAGGAGATCGCCAAGGATTACGAAGTGGGATTCGATTCAGTGGTCGCCGTTTTGGCTTACATTTACAGCGGCAGAGTGAGGCCGCCGCCAAAGGGAGTCTCTGACTGCGCAGACGAAAATTGCCGCCACGTGGCCTGCCGTCCGGCGGTGGATTTCATGGTGGAGGTTCTCTATTTGGCTTCCGTCTTCGAGATTCCGGAAGTCGCTGCGACGTATCAGGTAAATCAACGATCTACTAAAAATTGCAACTGCAGTGTTTTGTTATCCAGAAAACTTAGTGAAGTAGTATAAAAGTCGGTCTATTTGCAATTTCAGAGGCATTTGATGGATGTTGTAGAGAAAGTTGTCACAGAGGACACTTTAATCATACTCAAGCTTGCAAACATTTGTGGTAACTCATGCGAGAAGCTATTGGATAAGTGCAGAGAGATCATCGTCAAGTCGAACGTAGATTTAGTAACTCTCAACAAGTCACTCCCGCAGCACATTGTGAAGCAAATAACTGACACCCGTAAAGAGCTTGGCTTGGAGGTGCCTGAGCCGGAGAAACACGTCACGAATATCCTCAAGGCGCTTGAGTCGGACGATGTCGCGCTCGTCAAGCTGCTTTTGAAAGAAGGCCACACGAATCTTGACGATGCCTACGCGCTCCATTTCGCTGTCGCGTATTGCGACGTGAAGACCGCGACGGATCTCCTGGAGCTGAAGCTTGCGGATGTCAACCGTAGGAATCCGAGGGGATACACGGTGCTTCACGTCGCTGCGATGCGGAAGGAGCCAAGCTTGATTGCGTTTCTGTTGACAAAAGGCGGCGCAAATGCGTCGGAAACGTCTTTTGACGGTAGAACCGCGCTCTTGATCGCGAAACAAGTCGCTAAAGCGGCAGAGTATAGTTATATCCCGGAGAAAGGTGAGTCCTCTCCCAAAGGCCGAGTGTGCATAGAGATTCTAGAGCAAGCGAACAAACACGTTCCGTTTCTTGGAGACGTGTATCCATCTCTTGTAGTGGCTGCTGATGAATTGAAGAATAGGTTGCTGGATCTTGAAAGTAGAGGTATCTATATTAACTTACTTGCTTTTAGCTCAATACATATGATTAGGTTCTTCTACGCGAAATGATGATTATACTTTGTATCTGCTGTTTAGTTCATCTGGCTCGATGTCTCTTTCCAATGGAAGCACGAGTTGCAATGGAAATCGCTGAAATGAAGGGAACATGCGCGTTTGTAGAGACTAGCCTCGAGCCTGAGCGTCTCACGGGTGCAAAGAGGACAGCACCGGATCTATACATAGCACCTTTCAAAATTCTAGAAGAGCATCAAATTAGACTAAGAGCGCTTTCTAAAACAGGTATTGATTCTCATCTATTACTTTATCAACAAAGAGGGAAAGTTCTTGATCTTTAAAACTCTTTATTCTGTATTATTACTATCAGTGGAACTCGGGAAACACTTCTTCCCACGTTGTTCGGGATTGCTCGATCAGATCATGGACTGTGAGGACTTGAGTGTACTGGCTTGCATAGAGGAAGACACTCCGGAGAAACGACTACAGAAGAAGCAGAGGTATATGGAAATACAGGAGACTGTGCTTAAGGCGTTTAGCGAGGACAAGGAGAATCTTGAAAAGTCGTCTCTCTCTGCTTCGTCTTCTTCCACATCGAAATCAACTGCTACAAAGAAGTCTAGTGGTAGATCCTCTCACCGGCATCGTCGGTGAGACTACTCTTGGGGTAATGTTTGTTGTACCATATATATTTCACATGTCACGACTGTTTTAACTCTTTATGTCTCGTATAGTTTTGTTCTTGGCTTTGTATCCTGAGTATTCTAGCTGCAGGTGTGTTTCAAACAAATGTTGTAAGTTTTTGAACCAGTGATGTACAGATTTGTAATATATATTTTGTACATCAATAATAATAACACATGCTAGTGTTACAGAGTTAAAAAGAACCAAATAATGTTTTTAAAAAGAACCAAATAATGTTTTATTTCCCTTGCTATCACTGAAGGTCGACAAGAATCCATAATCTTGGAAGAAATGGTTCCTGAAGTTGGGACAACGCTCGTGTTATCCGGAATCTGGTGAAGGATCAAAGTCAAGTGGTTCTTTGGCATCGTTATCTAATGCTGGCTGCAACAACCATCACCGCTTTTCGCATCTAATATTTCAACTCAAGACAACCTTTGTCTCACTTACTTTTTCGAGGCAACAAGCCAACAATAGTTTTACCGTCCATATCTTGGCCGGTTAGGTTAGTATCCACGACAAGGACATTATTGGCCGTTTAGTCACTGCTATGGAATATTCCTTTTAGTTATTTTCTCAATTAATTTACGAATCATACTCTCCCTTAGTATTGGTTATGTTTCCATACATAGTACACTATAGAGTTTTTATTAGTCTTGAAAAGAAGTAATCGATCTAATTAGTGTTGTTGTATTTCAAACCTTCAATTTAATCACATACTTACTAAAATAGAAATCCGCCAAAATGGCATGGAATTTGCAAGAAATAAAGTTCATACTATTTTTGTCACATGACTCACATTGACAACTCGAAATCTAAATTTCTATGAAATTAAAAGTTTCACATGTAAAAAAAAAAAAAGTAACGGCAGTTGCTAGGTTTATGTAATTTGGTGTGAGAGGGAGGGAGAGGATTTTAGGGAAACCACGTTTTTCGTCTTTATATAGTCGCCTCCCAAAACCCTTCTCTCTTCTCTTCTCTTCGGCTTCAAATCTCTCTTATCTCACTTTCACTCCTTTCTTCTCCAAACACTCACAAAATGAGCAACGACAAGGACAACTTCAACCTCGCCGATCTCACCTCTGGTAAAATTTTCCCTCTCCGATTACTCTCTTCACTTTCTCCCCTTCTTAAACCCTAATTCCATCTCTTATTACAACTTTTTCCGTGGTTACTGACTGTTTCTCTTTAATTTGCTTTCGATTTCAGCTCTCAAAGATCAGGATCAAGCTGGCCTTGTGAACGCTCTTAAGGTGAGTTGTTTTCTTCTGGAAAAAAAACGCTCTGTGAGCATTGCAATCGAATCAATATGAAGAATTTTGAGCTACTTTCTTAAGCGTTACTGTTAGAGCCCTGTGTCTTGGTTTGATTTTTAGGTTTTCATCTAGTAGAAAAATAGTTTATGGGTTCCTTGGAGATTTTGTTTGAGTTGTTAATTGTTATTATATTTTGATTCACAGAACAAGCTTCAGGATCTGGCTGGGCAGCATTCCGATGTGCTCGAGAATCTGACTCCTAAAGTGAGAAAGCGTGTCGATGCCTTGAGAGACATTCAGGTTAGGGAATTTTACTACTTGTGTGCTATATATTATTCAATTGAGTTTGTGTAGATTGATCTTGATTATGTATGTGAGTGTGTTCTTCTTGCGGTATTCAACGTAAGGTGTTGTGTTTTGATTATTAGTGACTGACTTCTTTCCACGCAGGGCCAACATGATGAAATTGAGGCAAAATTCTTTGAGGAGAGAGCTCTTCTTGAAGCCAAGTATCAAAAGTTGTATCAGCCTTTGTACACCAAGGTAATTGTTAGTTAGTGTGGAACTTGTATTTGCTGTGAGAACGTATATAGTTCCTCTACTGTGGTTACTTATCTGCATCAGTGTTAGCTATAGATATAATGTGTAAAAACTCCTAATGAATTCTGTTTGGCATCTTGTTGTAATCCTCAGCGTTATGAGATTGTGAATGGAATTACTGAAGTTGAGCTGGCTACAGAGGATACAAAGATGGACGAAGGAGAGGAGAAAACTCCAGAAGGTAAGCTTAGGAATACAATGTCTTTGTTTTTCTCTAAACATGTAAGGAAAGATAGAAGCAATTTTACATGTTTCGTTTGTGTATCTTCTCAGAGAAAGGAGTTCCAAGTTTCTGGCTGACGGCATTGAAAAATAATGAAGTTACTTCCGAGGAGGTACAAATATACAGTTTTGTTGTTCATTTTAGATGCAATTCAATTATAACCATAGAAAGTGACCGTAGCTTAATGTCCTTCATCTTAGGTCACAGAGCGTGATGAAGAGGCTCTCAAATATCTTAAGGATATTAAGTGGAGCAAGATTGAAGAACCTAAAGGATTCAAACTTGAATTTTTCTTTGACACGAATCCCTATTTTCAAAACACTGTCTTGACAAAATCTTATCATATGATTGATGAAGATGAGCCACTGCTTGAGAAGGCCATGGGGTAACTTGCTTATGCTCTCTCTGGCAAATGTTGTGTATTCTGTGCTTTTAGCTGATTGCAGTGAGGTGAAGAATTTTTTTATCCACTAATATTATTTCCCTTGCTTCAGGACTGAAATCGATTGGTATCCTGGAAAGAATCTAACTCAGAAGATTCTCAAGAAGAAGCCTAAGAAGGGTTCAAAGAACACCAAACCAGTCACCAAAATGGAAGATTGTGAAAGCTTCTTCAACTTCTTTAGTCCTCCAGAAGTCCCGGATGAGGATGAAGATATTGACGAGGAGAGAGTATGATTTCGATTCTTGTGAAAGCTTTTTCATCATTTAGTTAACGTACTGTATATAGTAATGTCTCCCGTTCTTTGATGCAGGCTGAGGAACTTCAAAACCAGATGGAACAAGATTATGACATCGGGTTCGTTTCTTTTCTGTAAATTCTTGTTCTGTTAGGCTATTGATTATCCCTTCATCGATATCTGATCACTAGTAGTTCTTGCTTTCCTGCAGATCTACCATCAAGGACAAGATTATCCCTCATGCTGTCTCCTGGTTTACAGGCGAGGCTATGGATGGAGAGGAGTTTGAAATAGATGATGATGAGGATGAGGAAGATGATATTGACGAGGATGAAGATGAGGATGAGGACGACGAAGAGGATGATGATGAGGACGAGGATGAAGAAGAGGTCAAGACCAAAAAGAAGGTACGAATTGCTCCAAGTATGCTATATTTTCTAAGTCTTCCTACCATGTCAGTCTTGCTAATTCTTTTGAGATTGGTTTAATTGTTTGTGCAGCCATCAGCCGGACACAAGGTATGTAATCGTCATTTTGTCACCTCTCCGAGTTTTGTCACAATTATTAATGTCACTGATAATCATAATCTTTCTTTTGATTCACTTGGACTGCAGAAGGGAGGAAGGTCTAAGACTGTTGGTGACGGTCAAGAAGGCGAGAGGCCACCGGAATGCAAGCAACAGTAATCTCTACGTTCTACCGAACAAAAAAGGCATGCGTGGAAATATATTTTGGGTCGTTGGCTGTTTATCCAGAATTGAGTATTGAGGAAAAGTTTTGTGGGTGTTTTATTATGGTAGTGAAATTCATCTCCTTATTGAGAATGCTCATAGGAGTTTTGGTCTTTTATTTTTGCTTTGAATCACTTAAGACTTGCGAGTAAACCTTTGGTGTTTTATGAATTAATGAATCATCCCCTTTTATGTTTACCGACTTCACCACACAATCGTTGAGAGGACACACATGTGTCATGTTTGTTATATTTTAAGTCCACTTGGTCGAATTGTCAATTTCTCAGTGTCTGCAGCCACACCAAACACGTATTATTAAAGAACAAAAACATTTAGCTTTGATTATTTGGCTTTCTAAATTTCGTTGACGAAAGAGAGCTTTCTCGTGACTTTTCTGTGACATGGACCCAACTATTGAATTTGATTATCCATTATTATTTTATATGGAACGATATCTATCTTTGATTCTTTCTGCTGACCATTTGTTGTCTCAATGTTGACCATTTTGTCATGTAAGACTAGATAATGGATAACTTGACTATTACCATTTGCCACCATTTTAGTCAAAGTTTAATTCTGTCTAAATCTATTCACCTCCATTCCCATACATTTGTCCTAAACGAAACCAGAAAAAGAGAGCCAAAACCGGCGGAACAAGACAATATAAAACGTGATAACGTAACGCAACAAACATGCAAGATCGAATAGTACCAAAGATAAAACGTTCGGTCCGCTCGCATCACAATTTTTTTTTTTTTTTTTTTTTTGTTTCTTCTGATTATTTACTTAGCACACACACTGCTCTGTAACTAGTAGAGACTATGAACACATGAAAAAAAAGGACCACACACACAAGAACGAAAAAAACCGCCGCCTTCATTCACAATAATTTATAATGCTTTTGTCTTTACGTCTTTGCTTAAACCCTTTCCACGAAATTTACAATATATGCTCCAAAGAGACCGTTTTTTAATTTTTTATTGAAGGAAACATTAAATCCTTTCCACTGTATAGTCTCTGTTTGTTTTCCTCGTATCTCGACTTTGTGAATTCGTTAATGGCCACCACCGCTAGATTCTCCGGTTCTTATGAAATCAGCAACACAACTAGCGGCAACAGCTTCTTCGCCGAGTCTTCTATCGATTACGCGCCGGGATTTCTCACACCACCGGACGTTTCAGCGTTGCAACTGCTCTCCAACTGCCTAGAATCAGTCTTCGACTCGCCGGAAACTTTTTACAGCGACGCCAAGCTAGTTCTCGCCGGCGGCAGAGAGATATCTTTCCACCGCTGCGTTCTCTCCGCGAGAATACCTGTCTTCAAGACCGCCTTAGCCGCCGTAAAAGACCAAAAGTCCACCTCTGTGAAGCTCGAGCTGAAGCAGATCGCGAGGGACTACGAAGTCGGTTACGATTCTGTTGTAACCGTTTTGTCGTACGTCTACACCGGCAGAGTCAGACCGCCGCCGAAGGGAGCGTCCGACTGCGTAGACGAAGACTGCTGCCACGTGGCTTGCCGTCCGGCGGTTGACTTCTTGGTGGAGCTTCTCTACTTGGCTTTCGTTTTCCAAATTCCGGAATTAATCACTTTCTATGAGGTAAAAACAAATTTCTACAAAAAAAAAATAATCTCAAATTTATTCATAAGTCTCCTCTGTTTTTACATTTCAGAGGCAGTTTCTTGATATTATTGACAAAGTTGTTATAGAAGACATCTTGGTGATATTCAAGAAGCTTGATAGTATATGTGGTAAAACATACAAGAAGCTTTTACATAGATGCATAGAAATTATTACCAACTCCGATATAGAATTAGTGACACTTGAAAAGTCTCTGCCTCAAGACATTGTCAAACAAATCACAACCATCCGCAAAGAGCTCGGTCTACATCCACCAGAGCTAGACAAACACGTCACGAACATACACAAGGCACTAGACTCAGACGATGTCGAGCTAGTCAAGATGCTTTTGACTGAAGGACACACGAGCCTAGACGACGCGTACGGTCTTCATTTCGCAGTCGCGCACTGCGACGTGAAGACGGCGTCGGATCTCATAGACTTGGAGCTCGCAAATGTCAACCAAAGAAATCTGAGAGGGTACACTGTGCTTCACGTCGCGGCGATGAGGAACGAGCCGAAACTGATTGTGTATCTGCTGACGAAAGGAGCAAACGCGTCGGAGACAACGTTTGATGGTAGAACCGCTCTCGTGATCGCGAAACGACTCACGAGAGCGGCTGAGTATAATACTAGTACGGAGCAAGGGAAGCCTTCTCTTAAAGGAGGATTATGCATAGAGGTGTTGGAGCATGCACGGAAGCTAGATCCTTACGTTAGAGAAGCTTCTCCTTCTCTTCCTGCGACTCCTGATGAATTGAGGATGAGGTTGCTCTATCTTGAAAACAGAGGTATAGTTTTTTTCTTACGTTATTGGTTATGTTGTGTGCTCTAATGATAACTACATACTCTGTATCTACTTTTTTTAGTTGCACTGGCTCGGATTCTGTTTCCTGTTGAAGCACAAGTTATAATGGATATTGTGAAACTGGAGGAGACATGCGAGTTTACAGCTTCGAGTCTTGAGCCTGATCCTCACACTGGTGCAAAGAGGAAATCGCTGGATCTAAACATGTCACCTTTCGTAATTAGAGAGGAGCATTTGTGTAGACTAATAGCGCTTACTAAAACCGGTATGGATTTAGTCTTTTACTTGTCTCACCGACAAAGAAGAAAAAAACTGAATGATGTTTTTTTTTCTGTTTAATTTGTATCATCAGTGACACTGGGGAAACGCTACTTCCCACGATGTTCGCTGGATCACTTTATGGACACGGAGGACTTGAATCATCTGGCTTGCGTGGAAGAAGACACTCCAGAGAAACGGCTACAAAAGAAGCGGAGGTACATGGAGCTACAAGAGACTCTGATGAAGACATTTAGTGAGGATAAGGAGGAACATGGAAAGTCTACCACGTCGAAATCAGTGAGGTCTAATGGTAAACGATCTCATCGGCGTCTAAGGGTGGATAAACTGGATTTCTTGAAAAGACCCTGTAGAAATGGGAACGATGGTTCGGAAATGGAATGATATCATTCTAACCAAATTTTGTTTTTAATGAAACAACATATGTAAAAATGTATATCAACAAACAAAAAAAAATAGACCATACATATGTTCAAATATATAAATAAATTGTGTCATAAAATGGTCCAAGAGTTTTCTAAAACGTTTTAATGCTAGAAATTATGCTCCTATAGTGAGAAAAAACTCGAGCCAAGAAAATTATAGTTCGAGGTTGGTTCTTGATTGTGTCTTATGAGAACAGCATCGCAACAGTCCTCTCTTCCCGCCACATTATTGATAAGAGACGAACAATGGCTTCGAATGGTGACACAGATTAAATTATGCATATCAAACAGTAAATCCAGATCAGATAGAACAAATACAGATCATACGGATCATACAGATCAAATACAGATTAAACAAAAACGAGAAAATTAGTCTGGACATTCTGATTTTCGGATCGCGAAAATTAGTATTGATAATCGGATTTTTGGATTGCATTTAGGTTGATTTCTTTTGGTTTGAAATATTTCAGATAAATTTTATACTCAATTGTTTTTGGTTTGGGGCTAGTAATATAAGTTGACTCGGTTTAGTTCATAACTTTTGAAAATCAATAAATATTCAAACAATTCTGATTCTAACCAATTCTGAAATTTTATCCGAAAACACAAGAAATGATCCAAAAATATAATTATAAAATCTTGAAAATATGTCTGAACAAAAATATGTCTGTTCTGGTTTGGATATTAGAATTGGAGTGACATTATATATATATATATATATCATATATCATATATATATAATATATATACACAATCATATATATACACAAATTTGTTCTTATGCATCATTTTATGTCAAAATGAAATTCAAATTAAGAAAGTAGAATTCATATTTTATTTATTAGTTAAATTTAAAATTTTAAAATAATATTCTAGGAATAATAGTGTCATACTAAACTTTTTTTTGATGTTTTTTAGATTGGTTCCGGTTTAGATTTTTGAGTCCGAATAAATACATCATTCATCATTCAATTACCTAAATTTCAAAATTCTGCAACATGAAAATGAAACTTACTTATGTATAGCTCATCTTTTATCTTATGTTATGCATTGTATTAAAAATGAGATTTGTTTTTGTAGTTAACGTTAATGATTCATCAATTCTTACTTTAGCTGATTATGTTGTAATAATAATTTTTCTTATGTTTTTCTAAATTATTTTGAAATAATACATTTGGATTTTAAAAGAACTTTTATATTTGGTTTATTCATAATATTTTGGATGCAAAAAGTTAGTTTATTATATCTTGAAAACATGGGTTAGTTTTCAAAATACTTTAAATTTTTAATATTCATACAAATTTTCTTAATTAAATATATATAGTAAGATATAAAAAATTATGTTTGATAATGTAATATAGATTGAATACAATTTTTTAGATTTATTTGTAGGTAAATAGTAAGAATTTACTATTAATAAACAATTAAGAGAGAAGGAGAAGAAAAAAAAGAAAAAGAAAAAAAAAGACAGATCTGTACTTGTACGGTGCTTTTCAGCTGTCTACATGCAAAGCAAAAATTTTGTTCAGTTTTTTAATCCGTATACAGATCAGATATTTTCTCCTGCATTTTTTTGATCTGCATTAAAATTGGTGATTGTGTGTTAAATACAGATCAAATACAGATTGATCTATCATGTATTTATTCTGCAACAGATCTGGACTTCCATTCAAAGCCAATGATAGTGGGTGCCTTGTCGAAGACATGACAGATAAGGACACTCCGACTGATAAAGACATGTGCTAGTACTCACACGTGATTTCTAAAGCCCAAAAAATGTCCACTGTCCAGAGCACGTGAACCCTTCTACGAACCTCCAACTAATGTGTAGAGGTTTCCATCTCTCTTTGGACAAAGAGACTGAACAAAACCTTTAGGTTCTAGGGCTAAATCTACCGACATGCGAGTTGCAAAGACCAAGGAGCATCAAACCTGCAAGTATACAGCTGTTTTGAATCTTAGATACAGTGACGTGAAAGACACTAGTTGTGACTTTGCTATTTGTGATAACATTATAGGGATTAACAGTATTAAAAAAAAAACAGTTGTTACCTTGTAGTAAACTATGTACTCATTTGACATTGTAATCAAGTCTAAAGAAGGAACTTTTGTTTGAACATGTAACTGTATATGATCTTAACCGGAATTAATGGAACCAAACCAAAATAAAATATGGTTAAACCATACTCTCTCCGTTTTAAATTAGTTGTCGTTTTGACAAAATGTATCTGTAAATATTTAGACGTATCTGGACGTGTTTTGCATTACAGATACGTCCAAATATTTGCAGATACATTTTGTCAAAACGACAAGTAATTTGAAACGGAGGGAGTATTAAATTAAAACACTATCAAAAAAAAAAACAAATCCAAATCAAAAGCATAACAAAACCATACAAAACTGAAATCATGCAATCATAAAACCAAACCGAGTCAGAAATTGTTTTATTTATATAAACCGGATTCCCGGGCCATTCTTGTTCACGTACCTAAAAATGTGGTGAATGATATGACTATATTGTCATGAAAAGCTATGATTACCTTAACTCGTGTACTCTCGGTGAAGGACACAATGATTCACGTACACTACAATGATTGTAGTACAATCCAAATAATCTTCATGTCTCTATCACCTGTATTTCATTTTAAATTATCATATCAATTTTATCTCCTCAATGAAATATATGTGTTGAAAAAAACTGAATGAACTATGTTGCACGTTCATACATAGTTTTTGTTGAAAATAAATACATGACATAAATAGTGATTTTTATAATATCGGTACACAAATTAGACTGAATAAAATCTGTTTATATCCATCTAACACAACATATATAGCCTGTTTATAAAATTTCATACATTATTTATTATATGGAAAAAACATTTATATTCATCACCCGGAAAGTGAAAGTAAGATAAAAAGAGGCATGTTAGCTGAAATATATTGATCATTACACTGTCGGATAAATTATAATCACCTCACACTTTTTCTCATTTGTGATATTTTCCCAGCCACTAGATATTTGGTCCCTACGCTGGTCAATGGGTCATTGCATTCAGATTCGTATTTGCCCATGCACTCTTGTAAATATCCGTGACTAGACATATCTCAAATATTCCTTTTATTAGTTTCTTTCTATAACCAAATCTTCATGATGATATAACTGAAGATTTTTATTCTGTTGTTGATATATAGCACATAGTTTTGATTTGTAAGTAGTTCCGTTGTCATCATCCAGTCAATAGATATTTTGTTGGATGATTAATACCTCCATAAGTGTTTGTCGATACAAGCATGCTGTCATGAGAGTCAGAACCGTCGTTGTCATTGGTGGTTCAATTTCAATAAATATATAAACTGGTGACAACAACTCCATACCCGAAGAAAATTATGATTAAAAGGTTCAAATTTATATGACACAACCAAATTAGATTATATAATGATCACATAAAATAACAGATAAACCATTGATTCGATTTGAGATAACAAATATGTTGAAAAAAAAACATTTTAAGAAAATTAGGCATCGATGAACGTTAATTTAAAGAAAGTTATAGACTAATTAGAATATTTTTTTCACGTAAAAGCAGCATAAATTACTTTACCACCGATTAAAAACGTAAAAGGTAAAAAATTTGCAGTAGAAAGCAGACGTCCAGATCTAGAAATTACGCGCACGACACAACTAGTTTGGACTCATCAGTCATCACCAAATCTAGCAACAAGGAATATATGTCTAAATGACCTAAAAGCCTTTCAGACAAATGGGTACTTCCGTTTTCAACCACAAACCCCGATTTGAATGAAGGACAAAAACGTAATTTTTCCTTCACTCGTTCTTCAGCATGTCTCTGTACCGTAGAAACGAATCGAGCCTCTGTAGCTTAAGCTGCTGCTTGAACTTGTTGATGAAATCTGAGGCTTTATCGTCGACGCCTTCTTCTCCCTCGCCGATCGACGTCGTTCTCTCCACTCTAGTCGTCTCCGGCCGCCTCTTTTCCACGGCCTCAACCGTCTCCTCCTCCCGGTCTTTGTATCCCACGCCGGCTTTCACGCTAGCCGATTTCATCATCTTCTTCGCCGCCTTCTTCTTCTTCTTCGTCACCGGCTTACTCGACTCCGACTTCGTCCTCCCCGGCTTATGCTCTTCGGAAACCGGATCCGGGTCGGATCTGTACAATGAAGGGAGCTTGATGGACTTTACACGCTGCAAGAGCGATGGAACCGCGAATCTAGGTTCTGTCGGAACGTCATCTTTATTTTGGTCGACGCGTCTCGTCTCATCGGTCATGAGCGCGTAAGCAGCGTAGTCTCCCTCAGAATTGTGCTGCGGGAACTTGAAGTAAGGGACGTTGATGGATTTGACCCGCTCAAGGAGAGACGGAGGTTGGTTCTGGTGAGGATCCGACCCGGAGAAGTGGATCTCGGATTCTGGTGAAGGAGAATTGTAGCGATGGAAGTTGATGGACTTGACTCTGTCTATGAGCGAAGGAGGCCTGCCTAACGTCGCCGGAGTATTGGCATGACCCGAACCGGAACCGAAACGGTTGGCGAAGAAGATGGTGCCGATGGTGAAATTGAGGAGGAGGAAGAGAGTCGTCGGTGTGAACCAGCTGGCCAGGGTTGTGACGAACTCCATGGTTGTGTGTCGGAGAGTGAAGGATGAAACAAATGGATAATATTTATATTAGATATTTTTGTTTTGGGTTAATCATTAATGAGCTCTGCGTAACATTTTTTTTATTTCATTTTTCTTTGACTTTTTGCTTTGGTATGGGTCTTTTTTTTCTTTCTCTTTTTAACGGTTCAATTGGGTTTTGTCTTTTTATATTGGTTATGTTTTGTTAAGAAAGTCAGATATTTAACAGTAGATTTACTGAAATTTGCTAATGGAAAATTATTGGTTTTATTTTATTTTATGTCTTGTTGTCTGTAGATCATGATTCGCCTCTTGTGGTTTTGTGTTTTTATTAGTGTAGAGAAGATCATCCATTTGAAATAGTTAAATCCATCTCTTATAGCAATTTAAAATAGGGAATAGTTAATTAACATCCATTTGTCATAAACAAGTGATCGTTATACGTCACTTAAGTAGGTGACTTAGGTGATACGTGGCCATTGTCCAATTATCACCTAGCAAATTTCAAGCATAAATGTAACTGACGTTTAGTAAATTATTAATAGAATCTAGTGTGACAGAAATAACTTAATGCGTTCACATGAGCGGCACATGGATTTCGTGATACAAATATTCAATTCCATCGCAGCATAACACAACAATATACTTTGTTACAGTATGTCTGTTGACATTTTTGTAACAGTTGTAGTATATTGCATTGCTAGTTGTGGCAGTGTGATCTATCATATGCTTTAAAGTCAATTAGGTAAACAACAAGATTTGAGAGAAAAGCTGTATAAATGACTATATGATAAAACTAAACTAATAGGTAAACGGAAATAAAGCAAAATCAATATTTAATAGTTTTTGCATTGCTAATATCTCTTTTGCTCACCCAAGTCTTATCATTGGATGTACTTTAGATTTTATCACATATAGCTCACAATTATTCTTTTACCCAAACTCACATTACAATCTTGTATTTTTCTTCTCTCACAATGTTTTAATTAATTATTTATTGTTCTCCTAATTTCGCTTTTTCTTTTCCAACACATTTAAAAATTACTTACTTTTACATAAATCATCCTTTACATATTTCCCTTTTTTCATTCTTTTTCGTTACTAAAACTTTTATTCATTACTTTGCAATTTATATTTAAAGTTTTTACACTTTTAATGTTTGCTTTTGTAAATTAAAAATAAAACTATATAGTTGACAAAACTAAGAAAACTAATAATTACAGTGTGGATTCCAAATTATATCAATTTTTATATAAAATCACACATGTCAAATGTATATAACATAGTAAGAAATCTAATTGATTTACATCTTCACCCTCTAATAAATACAACTGTTAGGTCCGCCATTGTTCGTTGTTGTGTTCGATATTTCACTACCAAAGTTATTTCATTAAGTTTGGAACGACTGTTGTTATGCAGATATTCTGTAAGAGCTTCAATTTCTGGAATTAGAAAGTTTGGTTAAGTTATTGATATTATTGATATAAATTTTATAATATCTTGTCAGTTTACCTTTTAAAATATCATTTTCTTTCGATAAAAAGTCGAGAAAGAAAGCAAAAGACACAAAAGAGGAAATGACAAACCAAAAAAGAGTGAAGAAAAGAAACAGAAATCTCATGTGTTACCAAGAAAGGAGAAGAAAATACTGTTGTCTTTCTACACAACAATGCAGCAAGTGGAGAGGATCTTCAAGCTCTTAAATCTTCACAGAATATCTAGATTGGGATTAAAGAAAGGGACCACGACATGTCGAAAAACACAAACAAGCAACTTGATGCATTACTTTCCCGGACAATACTACGACTCGTGTGAGTAATACAGTAGCTGATATGGAACACGCTCTTAGTACACTAGTTGTTCAGCAAAGGTAGCCGAGAAAATGTCTGACGAGGAAGACATATGCCGATATTGAGTTCACTACTGATATTTTTAAAAGCGACCAAGAATACTTTAGTTGTCATCAAAGTGCTTGTTGTTACTCTTACAGTCTTAAACGATAGAGGATATGAAGAATAAAGTTTTCCTTTATGAATGATTCAATCATACTTAGGTGTTTCAATCGCGCAGATCCGATCAGTCCAAAACCTTTATGATCACACCTTCTACTTTGTAATTAAGGCGATGATGAGATTTCTTCTATGTTACTCATCAAGAATTGTAATTATCCTCAGATTTTTCACTTCCAAATCTGATCAAGATTTGAGGGGAATCTTGGTCCAACATGAATGATTGGTAAGTTGAGGGAAAATGGTTCTGTTTTTAAGCATTCAGAAGAGTGAGATGAAGATAGATGAGAATGTGAAAATGAATTCCATAAGTAGGTAGCTTGGCATCGATTGTCTTCTGTAATTTATTCGGTAAATAAATGAACTTTATAATATACACTTGTATTACATGAACAGGCTGGATACGGATGAATGAATTTTCATCCATGTTATATGAGCCAATATAATCTCCAATTTAGATATGTACATACAATCTGTATTCCTGCAATTTAACTTGAACAGATCCTTAACTTCCAATTCTGTCTTTAAGTTTAAATCAGAGGCACAAATAAACAAGCTTTTATCCTGAAAAAATGGACTCAGAAGCTTTTTTTGTGGCAGTTCTTTTAACAAGAGAGATTCCACTGGGGTCACCACCCCACTCCTCAAGTACAACTATAAGGTTCCCAGACGGCTTCACCCACGAACGAGGCACATGGTACCTGAAAACAAGAAGAAAACCCAATAAGAAAAATCAACACTTTGAATCAGTTTTGGATTAAAGAAGAAGAGGCAATTTTTCCTCACCATCTTTGAGAAGCTTCTCCACAGTTGCTCAAACATTTCTTCTCGGTGAAAGTCCCTGCATAGCTGCACCGTCCGCAGCTGCCACGAGCTTTGTATGCAGGCCAGTGGCGTCCGATGTTCTGGCCATTTATCCATACTTGACCTTTCCCCATTGTGTTCATGTCCAAAGCCAATGGCTCACTTCCTGCTGGTGTGTCAAATGTAGACTGCAAAAATAGATGGTAAGAATCTCATTCTTAGTTTGTCATTCTCATTATATGATCTAACTTTGTTGGTAGGCATGTTTCATCAATCCTTCTGTGCCTCTTACCTTGTACCAGGTCAATGGTTGCTTCTTGGCCACCAAGGATCCTTCTTTCCATTCCACCGTGGAAGTTCCGGTTACGGTATGAAGGCTCAGAGCCTCTCCTTTAGTACCAATCTGCTTAATTCACACACAAGAAAACTTGTAAGATGCAGTAACAACAAAGTCCAAAACTTGGTTCTCTTGAATTTCACCTTGTAGGACCATTTCCATTTAGACATGTCCCATGTTCCGGAGTTAACTCCCTTCAGTGTAGCTGGGCCAAGAACCCCAGTATTCCAAGTCTCATAATGCACACCAACGTTCTGTGAGCAATAAAGAACCACAAAGCTCAGAACGCAATCGTTTTTTTCTTGGACCAAAAGCACAGAGAGAAACTAGAGAGAACTAACCGGCAGACCCGCTGCAATACTCAACAGAGCAAGTTTATTGACTCCTGCATGTAGTTTGATCTTCTGACTAAATGTTAGCTTTGGAGTCCCCAGTGATCCGTAAGCAGTTCCTGTAACAAAGAAAGGTCTTTTTAACAGAAGAGAAAGACAAGCTACTATGAAGACAAGTCTCATAATGCCTATCTTAATCTTTACCTGCAAGCTGACTATTGACGAATACATGAAGAGCATGCCCTGCTGATCCAATAGTAAGAAGAGGGTCATCACCAGTCGTCAAGAACATCTCATCACTACCGATCGTAATGCTGGTCATATCAACAAACAGAACCAACCGTGTGAGTCACTAAGATACTGAGATATCAGCAAGTGATCAAGAGTTTTCAAGTGTTACTACTCACTCTGTCAGATACCAGAAATAGTCCGTCTTGTCTCTGGTGATGCTTATCTGTTCCACAAGCCCATCTTGGGCAAACGTACCATTGTCATTTTCGGAAGGAATCTCTTCGTTGTATGATCCCCAAGAGAATTTTGTGTTTGTGGGAACCATCTTCATGTGTATGCTTGATGAACTGACCTGTACCTTGTTACAGAGAGGTCAATCTCAGTGATTGATACCATCAACAAGGTAATGTGTGTTTGATAAGCTTTGTGAGTTGATTTTACCTTTGCAGTGTTGTAATACTCTGTTTTGCAGTTAGGTAGAATACTGATAGACCAAGGAGGAAGATCATACGTAGATCCCCCAAACAAGACTCTTGCAGCAGAACTAGCGTTGTAGTTTGAGAGAAAAGCAGCGCAAGATGACTTGGACTTGAACACATGAGCCTGAAAAAGCAAACCAAAAAGGTAAATAATATTTTTGAAAGTTTTTCTCTCTTCTTCTCAGGTGTATATTGCATTCATTACTTCTTGTTTATCTCCGAGTGATGTGACTATAGGATCAGCAGAGACTAATGCTGGTTCGCAGAGCTTGATGACCTTATGCAATCTTTTCAAGTGACTATACTTAGGTTCTCTGGGTAACCCTATTGAACACGTAACCCAATAAAGCGTTAGAAAATGTTAACTGTTATGCTTTATCAGGTGATGAGAGTTGATTGTTACCGTATTCATCAAGAGGAGCGTCGTAGTCATAGCTGGTGGCTATGAATTGACCAGCTGTTCTGTCGAAGTTAGTTCCTCCGTGGTACTGTTCAACAACATTTCCTCACTCACTCTCTTTGATAATGAAATCTTTTTTACTTATTATTTGACCATAGAGAAAATGAAGTTACCATATAGTAATTCATGAAGGAGCCATTGTTCTGTATGAATCGAGCCACAGAGAAGGCAACATCTTCGGCTGGTCTGTACGGTACCGCACCTCCAAACTCCGTGAACCTGGTCCATTATTTGCAGATTCACACATCTTTTTGTTATTATATTTTGAAAGATTAATAAAATTCTGATTGTGGTATTAGATGTTGTAAATTGAACAAGTAGAGGAAAATTATGTTGTGTGACTTACCA